CCGGAGCCGTGGTCGTTGACCTTGCGGCTGCGGCGGAGATGGAAGACATGTACAGTGCGTAGCTGAGCCACGGCATGCGCTGCGGCGGAGGAGGGTTGTTGGGCGCTGGGTCTGGGCGGGGCGACGCAGACGCAGGTCTTGGCCTGGCGACGAGGCAGAAGAGGGCGAAGATGAGTATTGAGAAGCAGGTCGGTCCAGTCATGGCGAAGGATGCTGAAGCGGAGGAAACGGGAGGAAGAAGCGAGTTGACGGCGTTGCGACAACCTGTGTACCAAGGAAGCAGGAGCCTTTGTTGGTTGTTATCAGCGCTTTCAACTGGACAAAGGGCGTTGTCGGCGGCAAGGGCCGGCTCAAAGGAAAAGCAGCGCGACGAGGCTTGACGGAACGAGGGGAAACGTCGTTGTGAGCCGCGGCTCAGAGTTTGAGCGAGGGCGACGACCTGTTTGGAGCCTCGAATCGGCCTGCGAGACGACAGGGCGACGAGAGCAAGCAAAGAAGCAGGTTGCGAAGGTCGGCCAGCCGTTGCTCGCCAGCGCTCTTTCATTCGTTTGCCGCTCCGCTCTCGCAAGTCTTGGCAGGTTGTGTGCGACTCTGAATGCAATGGAAGGCAAGTCGAATAATTCTATTGAGCGTGCAGCGCCTACGACATCGTCGGACCCGCTCAACGACTCCGACTTCTCTCCCTCAGAAGTAGCCCTGCAACGCATACTTCGCCTCCGCGCCCTCATTGAATGCGCCGAAAATTTGCTGCGCCGTGTACTTGGGAAGCGCAACCATGTCGCCGGTGCAGAGCGGCCCGCTGCAAACGCCCGTCACCTTGAACGTGCTCGATTTGCCGTTCAGGTCGCCGACGGTGATCCAGGTGTCGCAGGCCTTCTGGATGGTGATATGGCGTGCGACGAGCTGTTGCAGGCGAAGAGGGCAAGTCAGCCAAAGAAATAGAAACAGGAATTGGAAGCGAGAACGCACGACGTCGCGAGAGATCCAGGCGGCCGCTTCAATGTCGTCCTTCGAAGTGCCAACAGGCGTGACGGGGCAAGGCGAGTGCGTAAGTTCCTGGTACGGCCACTCGCCGTCGGCAGCTCCTGCCTTCTCCGTCGTCGAAAAAGCTACCTTGACGGGGACGGTGGCGACGGTCGAAGGGTTGGGAGTAGGAGCGACGGTAATGCGGGCTGGTGTGGTGGTCGAGGTAGGAGTGTAGGTCGTGCCGCCCGGGCAGCACTCAGGGTGGTCGTGGCAGTACACAGCCGCCCATGCGACAGCCTCAAGCGGATTGCCGCCGACGAAGGAAGGGCATGCGACACGCGCCGTCGTCGTGGCGGGTGCGGAAGTTGTCGAAGACGTGGGTGTCGGAGCGAGGAACCACTGAGTTGAGTTGCCTGCCGCGGACGAGGAGGCCGGGGCGTAGGTGCGGACCAAACGACTCGTCGCAGGTGCAGCCTGGACAAAGTTGACCGCGGCGAAGACGGGGATGAGGGCGGAGACGTAGAGCATCTTGGGTTGGCGAAGGTGAGGGATCAAGAGAAGGAGAAGAAGCGAGAGCCTGCAGGGAAGTCATGCTGTCTGCATGCGCAGGACAAAGAAAGCCTATCTTCATTGTGCTGGTGCCGAAGAGGAAGCGAGAAGATGCAAGGAAGGACGAGAGCACTCGATGAATCAAGGGGAAGAAAGGTCGAAGAGCAGTCCATCTGTCCGAACAATGGCCCTGTATCGGCCACGTTCCCGCGGCTAGATGACGAGCGCTCGGTGTGGTCCGCCGGCGAGACCATGCTAGCCAGACTGAGCCGAGTCGAGCAGGGAGATGGAGGGTGCCCTCGAGTAGCGCTGACCCGGAGTGCGGGATGCTGTTGCGAGCCGCAGGGTCCTTTGTCCTCGTCGGATGTGTTGCCGCGAACCCTCCAAGCGTTCCGCGCTAGGCGGGTACACCGCTGCTTGCGTTCGGCTGATGAGGAAGAGGTCGAGGTGTACAGGCAGGTTGAGCCCGTGGGTACGCGCTTGACGGGCTGCAATGATTTCGTAGGGCTCTGAATATCGCCTTAGCAGCCAGTGGCAGGCCCACACGGTGTCGAGGTCGTGAGGGAAGCCAACCTTGCTTCGTCGTCCTCGAGGAGGTTGGCCTGTTTCGACTCCGCTTATCTCGCTTGCTTGGCCGCCTGACCGTGCTGTGATGGCGACGGCACATTCTAGACCTCCGCTGAACACCCGGCGCAGCTCCACGCTCACGTTCAACTCGCCCGGACTCTCACCCGGCGGGAGTACTTCACGCCCAAACAACCCGCTCCTGCACAAGGTCCAGCGTCTTCTATCCGCCAACCTTGAAGATGGCGGGACACGCGCGGCGCTTGACACGCTTGGCGAGCAGGAGGGCGCAGAGGAGGTCCCGAAGTCGACAGGTGGAGCTGCGAATGGCGCGGGCGTGCAGGGCGCAGGAGCGGCGCTCAAGCGGGGCGGACTGCGCAAGGAAGTCGAGGGAAAGATGGCAGAAGGGAGCAGAGAGTTTCTGCAGGCGTTCTCCGAGGTCAACGACGTGCGTTCGCTCGCATCCCTTCTTTGCTTCTTTCGCTGACCACGCTGAGACTCTCGCAGAAACTGAGCATGCTCCAGTCACATCTCGACGCGATGCACGTTTGTTGCGACGAGGTCCAGACCGAGCTGGAGAAGGCCAACACGGGCACACGGTACCTCCTCGAACATGCAGAGGGTCTACGACAACAACGGTGCGTCACGTTTCCTCAATGTTTGATGGAGACTGGCTGACATCCCTTGCAGAGCGACCGCCGCCGTCCAGCAATCTCTCGTCCACGTCTTTCTCGCCCGCTTCACCCTTTCCGACGCCGAGCTTCGCGCCCTCACCTCGCGAGAAGTGCCGGTCGGACCCGAATTGTTCGCTGCGATGGACAAGACGGAGCGGATACGAGCAGACTGCCGGGCGCTGCTAAGCGGAGAAGCAGGAGAAGGAACGCAGGCAGGGTACGTCGAGCTTCGCCCGGATCAGTTCCTTCCTTGCCTGGGTGCTAATCGTCCGCCACGCCAACGTACAGATTGGACATCATGGAATACACTGCGCACCACCTCGAAGCCGGCTATACGAAGATCTACAAGTGGCTCACCTTCGAAGCGCGAGGATTCGCGAAGGACGTCCTCGAAGTGTCGGCGACTGTACGAGAAGCTGTCTCGCGGTTGAAGAGTCGGCCAGAGATGCTGTCGTACGTCCGACCCTTTCTTCCCGATGCGCGCAGGCTGACAGGGCTTGCGAACAGGGAGGTCCTAACCGTCCTCGGCACTACCCGCTCGACCTCGATCCTCAACCTCTTCCTCGACGCGCTCACTCGCGGCGGCCCGAACGGTCTTCCTCGCCCAATCGAGCTGCACGCGCATGACCCTATCCGCTACATCGGCGACATGCTCGCCTGGCTGCATCAAGCGATGGCGGGCGAGCGCGAGTTCCTCGAGAGCCTGTTTGGAACGAAGGGGGATGACGAGAAGGTCGCGAGGAGGGTCGGAGAGGTGCATGCGCTGAGTCGGCACCGGAGGGTCAAGACGGGCGTCGAGGGCGCGGAGAAGGCCCGGACAGACTGGGACAGGATCAAGAAGCTGCTCGACAAGGATTTCGAAGGCTGCGGGCGGCCTCTCAAGGTGCGTGCCCTTTTGTAATCTAGGCAGGCTCCGAGCATTGACAATGAGGGGTGCACGCAGATCCGCGTTCAGCAAACGATCAAGTCGCAGGAATCGCCCATCATGGCCTACCGCATCGCAACCCTGATACACTTCTACAAGGTCACCATGGAACGCACGATCGGCGAGGACGCGTTGATGAGCAGCGTGTTGGGCGAGATCATGGACAGCGCGTACGAGGCGTTCTTCGGGACGCTGCAGGCGCAAGGGCGGAGCTTGTTGCGGTTCATCCAGGTGCGTTTGCGGTATCTTCCTCAGGCTGGTTGCCACGGAAAGTCGCGATGCTGATGTGAGGCGCTACCATGTAACGCGCAGCCGCCTGCCGCCGCCCTCTCCGCCCCGACTCAGCTTCGCGACGTCCTCTCGACCCTCCGTGAAATCATGTCGGTCTATGCCACCTCCCTTATTGAGAACGAATCTACGACCGCAACAACTCTCACCAAACGCGAGGAAGACTTCAAAGACGTCCTCGATGCGGCGCTCGACCCTGCTCTCGAGATGTGCGGCAAGATGGCTGCGATGCGACAGGCGGAGTGGGACAGAGCGGTCTTCTGGATCAACTGCGACGAGAGTGTGCTGGGTACGCTCGAGGGGTACGACTTTGTCGGCGCAAGGCGACGAGCGGTCGAGGAGGATGAGGCGAAGTACGTGGAGAGTCTGACGGCGGAGCACGTGAGTCGGATTCTTCCCATTTTGACATATTCCTGTGCTGACGTCTACTACCTCAGCACTGCCATTTGCTGAAGGAGAGCGGACTTGAAGCGATTGTGGCTGCTCTGAGGGAGAAGGACGCCGTGGTCCGTCCCTCTTCTAGCCGTTGCGGCCCGGCCGTCGCTTACTCTCGCTGTTACAGACACTCCTCTCTTCGCTTCCGTCTGCCAGCCCAGCCGCAATCCTTGCCGCCCAGCAAGCCTTCACGACTTTCCTCTCTACCGTCGACCCCGTCTCTTCCCCTCGACTCTCGCTTCTCCCGCCTCACATCGCTGCCTCTATCCACGCAGATGCACTCAGACGGGTCAGCGAGGCGTACGCAGACGTGTGGGACGCGGTTGCGGATCCGGCGAACGGCTACGAGGGGCGGGATAGCTTGTTGCGGCGGAAGAAGGACGAGGTCCGGATGTTGCTGGGCGTGCAGTAGACGTCGCTTAACGTGCAAAGTCGCGTACAGCGGAGCTTGAGCGTCGTTTGGCCAGAATCGCGTCGTCGTCGCGTCCTCGACTTCGCTCTTTCCCTCCTTCGCTCTCCTCGTCCCGCTTGACTCGCTCACCGGGTCGCTCTGCTTGCTGTCAGTGCTCGTTGGGTTCTCTCAATCATAGCCGACTGCATCAGTCGCTCACCGTCGCTCTCGTACGTCCGGCCTCCAGCTTCATCAGTTTGGCAGACAGCACGTCTGCCCGCATATAAGGGCGGTTGCTGGAGGTCTGGCCAGGAGCTTCGGGCGCTGACAGACGTAATGGCTTACCCTTTGGCACGTGCAGGATTCCCGCCGACCCCGAGACGTTCCTCCCTCCCCTCCTCTCCCTCGCCATGACCGTCGCACCAACAACCACGAATCAGGAGGAGCTGCAGTATCTGAACCTGGTCAGGGAGGTCATCAACCGAGGCGAGCGCCGCGCAGACCGCACCGGAACCGGCACACTCTCCCTCTTCGCCCCTCCTCAACTCCGCTTCTCGCTCTCGAAGCCTTCTGCCAATCCTTCCTCGACCGACCCGACTCTCGTCCTCCCGCTCTTGACGACCAAACGCGTCTTTTCGCGCGGCATCATCGAGGAGCTGTTGTGGTTTGTCGAGGGATGCACCGACTCGAAGGTGTTGGCGGAGAAGGGCGTCAAGATCTGGGATGGCAACGGCAGCCGAGAGTTCCTCGACTCGCGCGGCTTGCAGCACCGGGAAGTGGGTGATTTGGGACCCGTCTACGGGTGAGTCGCGGCTCAGCTGTTTTCGTCAGCCTGCGCTTTCCTCGTCGCAGAGCTGACCGATTGGTACTCCAGCTTCCAATGGCGACACTTCGGCGCCGAGTACCGAACAGCGAAGGACGACTACGATGGCGAAGGCGTTGACCAGCTCGCCGAGGTCATCGACAAGATCAAGAACAACCCGACCGACCGACGGATCATCCTGAGCGCATGGAACCCTGCAGGTGCGCGAGACGCCACTCGTTCCGCACGCTCTGCGCTGACACTTCCCGCACGCAGACCTACCGAAGATGGCGCTGCCGCCGTGTCACATGTTCTGCCAGTTCTACGTCAACCTCCCTCCTCCCGACTCGCCTCCTTCCGCCAAGCCCCGCCTCTCCTGCCTCATGTACCAGCGCTCTGCCGACCTCGGCCTCGGCGTGCCCTTCAACATCGCCTCGTACGCCCTCCTGACGCACATGATCGCCCTCGTCACCGACACGATACCGCATGAGTTCATCCTCCAACTCGGCGACGCGCACGTCTACCTCGACCACGTCGAGCCGCTCAAGACGCAGCTCGAGCGGACGCCGTTCGAGTTCCCCGACTTCGCGTGGAAGCGGAGCCGGGAGGAGGTGGGCAAGATTGACGGGTTCAGGTCGGACGACTTTGTCATCTCGCCCAAGTACAAGGAGAACAGCCACCCGTCAATCCCGATGAAGATGAGCGTGTAGGTAGACAGGTGAGGGGTCGTGGGTTGTATCGGTTTAAGCGTGTTTGTATAGCTTGTGAGTCCGCCTTCCGCCATTCTCCACACTGTCCGACGCGCTGACCATTCGTTGCCTTCCCCCTCGATCGCAGATAGTCCTATGTCGTCCCCTGCATCGCACTCATCTGCGTCCATCGACCGTCCAGTGGCCGCAAGCGCCATGACCGCTCCTGGCTCGCGCTGCTCCACCATTCGCGAGCTACGGGATCAGCCGGATCGAGTCCTTGCGTCTCTCCAACGCTGTAGTGAGGCTACGTCGCTCACAGCTGCCCCTCACTGGACATTGACCCTTGACATTGGCATCCTGACCCGAGGTGAACTTCGCTTCTTCACCCTCGCGCAACTCTCGCTCTCGGCTCTTTTTCTTGGCTGCTATGACTTCTTGTGTATCCTATTCGCCTCCTACTGATCCTATACATCCCGTACTCGCCGCCTTTGCCGCTGGCTTGCTCGCGGGCCTCTCCTTCTCAGCCTCATCTCTTTCGGGCCCTCCTACGCTTGCAACAGCCTCGTGCAGCGAGTCGGACGGCTCGAGCAGCCCACAAGTGCACTCTGAGTCCAACACGCGCGCCAGCACCCCGTCCACAGCGCCGTCAACACCCGCCAGCTCACTCGGACCGCCTTCCATCGCATCGGACTACGGTTCTCTCCCGTACAGCACTTCGGCGCTCGAGGAGAGGCAGTACCTCAAGTTGGCACACTCCGTGATCGAGCACGGCGAGCTGCGCAGCCAGGTCAAGGGTGGGACGGGCGCGCGGGCCATCTTCGCCCCCGACCCTCTGCGCTTCTCCCTCTCCCGCCCAGTCGACCCGACCAACCTCTTCAGCCCGCTCGAGAACGTCATCCCGCTCCTGACGACCAAGCGAATGCCGTTCGGAGTGATCAGGGAGGAGTTCGCGTGGATGGTGCGTGGCGAGACGGATGCGAAGGTCCTCGAGGTCAAGGGCGTGAAAGTCTGGACGGAGAACTCGTCGCGCGACTACCTCGACTCGCGCGGCTTGGAACATCTCGAGGAAGGCGACATCGGGCCGGCGTACGGGTTCCAGTGGCGGCATGCGGGCGCCGAGTATCGCGGATGCGAGGCGGACTACAAAGGCGAGGGGGTCGACCAGCTCGCTCGGATTATTCGCTCTCTGCTCGAGACGCCTCAGAAGCGCAAGCACGTCCTCGTCGCTTGGTCTTCAGCAGGTGCGTGCCGCCTCGACGTCGAGCAATCCTCGAGCTGACCTTCCCAACCGACTTTCTGGCGCTGCGCAGATGTCGACGACATGGCCGTGCCGCCGTGCCCCATCCTGCACCAGTTCTACCTGCACGAGCCGGTCCGTTCGCTCCTCCCCGTCGACCCCAAGCCGCGCCTTTCCTGCGTCGTCTACCAACGATCCGCCGACGTCTGCCTTGGCCTCCCCTTCGACATCGTCAACGCCGCTCTCCTCACGCACCTCATCGCGCACATGACCGGCAGCGTCGCCGACCAGCTCACCTACTTTATCGGCGATGCGCACGTCTATCTCGACCATGAGCCGGCTTTGCGCGAGCAACTCGCACGCCCGCTCGTCCACGACTTCCCGACTGTCACGATTGTTCGCTCGCGAGAAGAAATAGAACGGGAAGGCGGCTTCGACAGCATCGTCGGCGAGGACTTCAAGCTTGGCGAATACGAAGCGGCGCCGAAGCTCTCCTTCAAGCTGCACCCCTGAGTCGCGAGTCTGCCCAGCGGTGCGTCCTCCGTCATGAGCGCTGACCGAGGACACGCGCGCTCACCCTGGCCCGCTCATAGCTCGCCTCCCTCTTGTTCGCTTTGCCTTTGCTCGCCCTTCGAGCATCATTTTGCCTCTCTCCCTTTGCAAGAGACCTCACGGCTCTCACTCGTGTCCCAGTACCTCGTTCTAACGCATCTGTCTAGGCATCCGTTCGCTCGCAAGATACCCTGGTTCTCCCTTTCCTTGTCCTCTTCGCGCGGGAGCTTCGGTCTCGTCCATTCTGTGAGGCTTCTCGGCTTCTCCTGTTCTTCACTCGACGTTGAGCTTTGCCTTCGTGGACCATGGGAAAGAGAGGCGACGTAGGCTCAGCGATGCCGTCCTCAGTACCGGGTGTCTTCGAGGCGTGTCCTACGCAACTTGCGAAGGCCAGCCCAGTGTCGACGTCGACGACGATCAACGTAGCTCCGACGAACCCGAGAGGAACCAGTACTGCGCTTGATTCGATTCGAGGAGCAAGACGGGAGGGAGGACACCGAAGGCGTCGCTTACCGGTTGCTGCAAGTATCTTCATCTCACAAGGGCTCGCACGGTCAGAAGCGAACGCGTCGTGATGCAAGAGATCGTGCGAATGAATGGGGACAATGATAAGAGGCGCACAGCGCCGAGGGAATGGGTTACAGACTTGAAGAGGAGGGGGCTATAAGAGGAGTCCTTTTTTGCGTTGGTTTGAGCCGATAGTCACACAGTCGTTGCCGTCCCCGTCTAGCGGAAGACCTTGCTCATCGCCTTCCTGAGCCTGCCGCCCTTCTTCGCCTTCTTGCCGCTCGGGACAGGCGGCGGCGACATCTGTCCCTCGCGCTCCTGCCGCTGCTGCGACTGGCCGAGCACGTCGCGCGATGAGGTGCTCCACCCAAGGTTGGAGACGTTGCTCATCCTCGATGCGCTCCTGACCGTGTCGCGACCATCGCCTCCGCCAGCCGAGAAGAGCGAAAAGAACGAGAGGACGCTCCTCGAGCGCTTGTGCAAGCCTTTGCCGCCGGTTTTGCGGCTATTCGAGTGCGTGCTAGAGATGCTGTTGAAGGTTGAACGAGAGTCGGAGCGCAAGTGGAGGTTCGTGAAGGGAAGAGCGGTGTGGGAGGGCGATGCAGGACGGCTGCGAGTTCCAGCGGCGGGAGAAACCGATTCGTAGGTTCCGCCGCGAGTGAGAGGCGGACGAGTAGTAGGCGAGCGAGCGGAAGAAGGCGTCGAGACGCTGTGAACGCGGGCAAGTCAGGAAAGGGGCGCAAGGAGAGCCAGCGGAAGTCACTAACGTCTCGTACGTCGCGGTGACACTGCCCTTCTTGAGCTTCGACGGCACGCGCCTAATTCTAGTCGGGGAGCCGAGCGTGACAGTCGGCTCGTCGACGTCAGCCTCGCCATCCTCGTCGTCCGAGAAGTCGTCGGGTACCCCTGGGACCAAGCAAGTCAGCAGTGTCACGCGATGGGGAACGACGGCACGACTCACATGTCGGCAGCTGCCTCGCTTCTTCGACGATGCGCGGCGGTGGCGGCGGGCTGGCGACCCGCTCGAACGCGGGAGTATCGGCGCGAGAATAGTCGGACTCGGAGTAGTCGCCGTCATCGGCCGACTCGTGAAGGACGACCGAAGGCAGGTTGCGGATGGCCTGCATAAGAACGTCAGCGCTGTTCTAGGAGGAGCGCAGCAGGTTGGACGTACCGTCGGGATGCGGCGGTGACCCGGCTTGAACTCGCCCATCGAGGCCCCGGGCGACGTAGGCGGCGAGACTGCAGAGACGACGACTCAGCGTGCAGTCACACGAGAAGAGGGAGACGCCACAAGACGTACCGGTCGGAACCTCCTGCTTGCCCGGCAAGTTGCGGCGGAGAGACGAGGAGCGTTGCGGAGGCGAGATGGCCAAGTTCTCATACCCGACCGGCTTGCTGTTCAGCGAAGCAGTGCCGTTAAAGCTGAAGGGCTGCAGAGGTTCTGATGGAATGGATCGAGTCAGCTGGCGAACCGCAAAACAAGGAGGGGGAGGGGATGTACCATCTCCTGCCGGCGAAGGGACCCGGACAGGCGTTGTGGTGCCGAGAGAAGCCGTAGGGTTGATCATGAACGGGTCGACGACATTGCGCGAGTCGAGGACGTGCTGGACCTGTCGCGAGAAGGAGGCAAGGCGGGCACTGCGACATGAGGTCAGCCGTCAGTTCAGCTCTTGCGAGTCCAGGACGCGTACGCACCGCTCTTTGCGAGGGCTGGTGACCTTGTGCTCGAGCCTGAGGGGCATAGTGTGCGCATCTTACGAAGGTCAAAGCGAGGTCAGCCGTTCGTCGCTAGACCTGCGACGTAATGAGGCTACGCACTCCTCTCGTCGAGCCTCTCCGCTTCGACCATCTCAAACATCGAGTCGGTGAGCGAGGCGCGACGCCTGCCGGTGACAGCAGCCTTCAAGCCGGCGAACGACATGGCTGAGGGCGCGCGGCGGACGTTCTTTACCGAGAGCTTGCCGATGCCTTCGCAAGCATGAGCGTCAGTGAACGCTCAAGGTCAAGGAAGGTGACAACTCACGAGCTGCGACGGCCTGCGAGGACTTGCGGCTGAGACGGGGCAAATCGTTGGTCAAGACGCCGCCGAGGTTCGTCAAAGCGCCTGAAACTACGATTGTCAGTCGAGGAACGTGACTGAGCCGAGGGAAAGCGCGTACCTTCTCCGCCGATCGCTTTCGACTTGCGCTTGACGATGTACGTCCGGCTCGTGCTGACGAAAGTCGGCAGCTCGTCGGTTGGCGTCGTCGGAGCTGTGCAGAAGAAGATCACTTAGCGCTCAGCTTGAGGCGCAGAAGTTAGATGAGCGTACCAGAAGGCGACGAGTCGCTCGAAGAATCGGCCTCGAGCTGCGGGACTGGGCTGGCGGGATTCGAGGCGAGCACCTCCTCCTCTTCCTCAGCGCTGATGAGGCCAAAGCCGCTGTCCTCACGGGCGTGCGAAGGAACGTGAACGTCGCGGACCGGCTTGATCGTCTTCGGAAGAGTCGGGACGAAGTCGAGTTCCGTCATGGCCGGGACAGGTTTGCGCTTGACCGACTTGACCGACGACGACCTCGCCAGTCTCGGCTTGCTCGACGAGTCCGTCGTCTCGACAGGCGAAGTCTCCTCGAGCGCGATCTTCGACAGAAGCGGCTGCGAGACGATTCGCGGCCTCGTGCGGAGCATGGTCGGAGACGAGACGATGCGTTTGTGGCCGAGAGTGGCGGGCCTGCCAGATGATGTCGGAATACGTGAGGGGATGGGCGTGGCGGACTTGGCGGAAGGAGAAGTGATGTCGGGTTTGGGCGGGCGGACGGGGATGCGGGAGCGTGGAGGAGGGGACTTCACGACGTTGGCGGGCTTGACGGGCGCCTTCTGCGGCGTTTGAGCCGTCGAGACGGACTGGACGTTGGTGCGGTTCGCGAGAGGCTCCTGGCGGGGCGAGAAGGGCGAGACGCCGGTCGCGGCACGCGGCGGTGTCGGCGCAGTGACAACTTCGTCGTCGTCCTGGTAGATGACGAACTGTTTCTTCTTCTTGGCGGACGAAGAAGCGGGCGTCTGCCGCCTCGGGCTCTGCGCGACGGGACGGTTCGCCTTCTTCGCGCTCGACGAAGGTGTCTGGACGAGCGACTTTGCGGGCGTAGGCTTCGTTGGCGTGGTGTAGAGGACCGACTGGCGTATGTTGGCGTATGGCGAAGGAGGGAGATCGAAGAAGCGGTGCTTGAGGGCGGCGCCGCAACTGGGCATGCGAAGCTCGATGGACGGCTCGACCATGTGGTGAATGAGCGACTCGAACTCGGTCGAGATGATGTAGTCGCCGTAAAACTGGCCGGTCAAGGTGCGGTTGTCTGCGCGCTTCGAGGTTGAGAGACAGTCCGCGTCAAGAAGCGAGGCGAGGGCCCGACGCACAATACACCTCCAGCTGCTCGCGGTTGAGGAAGTTCTCGTCCTCCGACTTCTCGAAGGGCTGCGCGGAAACGGTTGTCAGCGTGTACCATGAAAGCGAGCTGGACGAGCTGGACGAACCGTTCGGCCCACGACGATCTCGTACATGGTGACCTGCGGGAGGGGTAGCGTGAGCATCGAAGACTCGTCCAAGACAGCCCTCTTTCGAGGAAGAGACGCACACCGAGGGCGAAGACGTCGCTGAGTCGCTCGTCGTGCAAAGCTCCCTTCGCGCGCTCCGGGCTCAGGTACTCTGCGACATCTCGAGAGCGTCAGCGTCAAATTCCTTCGCCGCCGCGCTCGAGCAATCAAGACACACCCGGCGTCCCCCAACTCAGCGAGCTCAAGAACCTTTCCGGCTTCCCCTCCTCATACTGCTGCGCAAACCCAAAATCAATCAAAACCGGCCTGTCGTCCTGGCTCAGCAAGATGTTGCTCGGCTTGATGTCGTTGTGCGCAATCCCGTGCGAATGGAGGTGTTGGACGGCGGAGAGGAGCTGGACGAAGTAGGGTTTCGCGCGTGATTCGGGGAGCGCGACGGGCATCAGGCGCGGGTGGAAGTCCATGAGGCAGATGGCGTAAGAGGGGGAGATGATGAAGCTGTGAAAGTGGATCAGGTTCGGGTGGGGATCGGCGCGGAGGGCGCGGATGCATCTGTGTCGAGGGAAGCGAGGCGTCAGGAGGGTTCTCGAGACGAAGGACGGCAAAGCGCACTTGAACTCGGTCCACAGCGCACGTACGCGTGCCGAAGACGTTGGATTCTTCGAGCGGTGGACGAGCTTGACGCTTTGGACTGGCGCGTCGGGTCCGGCGAGCTTCGGCTGGACTTTCCAGACGGAACCCTGGGTGAGACGCGAGCGTCAGCGCATGGGACTAGTAAGTCGAGCATAAGGAGACGCACCCAGTTGCCGTAGCCGATCTACCGGCGATGAGCGTGGTCAATCAGTTTGAGCGAGGAAAGCGAAGGGAAGAGCTCGAAGCGCACCTCCTCGACGAACTGTGTCACCCGACTCCCCGTCAGCGTCTGGCCTGGTCACGTGAAGAGAGTCAGAAGGAAAGGAAGGCACCTGAAAGCGCTCAGCCAGCGTCTGGTCCGACCAAGAGAAGATCGACTCTCGTCCCGCCCCTTCCTCACCCGCAATCCTCCTCGCCCTCTCCTTTGTCCTAGGCGACGGACTCGCGCCGGCCCCGTATCCTACCACTTGACGACGAGGAGTCTTTGGGGAAGAGGAGGGGGTGGAATCGACGAAGGATTGCGCCAGGAGGGGCATGAGGGTTGAGGCGGTTGCCATAGTGATTCGTATGGTCCTCGAAGGGTCGACAGCGTCCTTCGTGGTTTCGAGGAGAGGGAGAGTAGGCGTGGAAGGTCGAGGGGAGACGCGTCGCCGAGTTGAGCGAAGCGGTTCGCCTCGAGCGTGCACTCGAGAGGGGACTACTTGGTCGCAAGCGAGCGTGAGAGGGATCGTAGGTCGTGCAAGCGTCAATTTAGAGCGTTAGAGTGCCGAAGGAGGGGAAGCGAGGGAGGAAGAGCGAGCACAAACAACCCCAGAAGTCGCGAGCGTGTGAGGGACGGGGAGAGGAGGTCGGTGGCTCAGGCCCTCGTGTCGCCTACTGGTCGCGTCCAGCTTGGAAGTGACGCTTGTTTGGCTGGCGAGACGGGATACGGAGGAACTGCGGATCTCTGGTCGAGAAAGGCGAGTTTGCGTCAGGAGGCGGAGGAGAAGCTGGTGGATGCCGGCGCGGGCAGCGTATGCGAGTGGAGACATAGTACAAAACGTAGCCTGTAGTAGTGCTGAGGACGTCGAGCATGAAGTGGGCACGATGATGCGAGCGAGCGAGGTGAGAGCAGGAGAGGGCTGCGAAACGGCGAAGTCCTGCGTCCACCTGGGTGCACCTCTCAACAGAGTCCACACGACGTTCGGAGCCTTCCGCTGTACGCTCTGATCGGCTTGTCCATCCAGCACGCTCACCGCGAACCACGCCGACCCTCCTCTCGTCGTCGATTCGTCGGCTTCCTCCTCGTCCGCCAGAGCTCTGCCACTCGCGACACGGCAACGACGCCTGGCGGCTGTGCTCTGGCTACCACAGATGCACAACGTCGCCATTTGACGCTCGCCGGGCGCACGAAGCCATGCAAGTCGTTGAGGAGGAGGGAGAAAGGAAGACAAGGAGCGCGAGTCGTGTGAGGCGCGGTTGTCGCTCCCGACGGCAAGCCCTGTGGTGGGCAGCCCGAGAGAAGGTCAGGGGGACGCTGCAAGGGAGATATCGATGTCGGCAGATTAGACGAACCCGAACGAGACGGGCGTGAGGGACTCCGCTGGATGTTCCCTGCTCCTCCTTCGACCTGTGCCAGCCCTGCTACACTTGCCAGATGGCGAGGACGGTGCAGAAGAGCCTGTGTGCCGCGGCGAGCCAATGGGACGCCCTGCTTCGCCCAGGCAAGCGTCGGAACGCGCCGGACGGGTGAGCGCATCCCGCCAGCGACAAGTTCCCTCCGCTTGCTCTCTCTCTCTTCACTCGCTCTCGCTCTCTGCGGCTCTCGCTCACTCACAGCGACACTCGTGAGTTACTCTCTCACGCTGCTACAACCAGTCCCACTCCCGGGCAAACTCGAGGGACGCTCGCTGACCCTCTCTCGCTCGTCGCCGTCCGGGACAGCCATCTCGCACGACTCGCACCTCCCGGATACTCGCGCACCACTCCAACCATGCCTGCCCGCGCTGCCACACCCCTTCGCCACGGCGAGGAGCCCACCGACCCGTGCGTTGCCGTTCAATCTCGCTTCCTTCCCTCGTCGTCCGGTCACGCGGGTCTGCCCGGCCTCGCCCGTTGCTCCTTTCGCGAGTTGGGCGGCATGACTGGGTAGCCTGGGATGGTGTGCACCTTGAGCAACCGCGCGCGAAGTTTCAGGAGCTGAGGGAGGACGCGGGCAGCCTACCGCGGCATTGTCATTGCCGGTCGCTTTCGGGTGACGACCCTCGCTTTTCTCGGGGCGGGCAGGGCTTTCTATTCAAGCCCGACTGGCACACACGATTCTAAGGATTGCTGCTGAACTGTCGGCGTTGCTCCCGGCGCCGTCGTCGCTGTTCTGCTGGACGAAGCGGGGGATGCCAGCAAGCGGGGGAGGCGATGCGTATCGCCCGGCGACCTGTTTCTGCTGCAGCTGGGCGTCCTGGCGACGAGGAGATTGGACACTCATGGAGGAAGTTGTTCCGAGTCGACGGGAGCTGACCTCGACTTCGCCCGTTCCCCTCGAACAGTTCGTCGCAGCCGACCTATGGCCTTCTCGGAAAGGACCTCGCAATGTTCTCGGAAGCTGGGTTCGACATGGACAAGATCCACCTCAAGAGGAACGCTCCTGTCGCCCAGCTTTACGAGGACGCGATCAAGTACGAGGGGGCTGTCATTGCCGCCTCCGGCGCGCTCATCAACTTCTCCGGCAAGAAGACGGGTCGCTCGCCCAAGGACAAGCGTATCGTCTACGAGGAGACGTCCAAGGATGACGTTTGGGTGCGACCCGCCCGCTTATAGTTCGCCCTCCGCGATCCCGGCCTTGCTGACCCTCCTGCTCGATCGCAGTGGGGTGCTATCAACATCCAGATGGACGAGCACACTTTCGAGATCAACCGCGAGCGTGCCATCGACTACCTGAACACCCGCGACAACGTCTACGTCTTTGACGGTTTCGCCGGCGTTCGTCTCGAGGACTTTGCCCTTTGCCTAGTCTGGCGCGCGTGCTGACAGGGTTGCTCGCACAGTGGGACCCCAAGTACCGCATCAAGGTCCGCGTCATCGCCTCCCGCGCCTACCACGCCCTCTTCATGCACAACATGCTCATCCGCCCGACCGCCAAGGAGCTCGAGGAGTTTGGCACGCCCGACTTTACCATCTACAACGCCGGCCAGTTCCCTGCCAACCGTTTCACCGCCGGCATGACGTCGCAGACTTCGGTCGAGGTCAACTTCAAGCGTCGCGAGATGGTCATCCTCGGCACCGAGTACGCCGGCGAGATGAAGAAGGGTATCTTCTCGGTCATGCACTACCTCCAGCCCGTCAAGTTCGGCAACCTCTCGCTCCACTCGTCGGCGAACCAGGGACCCGACGGCGACGTCTCGCTCTTCTTCGGTCTCTCCGGCACGGGCAAGACGACCCTCTCTGCCGACCCGCGCCGCTCCTTGATTGGCGACGACGAGCACGTCTGGTCCGACAACGGCGTCTTCAACATCGAGGGCGGCTGCTACGCCAAGTGCGTCGGACTCGATGCCGAGAAGGAGCCCGCCATTTTCAACGCCGTCCGCTTCGGCTCGATCCTCGAGAACGTCACTTACGACTACGCGACCCGCGAGCCTAACTACGAGGACACGGGCATCACCGAGAACACGCGTTGCGCCTACCCCATCGAGTACATCGACAACGCCAAGATTCCTTGCATGGCTAACGAGCAGCCCAAGAACGTCATCTACCTCACGTGCGTTTTGGGTTCTCTCTGTTGTTGGTTTGAGGCGGTTGGAAGTGTCGAAGACGGCGGCGGGGGTAAATACCGGGACTCGGGGATCAAGTGAAGCTGACCTTCCCTGACTTGACTTCCTCTAGCTGCGACGCCTTCGGTGTCCTCCCTCCCGTCTCGCTCCTCGACTCGAACCAGGCACAGTACTGGTTCCTCTCGGGTGCGTCCGCGCGACATCGTTCGCAAGACTCAGTGCGCTGACCTTCGCAACTCGCACAGGCTACACCTCGAAGACGCCCGGCACTGAGGACGGCATCGCCGAGCCTACGCCTACGTTCAGCACGTGCGTGCCATGCCTCCCTCTCCCTACGGACTTGAACTGATCTGTGGACTTTGCCGATTTCCGCGTTCACAGCTGCTTCGGCGCTCCCTTCATCATCCTCCACCCCTCGCGCTACGCGTCGATGCTGGCAAAGAAGATGGAGGCTGCCGGCACTCGCTGCTGGCTGATCAACACGGGATGGGTCGGCGGCGCGTTCGGCACGGGCAAGCGATGCCCTCTCAAGTACACTCGCGCGATTGTCGATGCCGTGCACTCTGGAGAGCTCAGCAACGCTCAGTTCAAGGAGACCCCCGTCTTCGGTCTCAAGGTCCCTACGAAGATCGAGGGCATTCCCGAGTAAGTCCTATCTCCTGACCTCTCTCGACTCTGCTGACACCTTCCCTCGCAGTGACGTCCTCAACCCCGAGGCTGCGTGGAGCGACAAGAAGGCGTACCAGCAGACCTTGGAGAAGCTCGCTGTGCGTCCCTTTTTTCCCTTCCTTCTCCCGCTTCTCCGCTGACTCTCCTTCGTCTCCCAGGGCATGTTCAACAAGGCGTTCGAGCGCTACGCGACCGAGTGCTCGCCCGAAGTCGTCGCTGCCGGCCCCAAGCTCTAAACTTCCCTCTCTCACCCTCACTCCCGCTTCTCTCTGTCCCCCCTCCTCCTTTGCATGCTTGAGCGTACTGTAGCTCTCTGTCGCACTACTGGTATACCTGCGAGATTTGTTTAAACGCTGGAAAAGACGTAGTGAAGAGAGGAAGAGCGAGGGAGGACGACAACTTCTAAGCCTCTTCGGCGCTGTCGTCCCCTCTCGCTCTCCTGCTTGACGGAGGCAACGCTCGGCATCGACTCACGACGCGGGAGAAGCCGAGAAGCCTCGCAGAGAGGACGAGCCCGAAGCTCTCGCGCAAAGAAGACAAGGAAAAGGAGAATCAGGGTATCTTGCGAGCGAACGAATGCCTAAACAGATGCGTTAGAACGAGGTGCTTGGGAACGGGTGACGACTGTGGGGTATCATGCGAGAGAAGAGCGGCGAAATGATAGTTGAAAGGGGAGGGAGGCTAGAGAATGGTGCACTTCCGCTTCGCAGGCCGGTTCGAGCGGTTCCGTCGTGGTGTGGCGTGATCTGCCTTGATCATTTGTCGAACGACGTCCTCTGCTTGGCGAAAGGTGTCAGAAGGCTGTCTAGGATGCGGTGGAGGGGAACGAACCGAAGATCTCGTTAACGTTGATCTCCTTGCGCGCGCTCGTCTCGTAGTAGGGGACCTGCGAGTACGCTTCGTCAGAGAGCGCACTCAAGACACGGATGCACTGAACGCACCCCGCCCCAGGACTTGGACAGGTTGACGGCAACTTCGCGCCCGACTTGTCGCTCCGACTGGAGGTCGAGCTTGTTCCCGACGAGCACCAACGGGACCCGTTGTGCCTGCGCAACGATCATTCAGCTGAATCTCGCTCGTACCCGCTTGACAGGTACCGAAGGGAAAGCACGCCCGAACGCACCTTCCCTGGTGGCGCCGTCGCCTCCTTGACACGCTGTATTTGCTCGCGGATCGTTTGCAGCTCCGAGATGCTCTCCATCGAGGTGAGGCTAAAGACAAGGAGGAACCCGTCTCCGGATCTCATGTAGAGGTTCGAAAGCGACATGAACTGCCGAGAGAACGGGCGTCAGCCCTTCACCTCGGCGACACGCACTCCCTGATTCGTCCCGCCAACGACGAGATGAGCTGCAAGGGTGCACCTTGAAGCAGAATCGGCACGACTCACCTGCTCAGTGCCCGCAGTGTCCAGCACTTCGAGCGAGACCGTGATGCCGTCGACCGTCATGTTACGCCGGTAGCTGTCCTCGATCGTCGGGTCGTAGCTGCGGGAGTTGAGCTGTCAGCGTCGGAAACTCATCGTCAAGCCCTCTTCCGCCAGTAACGAAAGTGGAGGAAAGCGACACAAGCGAGTAACGGAGACTCACGACTGCACAAAGATCTGGTGCATGTACCGCACCGTCAAGGCGGACTTTCCTACGCCTCCTCCCCCCATCACGACGATTTTGTACTCGGGCCTGCGGTGCGAGGAGACGAACAAAAGGGAGGGTCGAGGGAGCAAGGGTCAGTCGGCGGTCTTCGAGGCGCCGTCATAGGCTCAAGACAGATGCTGTAACGCTCTACACCAAGCGCCAGACCCATTTCACGCCGCCTCGCCGCACAATGCCCTTCCCCCACCTCGAGGACAACAGTCGGATCCCTCTGCCGCCCGGCCTCCAGCTCCCCTGCCCGTTCCCGCGCACGCAAACCGTTCGCATCACTCCAATCGTTGCCCTGGCCCACCTCGCCACCGCCTGCCCGCGGTGCCGCCGCGAGAGGAGGTTCATGCGCATCGAGGACGACAGACGAGCGACGTACAGCGGCATGGCTAGAGCGAGAGCAGCACCGGGTAGCACAGCCAGAACCCAGCCAGGCACTCCAGTCAGCCCAGGAAGCAGTCCAGCCTGACCCTGTCGAAGCGGTCTCTTCCAACCCTCCTCTTCCTCTACCACTGACAACAACTACGATGTCGTCGCTCAAGTCGATGATGGCGGCCAAGAAGGCGCAGCAGCGAATCACGGCGCCGCACGCCAAGTACACGCAGCGCGGGCAGCTCCAGTGTGGACTGTGCAACTTGCCGCTCAAGCACGAGTCGCTGTGGGGCGCGCACGTACAGTCAAAGGTGCGTGAGCGTGTGCCAGGACTGATGTGACTGCTCTCTCGCGACTGGCGAGGGTCCACTCGCTGATAGCGGTCTGGTTCAGCTCACACGCTCTCCTCTCGCAGACCCACCGCGTCAACGTTCAGAAACTCGAAGCCGAGCAGGCAGCCGCAGCCGAACGGGCCTCATCGAAGCGACAACGAGACGATGCCGACGTTTCAGACGAAGAGGAGGGCGCGAAGCGAGTTCGCGAGGAGGACGACTCTGCAGGAAGAGGGGGAGGGCTACCAGCAGACTTCTTTGCGGATCCGGCACAAGCTCCTGTACCTCGAAAACCGACTCCTCTACCCGCCGCGGGTCCCTCGACAACAGCAGCGGAGGAAGACCCCGACTGGGCCGAGTTCGAAGCCTACCTCGCCTCTGCGCCTGATCCGTCACTCGCTTCCGCCCCTTCCGCTCCGCCCGCACGAACAACAGCTTCAGCGACTATCTCTGCTGCGCCTGTGCGGTACGAGTTTGGCGCGCCGGTGGTTGATGAGGAAGGCGCTGGTCAGGAGAATGTGGAGGAGGGAGAGCAAGAGGAGACGGAGGAGGAGCGACGGGAGAGGGAGATGCGCGAAGAGAGGGAGGAGATGATGGCAAGGCTTGAAGAGGAGGAGCGGGAACAGCGCGAGGCGGACGAGAAAGTTACGGTGCGTCGAGGAGACCTTTCTGTCTTGCGTGGCTGTCTGGCACGAGTCCTGCTCTAGATTTGCCCCGCTCACTGTAGCAATCTCTTCACGCAGGTACTCAAGCGGCGGCTGGAAGCGATCCGAGCAGCTCGACAGAAGAAGACCAAGGCGTGAAGTGCATTGCGACGGATGCCTGCCATCGAGCAGCTCCTCCCTCCAGCTCGAATGCACCTGCCAAGCTCGAACACCGCAGAGGGTGTTAAACGGAGTATGCAGGCCCGTCCTCGCTGTCGATGCCGAGTTGTGAGGCGATTCTGTGTGAAGAGAGCCACGCTGGATCACCCTTCAATCGCTCGAGGAAGGCCGGGCGCACAGTAGCGAGCCTCTATGCGTCAGATGAGAGCTCTCATGTTAGCCAGAAGTCAGAAAAGCCCCAGCTTGTGCCGCGAGCCGTCGATGACCTTGGCGAGGAGGAGAGCGACCTCCGTTTCTCTCGCTCACACCCGCTCGAGTCGCTCTTTGACAGGCTAGACGGCTCTAGAGTGGTCAGAACAGCTCACAGCACTAATTCAACCCGCCAGCGAGCCAGCGACAGCCGCCGCCGGTCGCTCAACCGCCGTCCCTCGACTTGGTGAGGTCCCGCTCCGTCGCTCACCCTTTGTCCGCTCTGCTCGCCCCGCTGTGCCAGCCAGTCCAGCTCAGACTGACCCCTCGACCCTCGTAGTACACCTGCCCGCCAACTCGCCGCTTCTCCCAGCCTCAAGCGACCCGCCAAACACCGGCGCGCCGTCCTTGTTTGGACCCGCCTCGACCACCGCTCTAACGCCTCGAGGAGCGCCTTGAGCACTCGCACGGACAGCAGTAGGCTCTGTTGGATTGGTACGGACACTCGGATCGCATCAGGACACCATGTCGTCGGCCGCCGGACAACCCAAGGTCAGCCGAACTTCTACTTCGCCTCCGCACGCCTCGCACACTGCCTGAGACGGCGCGGCTTCTTGATGCTGAATGCGAAAGGCTACTGGCGCATGCTGAGAATGGGCGGACCCCCGTGCGAAGCGGTTGCTGACACTCGATCTCTCCTTGTTCACTCATTCCTCTCCGCGCCGCACCCTCGTCACTCACAGCTCGCCCGCCCTCGCCGCGCTTCTCGCGCACCCGTCCGCCTCGGCGCAGGAGCAGGTGACGAGAACGCCCCCTCGGCCGTCTCAGCAGCCATCCCTCGCGCGGCGCTCGCTGGAAAAGCGGTGGTTGCGCCTGTCGGCAAACAGGCGGTTCAGCAGGTCAAGGGCGTGCAGGTTGCGACGAGTCAGGTTGCGCAGGGTGTTCAGGCGAGGAGGGCGTTTGGGGATGTCTCGAATGCGGGTGGAAGGGTGAGTTTTGCTTTGCTCCTTGCGGGGTTGACGGACTTTGGTCCTTCCAGCCCTCGCACTTCGGCAATATCCCGCTCACATCGCCGTTCGCAGACGCAGGTCGACCGATCAGCGACGGTGAACGTCCCTGTCAAGCCCGCAACACGCTCTCGCCCTCCCTCCGCCCAAGGCCCTCCCGCTCCTCCGCAGCCTCCCTCGTCGACCGGCACCGGCTTTGGCCGCCTCCGCATCGACGCGAACGCTCAGCCTACTGCTCCCGCACCGCCTCGCGCAGCCACCGCTGCAGTTGCCGGCAAAGCCCGCCGCGCACCTTCTGCTCGCGCGCCTGTTCAGCCTTCTGCCGTCGCTCCCGCCGCGCCTCGTCTCCAGCAAGGCGAATGGCCCGGTGCGCAGAGCGCTTTCGGCGGACATGCCATCAAGCAAGCTGTCGACGAGCACGGTGTCGTGCCGAACGTCGGTCTCGGACTCGGCTCCGCAGCAGAAGCATGGATGGGCGACCAGATGGCTGTCGACCGCCATTACCCTCAGGCTGGTCCGTCGCACGCGGCCGGCCACAAGCGCACGCACGACATCGAGTTCTCGGACGAGGAGCAGCAGCAGTCTGCTGCGCACGCTACGCACGGCCACGGACACGGACACCTTCACGGCGCGCTTCAGCACGAAGACAAAGTCCGTGTCGTCGAGGACGATGTCGAAGTCGGCGATGGGGCCGAGGCGGAGGGCGAGATGATGGTCGACCCGGATGACTGGATCCTCCAGCTTTGCGACGAGGATGAGGCGGTCGAGAGCGAGAGGCTCATTGAGGAGATCAAGAGGGAGTTCAAGGAGGAGATTGACTACTTCGACATCTCGATGGTCGCCGAGTACAGCGACGAGATCTTCGAGTACATGGCTGAGCTTGAGGTGCGTCGCCCCGTATATTATCGCATACTGAGCATTGCGCTGATCCGGCTCCCGTGAGCAGGAGGCATCGATGCCGAACCCGCGGTACATGGACCACCAAAGCGAGATCGAGTGGTGCGCTCCGCGGACCGTCTCCGCTTCTGCACACGAGCTGACTCGCCTCTCACCACAGGCCGATGCGCGCGACCTTGATCGACTGGCTGCTGCAGGTACACATGAGGTACCACATGCTGCCCGAGACGCTCTGGATCGCTGTCAACATCATCGACCGCTTCCTGTCGAACCGCGTCGTCTCGCTCGTCAAGTTCCAGCTCGTCGGCGTTACCGCCATGTTCATCGCGTCCAAGTACGAGGAGATCATGGCGCCCTCGGTCGAGGAGTTCGTCCTCATGACCGAGAACGGCTACTCGCGCGAGGAGATCCTCAAGGGCGAGCGGATCATCCTCCAGTCGCTCGAATTCAACATCTCGACGTACTGCAGCCCGTATTCGTGGGTCAGGAGGATCTCCAAGGCCGACGACTACGACATCCAAACGAGGACGCTCAGCAAGTTCCTCATGGAGGTCACCCTCCTCGACCACCGCTTCCTCCGCGCGCGCCCGTCGATGATCGCCGCGATCGGCATGTACCTCGCGAGGCGGATGCTCGGCGGTGACTGGGTGAGTGCCGGAGTCGAGACTCGCGGCTGAACGGAACTGACGCTCGTTTCTCGCAGAACGAGGCGTTCATCTTCTACTCCGGCTACACCGAGGCGCAGCTGCTCGTTCCTGCCGGCTTCCTGCTTGAGTCGATCGCAGCGCCCGGCTTCGAGGAGAAGTTCTGCTACAAGAAGTACTCGTCGAAGAGTGCGCTCGCTTGCGCTTCGCTACACCTTGCCCGCCTGCTCACTCTCACTCGCCACGCAGAATTCCTCAAGGCGTCGATCTTTGCGCGCAACTGGGCCAAGCAGAACGCCGCGACCGAGGCCGCATAGTCTGCCTCTTTCTCGCCGCCACCGCCAGACCTCGCGCCACTCTCTCTCCGCCTCCGTTCGCGCGCTCTATACCCATGTGACTTTACCCTCCCGCGCACCCGCCCTCCTCGCCCGCCGCCAGTCGTGCCGATCTGTCCACCTTTCGCATTTCTCACTCCGTCCACGCTTCCTCATTCATCTATACATTCGCTCGCATACCCTTTCGCTCTCGCTCTCTCTTTGCCACTTCCTCCATTCCCTTTCCGAGCGCCATGCGCTCCTTCACACGCATCTCCTCGCGCCCCTCATGTATTGCCAGGAACAGGATTTGCTTGACCATCTCGTGCGTCTGCGAGCTCGCGAGTTTTCCGAACAAGTGTTGCTTCCACCGGCTTGGAGCGTTGCAACGTCAACAGAGTGTCCATTCGCACCCACGCGAGCTACAGCCTCACCCCGTCCACCTTACTCCTGATCTTCCCGAACACATCTCGCAGCCCATCCCGCGCCGCGTCAACACCCGCCTCGATCGTGTTACCCGCCTGTCCCCCTACGTTGAGCTGGATTGGACCGAGCGAGAGGTTGAAGTTCTGCGGAGGCTGGGAGGACTCGCGCGGTGGGGAGAGGGCGGATGGGGGTGCGGCGGCGCTGGAAGACGGTGCAGGGGTGATGGCGACGGGAAAAGGGGCGGAGAAAGAGGAGCCGAACGCGAAAGCGGCGTCGCGGACCATCGTGAGGAAGCTGCAAGGTCCAGATGAGTTGACTTGTCAGCGCGAAGGAGCAAGGGAGAGCGCCAAGGCCAGCTCAAGGCCTCTCCCAATCTGCTGCGAACGTCAACTCACCTCTTCGAGTTGTGCACGCAGGTCCCGCCGAGGATGATCCTGGTTCCTGCGCTGACGGGTCCCGAGGGGCCCATCGAGCCGGACAAGTGCTGGCCCGTTGCAAATTGCGCATTGAGCTGGGCGACGGCTTTCGCTTCCTCGTAGGTCGTGCCGCCAACGATGAAGAGGATGATGTCTTGCGGGCTGAGAACGCACAGCCGAGTTAGCGCGGCAATTCGACACGGTTCACGAGCCCAGCGCACCGTGACATCCCTTGCGGCGAGACGTTCTGGCCGTCAATGTAGGGATAGCTCGACTCTTTCAGCCGACCCTTCAGTAGCAAGTCGATCGTCTCCATGAGGTGCGGCGTATGTTGCGTGTAGACATTGTCCACGCCCTGAGAGCTCTTAGCGTCAGTGACGCTCGAGGATTGAATAGAAGGAGGAGGCTTCGCACCTTCAATCCCTTGAGCGCGCTCTTCCCCTTGCTGAAGAAGTTCTCGTTGCCGAACAGGTCGTCCTGCCGCTGATCCGCACCGGCGAAGTTGAGCAGGATGTGCACCATCTGCTCGAGAGTTTCGTCAGCTCGAGGAGATTCACTCGGGACAGCTCGCTCACCTCGGCATCTGGGACGCCCTGCTGCTTGAGCAAGTCAACGACTCCAGCGATCTGGTTCTGCGGCATCTTCTGGTATCGCAAGGCATAGAGAACGGCGAGGCGGAGCTTGGCTTCTTGCGGGATTTCGGGCGCGATGATGGCTTCTCGGACAGCCTGTAGCGCAAGACAACAAGGATCAGCCATTCGGCGATGTTTGTACTGGGCGGAACGCCGAACATCAATCTCGCACGCACCTTGAGATCGGTCCCGTGACTCTCGTTGCTGGCCAGACTCTGCTCGAGCTCCGAGACCTGCAGCAGGTGTCGCACGTTCACGAGTCGCGAGAGTTCGCCGACGAGCGCAACGTGCTTCGAGACGTTGCTGCCGAGCTTGCGGAACTCGGGGTACTCGTCGATGAAGCTGCGTGAGGAGGGTCACAGGAGAATCAGTAACGAACCTCCCGCTCGCAAGCGAAGCCGCCGGACGCACCGCTTCATATCTTGGACAGTTTCGATCTTGCTCGCCGCCGAGCTGGCCGAGCGAGTCGAGTAATCTTGTACGTACGCCGAGAGGTGCGCGCCGAGGTCGCCAAAGTTGTCGTACAGGTTCGCGGCGAAGAACTGGTCTTGCTCAGGCGAGAGGACGATCTCCTGCACACGCGACACGCGAGGAGAGTATGAGCGCTGCTGACTGCAGCACATGAGGCTCGGACGCACCTTCAGCTCGTCTCGCACATCCGGCGCATCCGCCAAGCTGACCCTCCCGTTCGTGATGCCCAACAACTCATGCACCATCGCCTGATACGTCCACTGCGTCAACAGCGGCGTGACCGGGTCGTTTCTCCGATCCAAGATGAGCAACAACGGTGCAGTGGCCGTCTTTCGAAACTCCCACAAGTCCGGCTGGCCCTGGTTCATCTGGTAGACGAGTTCTTGCCCCAGTCGTCGTGCCATAGGCGACATGCGCTCGTAGCGGATTATTGGACGCTTCTTGAGCGAGAGGAGAACGGAGGTGAGGCCTTCGAGGTGGCGTTGGAAGACGGGAGAGTGAGGCGAGAAGGTTTGGGGAGAGTCGCCGTAAAGGGGCATGACGCGCTGGTTGGGCGCTGGATGCAGAGGTGTCGGGAGGATGGATAGCGAGAAGTGTGAGGATGTGAGGGGCGAATAGTCGCAGAAGTACTCCTGCGAGGACGGATCAGTTTCAGCCAGCTTCACGAGGCCATCCTGACCCGAGCCTCAAACAATGTCGGTTCCTCCGCAACGCACCTGTACCTCCTTGACCAGCTCGTGCTCGTCCGCCTCCGCTAACCGCTCAATCTGCGCCTTGCTCAAGACATTCGTGAAGTCTGTGCGCGATGTCCGGGCGACCCAGCCCAAGAACACCGTCAGCCGTCACCTGAGCAGACGTATGAGAAACCCTCACGCACAAAGCCAGTATCCCCCAAACCGCCCCTGCCTCAACTCCCTCTCGCAAGCCTCGATACTCTCCTCCGTCGGCCTCAAGAAGCACACACACTTCAGGTGGGGTAGCCGCTCGATCCCCTTCGAACTACTCGCTGCTGGCGGATACGCTGCGGCGCTGGACGAAGCAGCGTCGGATGAAGAGGAGGGAAGCGAATGGCGAGCGGGATTGTCGATTCGGTCTGTGAGGTAGACTTCATGCGAGAGGAGGTGAGATTGGGTCGTTGCGAGCGATACGATAGGAGTCTATGCCAATCACGTCTCGGCGGTCAGTACGAGCGAGGAGAGAAGGGCAAGCGAAACGCACCGTGTCGGCATCAAGCAACAAGACCTTGATCCCGCTCGTGTTGGTGACGACCTTGTCTACGTACGCCTGCACCGCTTTCAGGCAGTCCATCTTGGCTCCCGGCCGTGCGCGCAAGCAGTGTGCGTGAGGTCGTCGGTTGAACTGCGATGAGCGGGAGGTGGGGAGATGAAGAGGTGAGGGAGGCGAGGGAGGGATGTGGCAGGTGTTCGATGGGTTCAGTCGGGCACGCTGAGCAGCTCAAGGAAGCAGAGAACGGCAGGCAGCGAAAGCGAGTGGTCAAGCAGAACCGAACGGACTCCTCGCTCGACGACCAGGTCGACCTCTCTCGCAAGAAGATGCGATAGATGCAATGCAAGGAGCTCTACTCGGATGTGCCGTTCGTGACGGGATGTCTTCGTGCGAGGACGTGGAAGTGCGCCAGGCCGGGGACGCTTTGAAGGCCTGGTGGGTTGGCGAACCTGTGCGTGGCAAGGACGTGCCAAAATAGTCAGTCCACACTCCGCTGCGTAGAGGGTCATCACCAACGAAGAGCGCCGCGCAAAAACGCACCAAGCCGTCTCCCACCCATCCTCGACCCTCCACTTCTTCAGCACAAACGCGCGGATCTCCTTCTCCGGGCCCTGCTTCTCGTCGTACTCCTCACTCCTCCTCGCTCCCTGCTGATCGTTCTCCCCCGCTCCCATCCCTCCATCGTCCTGTACCCCCCTTTGGCGCTCTTTCTCCCTCCTTCGCACGCGCCACCACTCCTCCGCCCGTCCCGTCAGTCCTCCCAGCCCATTCCGACACACGAAATCCCAGCTCCCCTTCGTAGGCGCCACACTCGCCCTTCCCACCCTACTCACACTCGGCGACAACGACGAGCAGATGGACGGTTCGTGGGGGAGCGGAGGGGCGAATGGTTTTGCGAGCGGGTTGGTGCGTGATGAGCCGGAGGGTGTGGAGGTGCCGCTTTGGGAGGGAGAGGGGGGGAGGTCGAGTAGGTTCGTAGGGCGGGGGGTGCAGAGTGCTGGGTGGAAGAGGGGGAGGGGAACCCAGACGACGTAGTGTCTGCCCACACCAAACCTCGTCAGCACTTTTTCCCACACTTTCAGAAACACCGCACGCACCTAACATCCTTCGGAACCGCATAAGGCCAATCATTCCTCCTGACATTCGTCACCCCCCCTCTCGTCCAATACTCCCTCTCCTCCTCCTCCTTCTTCTCCGGTTCTCTTCCCCACCCGAGTTGTGTGCGCAGGTACGACTCGGTCGAGCCGTAGAGGGACTTGATTAGTGGGTTGAAGGTCGTGGTGTAGAGATCCTCGAGGCGTGGGTGTCGTTCGAGGAGTTCGAGGCGGCTGCTTGTCGCGCGCCTTCTCAGCCCACATTATTCAGAAAGAAGAGAGACTTGACGCACCACTCGGCAACGATCTCGCACAGCTCTTCCCACGTAAACAGCGGGTCCACTTCGTTCGCCAACTCGGTCGCCTGCCGCAAAACCGCCTTGATACGCTCGTCTCCTTCTCGAGGATCGGTCGAGCCGTTCGTGGGAGTCATCGGACGCCTGGACGAGCGGAGTGGGAGGGAGTGAGAAGTGCTCGGAGATGGGAGGTGGGGAGCGAGTGAGAGGGAGTGAGAGAGCGAGCGTGGCGTTGAGAGCAGGTGAGAGAGCACTTTAGAAAGCAGTCTAGGAGTAGCAAGAGTCAGATAGGGCGACAGCGTGAGAATGGTGTTGGTCGAACCTCCTCCTCCTCCTCGACCTCCTCTTCACCACAACCAGCTCACTGTCCGCTCGGCTGCTTGAGGAACACCGACACTGCTCCGATTAGCCGACTGCTCCAGCCGATATCGCTTGCCCGCCCGAAGTACCCACTGCCTCGTTCGGTCTGCTCTCGAGACGGATTCTTCGCTCGCTTCGCTGCGGCTTCTTGCGGGTCGGCTTTGTGGAGGCTGCGAGCGGTCGGGTCTATTCGGTGACTTGCTGCGACGGAGGCACGACCAGCTTCGGAGGCAGACCTCGCGGACTCTGCTGGTCTCGCAGGAAGAAAAGGACCTGCCGGACGAAGCGAGACGAGTCTCGTGTCTGCAGAGCTTTGCATTGCAACTCTCGCAACTGCTAACTAACTCACAAGACTTGCTCAACGCAGTTCACCGGCGAAGCGGACTCGTCTCGCTTTCCCTCCTGCGCCTGCTCGCCTGCTCCTCCTCTTCGCGTGCCGTACTCACTTCCGCCCACGTACAAGCCTCATCGGTTCTTCATTAACATACCGGTCGCAAGAACAACGGACAAGACACCTCTGTCGAGGGAGACTTTCCTCGGCCGGCCGCCGAGAGAGGGTGGCGGCGTGTGTTGGACCTCTCCTTCTTCTGTTTTGGCCGGCGTTGCCTGCGGGTTGTGGCGGATGCGGGGTACGAGGGTTGCGGACGCTGGCCGTGTGTATGCAGGGTGTCGAGGTCGCCGGTGGACGAGGACCAGGCGAGGACAGCAGCTCGAGAGGGAGGAGCGGCGGGACCAACGCTGTCGAGTTGAGCAGGAGAGTGCGTGCCCCTGCCAACGGCGGCAAGGTTGAAGCGGCGGCATGCGTTTGCTCGCGGAATGTTCCAACGGCTCGAGTTTCGAGTTGGTGGTTGCCCTGAAAGAAGTTTTGATTGGGACCGACGCGAGACTCGCTGCGAGCGGGCGACAACCCTCCTTTCACACCTCCTGGCTGCTTGCTGTGACTGTTGCGACTGTTGCTACTGTTACTACACGAGGCTACACACGCTCAGGCCATGGACGCACTCCGCTCACCACCGTCGTCCGCTTCCTCGTTCACCTTCCCCTCGTCTCCGGCACACGCGTCGACCTCGTCCCCCTCCTCGTCCAGCAAACTCGCAGCCGCGTTCGACTACCCAGTCCGACAAGACTCGCTCGCACACGCGCACCGCTCACACAACCCCTCGACCTCGACTTCGACCGCTTCCTCGTCCTCCTCGTCGCGCGGTAGAGGGCACGCGTACGCCTCGACCAGCAGCAGCAGCGCGGGCACTCGCAGCGCTTACACGTCCTGCACCAGCGACGCGTTCGACGAGGGCCCGGACTGCGAGGACGAGGACGAGGGACGCGAGTACTCGGATGCTGGGAGCGTCCTCGACGAGTTGTACGACGAACTCGCCGCGTTCCACCCGCTCGCCGGAAAGGACAACGAGGCTTCTCCTCCCCGCGGATACGGACGAACCGACTCGACCGCCCTCCTGCGCGAACGAACGCGCTACCGCTCCTCGGCCTCGTACTCTCCCACCCAAGCCCTCAACCTCCAGCGCAACGTCCTCCCCGGCGGCGCATTCGGTACCCTCTCCTTCGAACAACGCGACTCTCAACTCTCGCTCCTCGCTTCCATCGCAGCGAGTCCGTCGACGCCCCTCGACAGGTGTTTCTGCGGAAACGAGGCCGAGGAAGACTCGATCTACTGCGGGAGGGCTTGTGCGCAGGCTGATGCGTTGAATGCGCTTTGTGGAGGTGGGAGCGCAGCGGGGTCGAGTGGAGTCGAAGACGGAGCGGGAGCGGCGAGTAGTTCGTCGTCGTCGAGTGACGGGGCGAGTTTGAGGAGCGGTACGAGCGGAGGAATGGCAGAGTCGGGCTCGGAGAGCCACTACAGGCGCGTGGAGAGGGAGGCGGAGAGGCGCGCGAAGGAGCGCGAGAGGCAGGCTAGGAGGGAGAAGAAGGCCGGGCGGAAGCTGGGTCGGAGCGAGGCGGCTGCGCGACTGGAGGGACGTGCACAGGCGGAGGAGGAGGAGGAGCGAGAGCGCGTGGTGAGGCCCCCGCCGAGGACGACTTCCCGTCCTCCGTGTACGCGTACGAGCAGCCGAACCGGGACCGGCACGCCTTCGCTCTCGTCCTCCGTCTCGTCTCTCGCTTCATCCGCCCAACCCTCTCCCATCTCTCCCTGTTTCCCTTCTACCGCCGCCGCTCCCGAGTCTCCATTCATCGTCGAGCCCACCACCTCCTCCTCAGGCGCCTTCGAGCCTCCCCTCCGCCCCTGCACACCCAACCCCCCTTCCTCCGCCCACCTCGCCAACGACATCTACTCCTCATACCTGACCGCCACGCCGCTCGCCTCAGACAAACTCCGCACCCCTCGCGGCACGACGGGAACGCCAAGTTCGACGCTCGTTACGCCTCGAGCGACGTTTCCTCGCACACCTGGCGCAGAGGACGACGGGGAGGCGGAAGACGAGTCGCCTACTCAGCGCGGAGGCGGTGGAGGGGCGGAAGGAGTTGGGTTGAGGATGCTCGAGTTGTGCGCCGACGAGGAGGACGAGGACGAGGTTGAGGAGCGGGATCAGGTCAGCCCGGACCCGGATGAAGGAGGTTGGGGCGCGCAAGAGATGCGCGACAGGATGTGGGCGCGATCGGGGTCGGCCAGATCGTCGGCGTACGGGCACACGAAGGGCAAGTTGAGCTTCGAGGATGTGGTCGGGATCTTGGGCGCCTGAACGTCGATGGGCATCGCGATGGTTGTTTGACTAGGTGTACTGTACAGGGTTCTCTCGCACGCTTACTTACGACGGTTGTAGCGCCTCCTCACGCTCTCGCACTGTTTTGACTTGTCGTTTCTCATCTCCTTGACGAACCGCTTTGCAAAGACTGTATCGTACTCTCCTCCAGCAGCCTCTCTTCACACTCTCTCACGCTCTGCTCGCTCGCTCGCCTGCGAGGACCCCAAAACACCTCTCCGCACGTCGCGACACCGTCCGCTTGTTTTTCCTTGACCACAACAAGATGCCCCGCATGCCGCGCGATGGACTGGCTCGATGCGAGCCTCGCTTCTTTCGACCCCTTTGAGCGGACTTGTTCTCTGCGCTTCGTTGGCGGAGAGAAGGAAGGACGAGGAGGAGGATTGCGAAGGTCCTCCTTTGTGCGTTCGTCTCGCTCGAGGTCGACGTCGTCGCGCGGATCTCCACGCTCGCGCGGCGATAAAGACGACGCACTCCTCGCTCGCGATGCAGATCCATAGCCAGCGGGAAAATGACAAGCGAGTCGCGCGACGAGAGGGAAGCGTTCCGGGAACGTCGTTCTCGAGAGTGGTGAATCAAGCTTCGAGTTGCGCGGAATGCACTTCCTGCGTTGCAGAAACGTCGAATAGGACCTGCTGACCTGGACAAACGAGCGAAAGAAGCGCGAGGAGCAGAGCAGCAGCAGGTTCTTTTGGCATTTTCGTCGCGGACGAGCGCGGCAGGACGCCCGGCTCCCATTCTTATTTTCTCGCGTCCCGCGATCGCCAGGTTGCCTCTTGGCCCGCGCAACCGAGAGCGCTCGCTGCGACAGTCTCGGAACGAGCAGAGTCCGTCCCGCGACGAGTTCGCTTCAACTGTTTGCTGCTCCTCGCTGGGACTGCTACGGACGCTCGTTGCTCGACGGGACAGACGCAGCCCGCGCAAAGTCTTCCCGCAGCCGACCCACCCCGCCCCGCTCCGTCGTCGATTGAAGCGAAGGACAAGTCGCGTGCTTCTCGGCGACGCAACAGCCTGGTGCGTTCAACTCGCGCGCGGGATAGACTCACAGGACGGGACTGACCACTTGTACCGGCGCAGAACGCGTCCGACACGTCTCTGCGACCCAGGCGCTCTCCACCACCCTCTTTTCGGCGACTCGCGGCAGATTTGCGACCCCGAGACCCGCTCCGAGCGCTGGGACGACCTCTACAGGCGCACGGACACCGATCCAGTCCAGCTAGACGAGCGAGCGGCCGCACCGGATGCCTGATCTCGCCCACTTCGACCCGTCGAGCGTCGACTCCTCCCCGTCCCGAAGTCGACCTGTCCCGCGACCGCTCGACCTCGCTTCGGTCAAGCGACTGGACGGGAGTACGGGTTCACCATTGTCGGGCGAGATGAGCGCATTGGCGGCGGACTCTGCGGGCGAGGTGGACTTGCGGGCCCGGGTCGCGGAGGAATCGCTTGGCGAGGTGGATGTCGGCGTGCGCGAGCCTGCAGAGGGCGAGGAGGAGCGGCAGGAGCTTAAGCAGTCGCAGCGGCAGACTGGGACCAGCGGCGCTGCTCGCCCACCTCCTCTCGACCTCCAGCAACCCTCGACTTCGACTTCGCACCTCTCTGCTCGCTCTCTCCCTCCGTCCACCGCACCTTCGCCGCAGCTCAGCCGCTCCGTACTCGGATACACCTCCTCGACACGCTCCACGACCGGCTCGCCCTACCGCCGACGAGCGACTACATCCGGACTTAGCAGCGGGCGAAGAAGCGAGCCTGTCGCTCCTCTCGCTCTCAATGGCAGCGGGCCGTCAAGCGCTGCGCAGCCTCCTGCAGGAGCCAGCTCGAGGTTCTTGTTGACGGTCGTCCCGCCCGGACACTTGCCGCATGATCCGCCTCATCCGAGGTCGAATCCGTCCGCATCTGGCTACGGTCCTCCCAAGCACTTCCGGTGCGCTGGTCCTGCTATGCAACGACTCGATCCGAAGGCTGACCACTTGGACGCCCACAGCCGCGGAACCCTCGTCCCTCTCTACCCAACTCTCTCCTCCCAACTCGCCGCAATCGCTCGCGAATACGGCCTACCCTCTTCCGGCGGCCTCGTCCTCTACCTCCTTTCGACCACCGACCCCTCGACGCAGCAGCCTTTTCCGCAAGCATCTGGCTTCGCCGGCGAAGGCGGACCGAGGATAAGCGAGACGGCGTGGAGCATGCTTTGGGCGCAGCTGTTTGCGGAAGAGGAAGCGGAGCGGGAGATGGCGTTCTTGCGGCAGCAGGAGGCTGAGATGGGGTACTCGGACGAGGAGGGAGAGGCAGACTACTCGGACGTCCCGCCGCCTGTTCCGCCTATCCCCGTTCAGCACGACCAGCAGCCGCCACGACAGCGACAGACGTCGGAGAGCGACAACGCCATCCTCTCCGACGAGAACGAGCCGGTCAGCCAGTCGAGCGATGCGGGTGCCAGCGGCGACGGATCCGTCTACTCGGCTGCGACAGGCGCGGCAGAAGGATCGGTCAAGGACAAGCAGAACGCGTCTGCGAGTCGGCCGTCGTCGCTCGCGCAGGCGGGACTTGGTCGAGGACTACCGTCTGCGCTGACCTCGCCAAACGCCCGCTTCTCGAAGCGATTCACGTCGCTTCCTCCGAACCTCCCGCCCCGACACCAGCGACATTCTTCACGCCACTCAGTCCGCTCGGCCTCGAACGCCCCGCGCAACCACCGCTCCTCGTCGTACATGTACTCCGCCCCACCTCACTCAGCCGGCGGTCTCCGCTCCGCTTCCTACGCCTCGTCCCACTTTGCGCCCTCCCTCTTCTCAGCCGGTCCTTCGCTTCCCTCGTACGGCGCGTCAGTCGTCGTCGGCAAGATCGAGTTCGACATCCACGCTTCGACGAGGCAGGGCAAGTGGTACGAAGCTTGGCTCGCAAGCGCTGCGCCAACGCCTGTCATCCCAACTGTCCCTGCCTCGCGCGAAATGGAGGCGGGCAAGGCGCCGGAGACGGAGAAGGCATGGCAGGAGCTGCACCTCCCGAACCTCGTCGCGGCCAAGACGCCTCAGCAACCGGAAGCGCGAGGACTCGGCGTCGACCAGGGTAGCGCCATCCCGTCTCCTCACGCGCGCAGCGTCGACGAGCAGACGACGCCTTCTAGCCGCACGCGGTTGTTGACTACGTCGACAGGAGGCTTCGTCTCGCCCATCGTGCAGTCGCAGAACCTCGAGTCGGCCGAGTCGAGCTTCTCCCTCGCGGGGCTTGCGGGACACAGTCCTGAGCCCAGTCCTCGAACTGAGCGCGAGGCGGTGGACGACGAGACGGACCGGACTGTTGAAGACCTGGAGAAGACGCCGCTAATCGACTCGCGCGACCTCCAGCCTCTGCGGCATGACGAGGCGGCACCTCCTACCGAGGCGGCACTCGTGGACTCGTCCATCGTCGACAAGGACGACATCGTCGGGCCCGAGCGACCGACGTACTCCCGCTCGCCAAGCTCACTCCCCTCCCGTCCTGCCTCAAACGCTTCGACGCAGCTCGACTCAAGCGAGCGAGGAACGGACGACACACCTCTCCTCGAGCAGGAGGCCGAGCATGCGGGCTATCAGGCGCTGGACGACGACGAACCGCCCAAGGCGGAAGACGCGGACAGCGATTCGGACGATTCGCGGTATGGCGTACAGACGACTGAGAGCGAACAGCTCGATCAGCAGGCTTCCGGCGTAAAGGATCCGCTGGGCGACGTGTTCGGCTCGGACGAGGCGACTTGGCGGTCGATTGCGGCGGACGACACGGTTCCTCGCTGTGACGAGCGCGAGGTCATCGAGACGACCGGCCTCGGCTTCACAGGCTCGCAGAACCTCGCAACCCTCGACGACGCTCCGCCCGGTATCGTCGAACGTCGTCCCGACGACGAGAGTCTCGACGAGCGAGGTTTGCCGCCACCGCAGGACGACGTCGCGGACGTCCAAGCGATGCTTAGTCCGTCCACACCTACTGCACCGACACATCCCCCTTATCTCGCATCGCCCATCCGGCTGGACGGCAAGAGCGAGTCTGCCGCGGACGTCTCGCGTGATGCGGTGCAGGAGGCTGTCGCGCCTGCTGCTTCGAGTTCGAGCGGGGAGGAGCGCGCCCAAACCTCGCCGTTCCTCGCCTCGCACTCGAGCAAGACGTCGATCAGCACGATCAACTTCACGGTCCGCCCGCCCTCGACCACGGCATCCATGTCGCCCGAGTTCGTCCCTCAGCGGAAGCAGCGTCACGGCTGGACGAACATCCCGCCTGTCGTCGACCCGTCCATGTCGGCGTCGTCGTCGCTGTCGTCGATTGCGCCGCTCGCCGAGGAGGAAGGCGACGTCAGCGAAGGGTCATCGGCTGTCGGACTCGAGCGCAACCTTGACGACCTCGAACGAGCTCTCGCTGAGCTGTCGCCACGCGCTCTTCCGACGAGCAGGATGCCGCATTCGCCTTCGACGGTCCTTGCGCAGGCGGATGAGCCGCAAGCCGGACCTTCGCTTCTCGCCAGTCGTCGAGCCTTCCGGTACGGGGCACCCGCTTCGCCCGACCTTGGCTCATCGCCTCGCTTCGACTTCGAGCAAGCCGAGAGTCCCGCACGGCAGCTCGATTTCGCCCCGGTACCCGCGCCTGGCCTTCCCGACGAGCCTCGGGCAGAGACGCTCGCAGCTCCGCCAGCAGAGCGACCTCGCATTCCGCGGTCGTCGTCGTTGCACAAGCCGGCGGGACATCCGCAACCGCATCTCGTCGCGTTGCCGCCATCGCCCCTGCCCGAGACCATCGCCGCTTTCGCTTCGCCTTCGCCTGAACCAGAAGAAGCTCCTGTCCCGACCCTGCCTTCAGCTAGTCCGTCATGGCCCGCGCCTCCCCCGCTTCCTCTCTCGCCTGAACCTGCACCGGTACCTCCAACAAGCTTCGCAGACATCGTGCCGCCTCCGCCGCCCGCGAAGGAGGAAACGCCGGCCCCTCAACCTCGTTCGCCTGGCCCGCTCAAGTCGCTGCGAAACGGCAAATGGGGCAGTCGAAGCAAGAGCATCGACGCGGGCAAGGCGGGCTCACCAGCCGACGCGTCCGAAGAGTCGTCTGGGTCGAAGAGTCCGCTCGGCAGCTTCTTCGGCAAGTTTGGCCGGAGCAAGTCGCGCAAGTCTGATCGTGAGTACGCGTCCTGGCTCTGTTGCGAGCCTCCGCTAATCCCCGTGCATCCAGCTACTTCGCCGGAACCGCCTTTGCCGATCCAGCCTTTCGACGCAGCGATTCCTCCAACAGGCCCCGAGCCGGCTCAAGCCGAACACGTGCAGCCTTCACCGCATCCCCCTCGCAAGCAAAGCCTCGACGTTGCCCGACCACGCCGTCCCTCCGTCTCTGGATCGCTGCCGCGCGACTTCGCAGCAGATGAGCCTCTGCCGCCGTTCCCGCCGTCTCTCGCCGCCAGCGTGACGACCGCTCCGCAGCTGCCGCCCTTCTCGCCGTCTGAGGAGACGACACTGGACAGCTGGAACGCGGCGGCGGTTGGCGAGGCATCTCCCGTGGGTACTCCGCTAGAGGCCCAACCCCTCTTCAGCGGCACCCGCTTCGAAGGTCACGAGCAGCCTGCCGCTCCGTTGAGTCAAAACGCCGTACAAGGGTCGGCTGCGTTGCCGCCTGTGGAGGGTGCCGCATCTTCCGACTTCTCCGCTCTCGCCTTCCCGGCAGGCATCCTTCCTCCCGCGGCGCCTGCAACTCCTCGCTCGCCGCCAACTGCATCATCATCGGCGAACGACAGTCCAGCAACGGGCGAAGTCGTATCGCCGTCGGCCTTCCCGCAACCGCCAACAACGCCTCGCTACCCAGCCTCCGCGCCCGTCACGCCTGCCGGGTGGCCTCTTGCGACGCCATGGACGAGAAGCGGCGGCAAGCGGCGCTTGAGCGCCGACATCGACCAGCTGCTAAGCCAGATGAACGACATCGAGTTCGGACTTGGCGACGACGACGACGCGGCGAAGGCTCACCCTGCTGTCCCGGCAGTTCCGTTGCCGTCGGCGCCAGTACCTCCGATGCCTGTGCAGGCGGTTGTTGTCGCGGACGAGGCGACCGCACCTGAGCTGGCCGCATCGCCTGCACCGTATCTCGTCGAGCCAGACGCATCTCTCGCCTACGTCGGCGAGTCGACCTCCCCCACAACTCCGCCGATCGCCCTACCTTCGTTCGACGCGCACGATGCGACGGCTTCAAGTGGCGGCGGCTTGCTCGGCGTCCAGCAATCCCTCGACAGGCCGCTCAGCGAGGACTTGCGTGCGCTTGGATCGATGATGACCGGCATGGTTGCGTGAGTCTCGCAGCATGCCTTCCTCGCGTTATAGGACGAGTACTGACCTCGCCACTTCCGCCAGCTCGCCGCCGACGAGCCCTCCCAGCAAGACGACCGGTCTCACCTCCTCCGACTCTGCCTACCTCGACTACATCGTCGCTTCGTCTCCACCTGCGACGAACGCCGCTCTTGCGTCGGCGTAGAGGCTCGTCCTCGCACGGAGTCTTCGCATGGAGACGCTTCCCTGCCTGTCCGGTCTCCCTTTTCCCTCCGCACTCCTCGCTTCAGCGCATCCGGCTTTCGCCATGCTTCTCCCTCCGTCTCGTCCATGTCTGTACGCAACACCGGCTCTGTCTATACTCCATCAGCGACAAACTTGTTCTCGCCTCACGAGTTTCCCTCCATCCCTCGTCGCTCGCCTTGACATTGCCTTGACATCCCTCTCTCTCTTTATTTCGCGCATGCCCTGGAACCTGTAGTAGACGACTGAAGCTTATCTGCCCTGTGCAAGACGAACTGAATGAACAAGCAGCGACCGCCCACTCTGAGCCTATTAAAGCAATACAACTCGAGTTGTAATGGATCGATTACATTCTCGTCCCCACTCCCTTATACCCCGACGACCTGCTCGCCTCGACTGGAGCGACAGGCGCGAGCTAGATACGCCTTGCTACGATGGCTGAGCTCGCTGCGCCAGCTGGCGACGACCTCCAGCAGCAGCTCGAGTCTCTCCGCGCCGTATCGACTCGCCAGCAACTCGAGTCGGAACAGGCGCTGCACGACCTCTCGTCGAAGCTCTCGGCGGCCGAACAGGACCTCGCGAGTGTCCGAGGCGAGCTTGCATCTGCCAAGACTAAGGCGGAACAGGAGCGCGCGAAGAGGGAGGAGGCAGAGAGGCGGGTTGCTCAACAAGATGAGCGGAGAAAGGGAGACCAGGGCGTCGAGGAGGAGGCTAGGAAGAAGCTGGAGCAGTGTGAACGGGAGAAGCGGGACCTGATCGAGGCAGTCGAGAAGGAGCAGCGCGAACGGGCGTCTGTTGAAGGTGCGTCTCGCATCGGCTCCATCCTTGCTGGTGTCGACGGGCGATGCAGGAGATCCTGCCGCTCACGGACTTACTGACGAGTTCTTGGTTTATGCAGAATCGCTCGAGTCGCTACGGACGTCGTACACTGCCCTCCGAACGACCAACTCGGAACTCGAAGGTCAACTCGCCGAAGCGTCCAGCACCTCGCGCACCTCCCTCCTCCGCATCCAGACTCTCCAGAGCACCGTATCGTCCCTCGAAGCCGACAAGTCCTTCCTTACGAGCGAACTCGAGCGTGGACGGGCGGAATGGTCGACCTACCGTCACGAAAAGCACGAGGAGCTTGTCCAGCTCCGCGAGCAGCTCGAGACGAAGACGATCGAGGAACGCGCAGCCAAGTCGTCGCTGGAGGGTCTCCGCAAGGCGCACGAGACGCTCGAGAAGCGGCATGAGGAGACAATCGCCGAACTCGCCAAGGTTCGAGGCGAGCTCGCCAGCAGCGAGAACCAGTTTGCGACGGAGATGTCGAGCATGAGGCGATTGGTCGACTTGATGGAGAAGCGGGAGGAGGAGCGAAAGAAGCGGGTGGAGGATGTCGAGAAGGCGCTCGAGGAGGAGAGGGCAGCGTTGCAGGAGAAGGAGGAGGAGCTCAAGGACCAGCTGCTGCAGGAGTGCGAGCGGGCAGACTCGCTCGAGTCGCGCAACGCCGAGCTTCGCGAGGCTCTCGAGCGGGGCAACTCGTTCACCTTCGCCAATGGCGTCCGCGACTCATCCGTCGCCCCCGGCTCGCCAAGTGGCTCTATCGCATCAGGCTCGTTTGCCCTCAGCCCGTCGGCGCAGCTCGCTGTGCGCGGTCAGAAGAGCGGACGGAGCTACGCCGAGATCTACGGCGAGTACATCAAGATGGAGGAGGAGCTTGCGAGGGAGCGGGCCGAGACCAAGAGGCTCGGCGAGGTGCTCACGCAAATCCTTGGCGACATTGAGGAGCGGGTGCGTTCGTGCGCAACTTTCCAGGTATCGCATTTTCGCTGACAACTCGCATTCGTAGGCACCTCTCCTGCACGAGCAGCGGCTCGAATACGAGCGACTGTCAGCCGAAGCCACCGACCTCGCTTCTCAACTCGCCCAGGCCCTCACCGACCGCGACACTTCCGAGCGCCGCGCCGAATCTCTCCGCCTCGACGTTAGCCGCCTCTCGACCGACAACACCATCCTTACGCAGCAGCTCTCCGATCTCGGCCGTCAAGTTCGCACCCTGTCTCGTGTGCTCGCGGCGCAGGAGAACTCGTCGATCCAGGGCGATGCGAACGAGTTTGACGAGGACGAGGCTGCCATCCTGCGACGAGCGGAAGAGATTGGCGACACCGACTCGGTCGTCTCCGCCCACCTCGTCACCTTCCGCACGGTCAACGAGCTTCAGGTGCAGAATCAGAAGTTGCTCAAGATCACGCGCCAGATGGGACACCAGCTCGAGCAAGGCGAGCAGGAGGCAGCGGCTAGGCGACAGGGCGAGGAGAACAAGGCGGTCGAGGAGGCGCACGAGCTCATCCTGCGATTGAAGGAGGAGATCGAAGCGCAGCGTGCGAGAACCGAGGCGTACGAGAAGGAGCGTGACATGTTCCGGCGGATGCTGGCGCAGCGAGGTGCAGCAGGAGGAGCCGCAGGTTCCGTAACCGCGACGAACGGTGCCGGTGACGGCTTCACAGGCGACATTGAAGCGTCAAGGATGCTCGCCGAGGTTCAGGCCAACTTCGACGCTTACAAGGCCGAGATCGCCATCGACACCCAGAAGCTGCGAGAAGACCTCACGCAGGCACAGAAGGACGCGGCCACTGCGCGGACCGAGTTGGCGAAGAGCAAGGCGCAGGCAGAACATCTGGCCGGTGAGCTCGCATTTCCGCGCGCCCCGCGAATAACCCGCTCATGAACGGCTCTGCGCGCAGAGCGCTTCCGCCTCTTGACCGAGTCGTACGACTTGCAGAAGACGGAGGTCTCGCAGATGTCGAAGCGTAACCTCGAGCTGCAGCAGATGCTCGCCAAGCGCGACATGGCGACGCACAAGGTGAATGACCCTCTCGCCCCGCACTTGTGTGGATGCTGACTTCGTCTCCTCCCCCGCAGATGTCGGAGGACCTCTTCGAATTGCGCGGAACCGCCGACCAGCTGCGCCACGAGAACACCAACCTCAAGTCGGAGCGGGAGATTCTCAAGAACGTCGAGAAGCGGCTGAGCGAGGAGAACGCGGCACTGAGCAAGGAGCGCGCTCACCTCGCCGACCTCATGCGCAACCTGCAGACGATGCAGAATGAGCTCGAACGTGGCAGCAACGACGCCCGCCGTCGCCTCGAGGAGCAGGTTACCCGCCTCGAGACTCAGGCGTGAGTGCAGACACTTCGCGCTCGCACCGACGGTCGCTGACACCCAGTCTCTCAGTGCCGAGCTCAAGGAGCGACTCAACCAGGAGTCCGATACGAACCGCCAGCTCGCTCTCCGCAAGGAGATCGAGTCGAAGACCTTCCAGGAGCGCATCGACAAGCTCGTGGGTGCTATCGCTGATCGGCTAGATGTATAACGCCTGACTCCGTTTCCCGCAGAACGCCGACTACGCCGAGACGCGCGAGAAGCTCGTTGCCGCAGAGACTTCGCAGCAACACCTCGAGCAGCGCGTCCAGGATCTCGTCCTGCAGGTCGAGGCCAAGGAGGAGAAGCTCGCCGTCTACGAAGGGCGCTCGGCGTCCGGCGAGTCGTCTCAGTCTGCCGAGGAGCAGCTTCAGGTCACGGTTGCGGATCTTCGGTGAGCATCGCCTCCCCTCTTGCGTCAGCATCCGACTGACGTAAGTTCGCCCTAGTAACGAGCTCCGCGCGGTCAGGAGCGAGCTCGACCGCGCCAAGGAGCACGTCAAGCAGTACCAGGCCATCGCGGAGACCCAAGGCGAGAGCCTGCGCGAGGTCACGGCGACCTACGAGGAGTACAAGACCTCGACCGAGTCTGCCATTGCTGAGAAGGACGTGCGTCATGCACCCTTTGCCGTGTTCGAGGGCAAGTGCCTAGACTGACCGCGCATCGCCTCTCCCGCAGAGCGAGATCAGCAGCCTCCGCGAGCGACTGCACTCGCTCACGACCGACCTCACCGCCTCGAACGCCCAGAACTCGGAGCTCCACCGCCAGATCGAGGCCGAGCGCGTCGCCTTCGAAAAGGAGCGCAAGACGTTCGAGGACGGCATGGCCGGCTTGCGCGCTGCCGACGAGGCTGCCAGGCAGGCTCAGCTCGCCGCCCAGGACGACATGCGGCGACAAGCGCAAGCTGCGAAGGACGCCCACGACAAGTACGAGCGCGAGCTGGTTGCGCATGCCGAGGACGTCAAGCGGCTCACCGAGGTCAAGGAGGAGCTCGAGCGCGTCCGCGGCACCGTCCGCGAGCATGAGTCTGCCGCCCAGGTCGCTCGTGCTAACTTGACGGCCGCCGAGGAAAGCTGGACGAGGCAGAAGACGGTCCTTGAGCGGGAGCTTGGCGAAGTGCGCAAGCGGTGCGTTTGCCAATGTCCGTGTGCGCGCTTTTTGCTGACGATGGTCAACTGTCACAGATCGGAAGAACTCAAGGAGCAGAATTCGACGCTCGCTCAGCATCTCGAGACCGCCTCTGCCCAGGCCATCCAGCTGCAGGCTCGCTCAAGTTCTGCGCAGGGCGCTGCCGAAGGCGACGGCGCAGATGCCGAGTCAGTCGAGGCCGTCGCAGCTTCGCATAGCAGCTCGGTCGAGCAGCTTCGCGAGGTCATTCGCTACTTGCGGCGCGAGAAGGACATCATCGACCTTCAGCTCGACTTCAGCAAGCAAGAAACGACTCGCCTCCGTCAGCAGCTCGACTTCACTTCGCGAAGCCTCGAGGAAGCTCGGCAGACTCTGCAGGAGGTGCGTCACCAAGCAACTCACCCGCCGAGCTTCCCGCGCTGACATCTAGACTCGCAGGAACGGTCGAGGGTCGGAGACGCCCTCGCCAGCTCCGCCCAGCACGCCGAGCTTCTCGAGTCGATTCACACCGCTAAGCTTCTCCGCGAGAGCAACGACACCTTGCGCGACGAGAACGAGACGAACCTGCGCAAGGTCGCGACGCTTGAAGGACAGCTTCGTACCGCACAAGCCGAGATTGAGCCCCTCAAGGAGCAGGTCCGCATGCTCCAGGCCGAACTCGAGGCGGCGCAGCATCAGGCGAAACTGCTCGAGGAGGACAACGAACGGTGGAAGACTCGCAACCAGACGATCCTCGCCAAGTACGAGCGGATCGACCCGGAAGAGCTTCAGGTTCTCAAGAGCGAAGTCGAGAAGGTTCAGGCATCGCTCGCGACAGCCGAAGCCGAGAAGGCGGCCCTCAACATCCAGCTCGCGGAGCAGACCAAGCTGGCGCGTTGTCCGCCCTGTCTCGCTCGAGGGACGCTGCTGACACATATCCTTGCGCTTTGCAGGCCGAGTCGATGCGCAGCAACTGGCAGAACGGCTTCGAGCGCTTCAAGAATCTCCAGGTCCAGGCTCGCACTACGCGCGACGAGCGCAACACCCTCACCAAAACGGTCGAGGAGCTCAAGCAGCAACTCGAAGCTGCGGGTGGCGCCGACGCCATCGCCGCCGCCGTCGTGCGTTTGAGAGGCTTCTATAGCCCCGCTCCACAACTGACGTGTGTTCTCTCGCAGGCTGAGGCTCAGGCCGAGTCGAAGCAAGCGCTCGCCGAACTGCAAGCCCGCCTCGATGCTCTGCAGGCTGAGAAGAATGCGCTCGAGGCTCGACTCGCCGAGAACGACAATGCTCAAGGCGATGCCGTCAAGCCGCTCGAGGAGAAGCTCGTCGCGCTTGAGGCGGAGAAGCAGACCCTGACGGCGGAAAAGCAGACTCTGACGGCAGAACGCGATGTTCGTCCAACTCCTTCCTTCTGGTTTCGATGGCGACACTGACAGCTTCCCTTGCAGCGCCTCGCCGCCCGCGAAGCACCCATCTTCCGCGACAACGTGAGTATCCTCGTCTCGCCTCGCTTCAGATCAGTCCTCACTCTTCATCTCACCCACCGCAGCGCGAAATGAAGGCCGAGATTCGAAAGCTCAAGGGAGAGCTCGAGACCCTCAAGGCCAGCGTCGCGTCCGACAACGCCGCCGCCATCGAATCTGCCGTCCAGACCCGACTCGCCGAAGCCGCTCCCGCACCGGCTGCCCCGGCTGCACCGACCGAAGAGCAGATCGCCGAAGCCGCCAAGGAGCGCGTCGCTGCTGCCGAAGCCCAACTCACGGCACAGCGCGACGAGGCGATCGCTCAGGCTGTCAAGGAGGCGACTGCGCCGCTCGAGCAAACCCTTGAGACTCTTCGCGCCGAGCTCGCTGCTGCCAAGGCCGCTGCCGAAGCAACGTCTACTGCCGCACCGGGCGAGTCGACGAGCGACGAGGATGCGAAGAAGGCGATCGCGGACGCGGTCGAAGCGTCGAAGAAGGAGATGGAGGCCGAGTTCGCCAAGGTCAAGGATGCTGCGACCGCCGAGGCCGTCAAGAAGGAGAAGGAGGCTATCGAGCGTCTTACTGTCGCCCTCCGCAAGGCTCAACAGCAGGCCAACGCGGCCGCAGTCGCCTCTTCTGCTGCGCCTCCGCCCAACATCGACGCCATCGTCAAGGAGAAGGTTGCCGCGATCGAGAAGGAGCGCACCGCGTCCCAACAGCAGGCGATCGAGAAGGCCGTCAACGAAGCGCTGAAGAAGCAGAAGGAGGAGCACGAGAAGCTCCTGAAGGAGACGCGGGAGCAGATCGAGAAGCAGGCGCAAATGAAGAACGCCCTCCTTCAGAAGACGGTCAACGGTCTCCGCGCGCGCCTCGAAGGCCAACAGAAGAAGCCGGAGGACGGAGCCGCCAAGCCAGCAGCATCCGCCACACCCGCCGCCGCTTCGCCTCCCGCCCCCGCACCTGCTGCCGGCGCCGCAGCGGCACCGGCGCCAACTACAGCAGTGCCTGCCAAGCCCGCTCAGGCGACACCGGCCTCGGCAGCTCAGCCAGCAGCGCCTGCGCAACAATCGCAGGCTGGCGCAGCAGCAGGGCGAGGAGGAGCAGCAGCGGGGCGAGGCGGGCGTGGAGGTGCTGCGCGAGGACGAGGAGGAGGAGCTACGCGCGGTGGCAAGGGCGCAGCGTCGCCGCCTGCGTCGTCGAATGCGCAAGCAGCCGGCGCCGGTGCGGCACGAACGCCTGGCGGCGTCCTCGGGTCGATTCTCGGCCGCGCGGCGGCTGCGAACGCCTCACAAGGTGCAGGAGCGAAACGTGCGAGGGAGAGTGACGGTGATGCCGCAGGAGCAGGAGGAACGGGAGGAGACCAGTCGAAGCGGCCGAAAGGAGCGTGAGGAGGAGGACTTTCGACTCCGCTCCCGTTCCGGACATTGTGTGTAGCTACCTTCGCATTGTAGTAGTGATACCCTCCAACTCGTCACCGAGCCGCGCTGCCGCATACGAGAGAGTCGACCCTCGTCTGCGTCGTCCAACACCTCATCCTGGTCCTCCTCGCCCCGCTCTCTTCTTTCGCTCGCGAATGCATCGCCCGAGGATCTACATGGTTTCTGCACCGAGTCGAGCCTGTCCTGCCGGCCGCACAGTCGACTGCGCCGATTTGCCAGCTTCATCGCCTCGAAGTCGAACGGGCGATCCAACACCTCGCACAGCGCTCGCGACGGGATGGGTGATATGCCGGGGTGGCCTACACGATAGCTGCGTCTAGGCGAGCCGCTTGCACGACTGCGCCGGTCAGTGGCAGCACACTCAGCCCGTCCAGCCCCTCCGTCACTCGCCCGCTTTTGGAAGGGCACATCCTGTCTCGACAGACCGGCTCGACGAGTGCCTTGGCCGCACGAGGGAGTATTGCAAGGTGCTACGGACGGAAAGAGATTGCTCAGGGCGGCGACTGCGGTCGCGACCTGACCCTTGCACTCCCCTGCTCACCGACCGCTTCCCTTTCTTCTTCACCTCGCTGCTGCTTCGCCGGACGTCGCCCAGCGCGCTTCCTGCGTTCTCTCGCTCTTCCTTGTATCCAGCAACTCGCACACGCCAAGGTCTCGCCGTCCACAACCGGCTCGCTTCACCCTCTCTCGCTCGCCAGCAACCAGCCTCCTCCGCGCCATCCCCTCTCTTTCGCCCGTCAGCCAACTCGTTACAGCACCACTGCACAGCACGACATGCGCACCACCAGTCTTGTCCTCCTCTCGCTTGCGTCGGCGTCCTCGCTCGTCGCCGCCAAGCCGGCGGAAGGCGGTTCCATCGAGGCGCTCCTCGACCGCGTCGCCCAGCGCAGCAACCCCTCCGCCTCTGCTAAGCCATCTGAGACGCCTGTCGTTGTCGAGGACGGCGTCAAGCCGGCTCCGGCTGTCGAGAAGGCGGACCTTTCGGTCGAAGAGGACGATGGCCGTGAGTCTCCGCTTCCTGCGTTCGTGCGTTCGAAGCTGACCCCACGATGCAACAGCTCGCAACAAGCTCGTCAGGCGCTCTCGCGCTCAGAAGCACGAGAAGATGGCGAAGAGATGGGTGTGGGCGACAAGCATCATCCAGGACGGTGCCACGGGCGCTCCTCCCGTCGGTAGCAATGCCAACCTCTTGTCCTGTAAGCTCGGGTTCGCAGGTGGGTTCGCGGCGCCACTGACTCTTCTTTGCGACAGCGTCGACCACAATCGCCGCCGACACCCCGGCTGCGACTCTCGTCGCTCCGTCGTTCCCGCCCGTCAGCAGTGTGGGCGCGAGCAGCACCGTCGCTCCCGCTGTCGCCAATGCTACCTCCTCGTCGACGACTGCCTCGGTCGCTAGCCAGACGACCGGTCTCTTGACCAAGGTTCGCCAGACATTCAAGCAGCGCGAGCACGCCCTCATCGCTCGCGACTACGAGGATGAGGAGGACGACTACGCTGACGAGGAGATCGATTTCGAGGACGAGGAGGACGATGTCGAGGAGCGCCAGGAGAAGAAGCGCTGGGTCTGGGCGACCGGCATCATCCAGGACGGGGCTACGGACGCCCCTCCTATCGGCCAGAACGCCAATCTCCTCACGCCTTCGACGACCATCGTCCTCAACACGCCGGCCGCGACGCTCGTCCCGCCGACTTTCGCTCCCGTTGCTGCCACGACTCCCGCTGCGTCGCAGGCTCCCAACGTCCTTGTCGCGCCGGTCGCGGTCAACTCCTCGTCGACCACTACGTCGGCCCCGAAGACGTCGATGACACCTGTGGCGCGCAAGTTCGGCCACAAGGCCGTCGGTCGCGCGTTCCACGGCCAACAGGAGAGCAGGCGCTGGGTTTGGGCCACGTCCATCATCCAGGACGGCGCTTCGGATGCTCCGCCGGTCGGCGAGAACGCCAACCTCCTCAGCTCGTCCGCCTACCCGGTCACGACGCCTGCTGCCGCCCTCACGCCGCCTTCGTTCCCTCCCGTGGCGGCCTCGAGCTCCATCTCGTCCTCTACCACGCCTCCTCCCGCCCCGTCGTCGACGACCGTCCCGCCTCCTGCCATTGCTGTCGCCGCCGCTCCGACGACCCTCGCTGCGCCCGCCGCTGCCACCACGACGTCGGCAGCTCACGGCCTCGCCGCTTTCAACCCCAAGCACATCTTCGAGGAGATTGAGGCGGGCTTTGAGAAGCTCTTCCACATCCATCAGTCGACGACGACCGCCGCACCCGTCCAATCGACCTCGGCTGCGCCGAACGCAAAGCGCTGGGTTTGGGCGACCTCGATCATCCAGGACGGCGACCCTAACGCTCCCCCCGTCGGCTCGAACTACAACCTCCTCTCGGGTACGACGCCCGCCAACACGCCTGCGGCCACCCTTGTCCCGCCCTCGTTCCCGCCCGTGAAGGCCACCCCGCCTTCCTCGTCGACCACAACTCCTGCCGCTTCGAAGACGCCCGTCCTCGCTGCCTCGCCGGTCTCGCATTCGCCGACCCACCGCGTTCTGTTCAAGGATCGCCACCCTGCCTCGGCCTCGTCGCCTCCGCCTGTCGTCGCTGCTGCTAACGCCGCAGTCACCCAGTCAATGCTCTCGGCCGCGACCAAGCCAACGTCCGCCGCTCAGCAGTGGTACCGCGCGGACCCGAAGAGGAAGAGGATGGCTCGTGCCAAGCGCGCTTAGACGGTCGCAGCTAGCTAGTCGGACTGGCTCCGATGGACTCTTCCCTTCCTCCCTCCCTCGTACTCTTTCTCGCATGTACCCTCCCTCTCCTTCGCACCTGGCTTGCTCGTTCCTTGCATCACTGCCTGTAGCCCTACATACACCTCGCTTCGTGACTTTCGCTTTCGTTGCGCTTGACCGCAATGTATACCCTCTCTCGTCTCTTCAAGCTCCTACGAGAACGTTCAAGCTCTCTACGAGAACGTCAAGTTGCCGCCCTTTCTGCAGCGAGTCGCTCCACCCGGCTACACAACCGCTCAAACTGGAAGTCGAAAGCCGACTCCTCCGTCAGGATACGCTGCTCCGGCTCGAGGTGGCGATTCCGCTCGTCCTCTCCTTCAAAGACCACCGTGACGCCACGCTTCTCCCACTTGTCCACCCAGATCTTGACCATCTCCCGCCTTGACTCTTTCGCGTCGTCTCGCCAGTCGCAGTAGCTTTGCGGAAGCCACAACTCGCGGAGGTTGGGCTGGCGAGAGGCGAGTTGGTCGGACGTCTCGTGGTCGACGAGCAACCATGGTACGGACAGTGTGAGCGGCGAATAGTCGTTGAGGCGGAGGATGAGGAGCGACTTGGGCAGGTGAGGGAGGGCGAGGCGGAGCGGGATCTGGTACATGTCGAGCAAGAGCAAGTTGGATTTGGCGAGTGAGGGAGGCGCATCCGTGATTGTCGACAGGCAGGTGAGTTGAGAGACGTCGAGAGTGGACGAGGGAGAGTCTTCGGATGGGCAGGCGAAGGAGAAGCGCGAGAGCGAGGGGAAAGTCGAAGACGAAAAGAAGACGCGAGAGGTCGACATGGTAATGCACCTGGCGTACACCTCGAGACGTCGCAGGCGAGGAAAGGTCGCGGCCGGGTCGGAAAGAGTGTCGCAGAAGACGTCGCAGTCGCAGATGGTCGATCGGAGCATGCGAAGCGCTTCGAGGTCTGCTAGAGAGTGGTCAGTATGGCGAATCGCTTGTCGACGGCTACAAGAAAGACGCACTCTGTGCCCACCGCAGGGCAGACAGCGGTACATGTTGGATGCCGGCCATCCACAGCTCCTTCAGACCCGACATCGCCTGCAGCAGCTCCTCAAGGAAGAAGTCTGTCGCTTCTCCAGCCGAGAGATAGTGTTCCTCAACCTCTTCCTCCTCGCCCTGATCGTCCGCCATCTCTTTAAACGTCTTCCCGAGCCAAGGGATCGCGCCCAATCTCAGCGTTTCCACATGGCGAGCCAAAGTCGTGTTCCTCCCACCATGCGTCCTCGTCATTGAGCGGTGTAACCTCGCCGCCTGCGACTCCGTTTCCAGCAGCACGTCCCGGTAGAGAAGAGGGAGGACCAGGGCGTTCCAGGATTTGCACACAAGCGAGAGTCGGCAGAGAAACTCGTAACGAGGGGGAAGGGAGGTGTAAAGCGGGTCCGAGTCGACGCAGGCGGCCACGATGAGCTGGTGAACCTCGGCGGGCAGCGTTGGCACGCTTGTGCAGCTGTCCGAAGTGGGCTTCAGCTCACAGCGCGCCGTGCCAGTCGCGTAAGTTCGACGAGAGTGGAGCGCACCTCGAAGTGGACAGCGTGTCGCCTGGCGAGCTCGCCCACGCTTGTACCGCCGTAGACACCATCGGCAGCGTATTCGGGGAAGCTGCAGCGCAGCAGGAAGGCCTTCCAGCGGTAGTGTGTGGTAGGTAACGAGAGAGGGGTCGTCGGGTCGAGGGTTCGTCGTCGTCCTCACGCTCGCATCGCTCAAAAGTGCTGGCAAGATGCTCGTCCAGCTTGAAAGGACATACGGACGCACTGCTCGACGTCGCCGCTTGCCCGGAGAGTCCGCGGACTGCTCGAACCTCGTCTTCGTCTCTCATCAGCTTGCTGCTCTTTCGCCTTGACACGCCATCGAAGCTGGCTAGCGAGTCCGTCCGGCCAGTCTGAGAAGGTGGGTTGAGCGTGCTGGCCCGTCACGACGCTGGCTGATCTGTTCGACCCGCAGGATGTCGCGCTACTTCGACCCGTCCCGCCCGCACAGCTCCCTTCGCCTTGACGGCAACTCTGACCGCTCCGACAAGGACGTCGTACGGACTACGACACCCGAAGTGCGCGCCGGCCGCCTCTGCGACCAGCTCGACCGTGCGAAGCGGCAAATAGAAGAGCTTTCTAGCTCTGACAACGAGGCCTTCGCTGCACTTGCGCTGAGTCTCTTTGAGGAGGCTATGACGAAGCTTGACAACGCGTGTCAGCTCGTCCAGCATGCGCGATCCAGCTCGGCGCGGGAGGACAAGGCTGGGCTGCCGCCGTTCGCCCGCGCTCTTTCGCCTCGCGACGACCAGCTGCGAACGCGCGACCAGGACGAGCTGCATGACCACCGCAAGAAGGACAGTGACCCGTACCCCGCTTCCGACCGGGACAACTCGCGCAAGACTCGCACACCCGACCTTGCTGCGGCCGCGCCGTTCAAGCTTCCTGGTCGCCGTGACAAGGGCGAGTCTCACGGTCGCAAGGACGAGGACTACGGCGGATACCCTCTTCGCAAAGAGCAGGAGCCGGTCATCAAGCGCCCCTCTTCCTCCTACAGCCGTCGCGATCCGTCTCCGCCACCGTCACTCAAGTCTGACCGGCCTCGTTCGTCCTCGAAGCACCGCCTCACATCTCGCAAAGACGAGGAGGGCTTGCGTGACTCTGTATCTCCTCGCCCGTTGTCGCAGACCTCGTCTCGAGTGCTCTCGCCGCCCCTCCCCTCAGCACCACCGGCCGAATCCGACCCTCGCACATCTGGCCGCCGGTCTTCCGTCTCGCGCTTCTTTACGACGCGCCCCTCGGACGTGAAGCCGACCTCGCCTAAGCTAGGCGACTCAGCCGGCGACAAACGCCCCTCGTCACGCTCCAGCGCCTTCAGTCAGCCTCCTCCCGCTGCTCCTCCGGTCAAGTCGCGCAGCTACCGCGACATGAGCGACACATCGGGCGACGACGACTTCGACCGGCGTTCAACGAGCGGCACGAGGCTAAGGTCTCGCTCCGTCGCTCGTTCCCGCACCGGCCACTCCGAGGAGGCGAGAAAGGCGCTCGAGATGGCTTCTGCGCCGCCGTCCGCCGTTGAGGAGGACTACGGGCGCGAGCGCCGCGACGCTTTCAGGTCGTACGAGAAGAAGCGTGGTCCGCCTGTCTTGAGCGGAGCGAAGGTTGCGAGGGCTCTTGCGAAGGCAGCGAGCGAGGTCGGCGGACCTGCAATGCTCTTCGCTCTCGCGACGGTGTCGAAGGAGTATGGCAAGGCGGCCAACGAGGTCTTGTACAGTTCCATCGTCGTCGACTCGCTTCGCCGCCTCGACCTTCTCAACCGCACGCTCGACTCGGACGCCTCGCTCGGCGAGCTTGTCAAGTCGCTCAAAGTCCGCCCGCTCGATGGCGACAAGTCCGTCTCCAAGCCCGAGGCGCTCATCAAGCCGCTTCGCCAGCTCATCTCGCACATGCCGAACCTCGTCTCGCTCGACGAGGACTTCACTACGGCCGAATGGGACGTCCGCACCCTCACCGGCCAAGACTACCCTCTCACGTCGTCGTCGACATCGCACAACCTCGTCTTCTTCCGCTCGGCCAAGAACTGGTGGGAAGTCGGCGCGCTTTACGCGCTCCTCCAGTCGCAGCCGAATCTCAAGGAGATCGTCATCGGCGGCGCTGCCATGGACCGCGACTGGCAAGGGTCAAAGCTCCTCTCGACGCTCTCCAAGCAGTCTCCGTCGTCCGCGCCAGCCCGCAACCTCGAGTCGCTCGAGATCTCGGAGGTCATGCATGAAGATACGCTCGCGCTCCTTCTGCGTGCGACTGGCGGAGAGGAGGGCAGGCTGCAGTCTCTCCGTGTTGGCTTCCAGTCGATCGGCTCGACGGACGATGACACGCCCCGCGCCTCCATCGCCTCAGCCCTCACCAACGTCGGCTCAACGCTCACCCACCTCGCCATTACGGCTCCAACCAAGTCCTCCGACGACACCACAGGACTCGTCGACGAACTCGTCGCCGTCGTGCCCCGTCTCGAGATCCTCGAGTGGTCGGAGGGGACGGATGTCCGGCCCATCCCTCTCGGCTCGCCCCGTCTGCTCACGCAGTTGCCGAGGACAATCCGAGTCCTCCGCGCTCGTTCGCTGATCTCGGTCTCGACGGGCAAGGTGCTCGCGTTCCTGGACGAGGTGGAGCAGGGCGGCTTCAAGCTGCAGGAGCTCGACGTGCAGTGGGCGAAAGGGACCGGCGAAGACGAAGGTCACGAGCCGTGGTACAAGGAGCGGCACGTCGCGAGGATCGAGGATGTGGCCGCGGACTTGCGGATCAAGTGCCGGATTGGAAAGGGCGACGACTATTTGGCGTTCAAGCGCGAGCAGTAGGCAGTCTAGGCAAGGATCGTATGATGGCAATGCTATTTCGGCTCGGGATCTACAACGTTGATGCGCGAATAACGGCATGCGAAAGGATTAAAGCAAATCTAGCGGGGGAGAAAGTCGAAGGGAGAGAGTGTACATCGATCACGCCGCCGTGTTCTTCTGCAGGGCGTGCATGCGGGACATGAGCGTGTCGCGCTTGTTGACGGCGGGCTGGACCTTGATGGAGACGGGCTCGAAGGACGGCGCCGTCGAGTTGGCGTCGACTGGCTTGAGCGCGTGCGAGCGGTCTGGGACGTGATGCTCGGGTTTGAGAGGCACGAGGGTCTCGGTAGGCTTCTTGGCGGAGAGAGGGCGTGCTTGACGGCGGGCGGACGAGGCAGGCGCATTCTCCTTGTCGAGCGGGATGGCCGGGACAGAGGAAGCGAGAACAGGCCGCGGGGTTGTTGCAGTGGAGCCGTCAAAGTCGGACGGTGCTGGTCGCTTCTTACCGACGGACGAGGGTGCCGGAGCAGAGGGCAGCGGGGCGACGGCCAGCACGGTCGGGGCGGCAGCGGACGCTTTGGCGGTGGCAAGGTCGCGTTGGAGAGACGCAATCTTGGCCTTGAGTCGCTCAATCTGCGTCGAATACTTCTTCTGCACCTTGAGCGCCTAGGTGGATGAGGAAGGTCAGCTTCGCATAGCAGGAGGTGAAGCGAGCCGGACGCACATCGAGCAGCTTCTCATCCGCCTCCTCGACGTCGAGCATCTTTGCCTCGAGCAGCTTCTCCAGCTCAGTGATCCGAGCGACGGCCTCACTGGAGGATGCCGTGTTCGCCGCATCCGCCTTGAGGCGCTCGACTTCGCCAAGCAACTCCTTGACTTCAGCCTCGGCAGCCGCCTTCTCGCGCTCGCAAGCCTCCGAGTACTCGATGACCTCCTTGATGTTCTGCTGCGTCTGCTCGCGAAGCTGTCGCAACTCTTGCTGCTTCGACTCGTTCGCCTCGCGGAGATCTGCCGAAGGAGCAAAGTCAGCTCAATCTGCGGGAGCGCTGAGGCGGAGTATTGAGACGCACGAGAGGTCAACTCGACGATCTGCGATCGCAACCCCTCGACTTCCGCGGTCAACGCCTGAGCCTCGGCCGCCGAGCTCTTGCTGAGCTTGCGGAGGGTCTGAATCTCCTTCGACGACAGCTCGACCGCCGTAGCAGCCTTTGCCTCAGCGTCCGCAAGGGCTGCGCGCGCCCGCTCAGAGCCTCGCGACTCTTCCTCGAGCCGCTCGGTCATCCTGTCCAGCTCAGCCCGAGCATCGACGAGATCACGCTCGACTTGGGCGGCGCGCGCGCTGCGGCCCTCCGCCTGGTCAAGCTTTGCCGTCAACGAGGCAATCTCGTCGCGGGCGGTTGCGAGCTGGATGGTGAGGTCGGCTCGGACGGCGTCGAAGTCGGCCTGGGCGACTCGAAGTGCCTGCTCCTGCTCGTCCCTCGCCGCCGTTGCGCTCGCGTAATCAACTACGACTTGCGAGAGCGCGGCCTCGGCTGAGGAAGCGCGCTGTTCCGCCTCCTCTCGCAGCTGGACTGTCGTCTCGACGGCGTCTTCTGCCGAGCGTGCTCGAGTCTCGAGCGACGCGACTCGCTGCTCGAGGTCGGCGCGAACAGCGTCAAACGAAGACGACTCCTGCTGCAGGTCACCCAGCGATGCAGATGCTGCGGCGAGGAGGTCCTTCGTGGATGCGAGCTCGTCGGTCGTAGACGCCAAGTCGGCAGCGATGGAAGCGGTTTCTGCGCGGGCCGCAAGAAGCGCTTCCATCGTCGTTTCTCGGGCAGACTCAGCCTGTGAACAGCCTTGTTAGCCTGAGGCAGGGGATGGGATGAAACGCAAGACGCACCTCCTCGACGCGCTTGTTGAGGGCAGCCGCCAAGTTCTGCTGCTCGAGCAGGCGGGCCTCCTTGTCGGCTGCATCGGCGACCCGAGCCCGCAATTCTGCGACGATGTTTTTGGCCTCGTCGACTTCGCCTTCGAGCGCGACGATGCGCTCGCCGGCTTCGGCGAGTTGGGCGGCGAGACCGAACGCCGTCTCGCTCGTCTTGCGCAGATTCTCTTCGCGTTCAGCCACATCGGAGCGAGCTGCTTCGAGTTGCTGCTCGAGGGCGGAGACGGCGGCCGTCGAGGCCTTGCCGGCGTGGACGACCGAGGCGAGCTCTGTCTGCAGCTCCTCAAGACGAGTCTCGAGTGCTGCACGAGCAGACACCGCAGCGGCGAGCTGTTCCTGTACCGCCTGCAGTTCCGTGCGCATGTCGAGATTGTCCGGCAGACTCTGGACGGCCTTGTCGACGTCCGATGTGACGGGCGCAGCCGAGTCCTCCTCGGCTTGCAACTCGTCGTCTTCGCCGTCGTCAATGGCGACGCGCACAGCCAGGTTGAGCTGCAGAAAGGCGATCTTGGCCTGGTAGTCGACGATGGAGGCGGACTGATCGGCGATGCTGGCACAGCGGAGAGTCATCAGTCTCCAGCCTTCAATGCCCGAGGCAAGATGAGAGACACACGTTCGCTTGAGCTGCGTGACGTCTGAGCGAAGAGTGTCGCAGAGGGTGGCGAAGTCGTCGAGAGCATCGCTGGTCGGAACTTCGCGAGACTCGCCAAGAGCGGATGCGAGCTCTTCAAGCTCGACAATGCGTGCGCTGGCGGTCGCAGATGCGGTCTTGAGCGCAGCAATCTCCGCCGATGCTTCCTCGCGTTCGGCCTGGACAGCGAGAAGAGCCTGTCGCAGTTCCTCCACGACGAGTTTGGCGTTGTCGCGTTCGGTACGGAGCTGTAGATCACCCATTAGCATCGGGCTGGAGAGAAGAGCCGCCCCAGGACGCACCGTATCGACCGACTCGGTCGCAGCGTCTAGCTCCCCCTCGAGACCCCACGCGTTCTCCCGCTCCAGTTGCTCCTCCTGCCGCATGTGCTGCTCCTCAGCCAAGCGCCGGAGGGCATCCGCCACCCGTACTTCTGCGTCCTTCGCTCGCCGCTCAGCCTGCTCCAACCTGTCCTCAACCGCCTCCCTCTCCCGCTTCGCCTGTCGCAGCGCGTCTTCGATCTTGGCATTCGCTTCGCGCTCGGTCGCGTATGCCGCCTCCTTGTCCATGAGGTTGAGCTGTAGGCGGCTCAGTTCGGTCGCCTTCGTCTCCTCTGCTTCGCGCAATCGCTTCTGCAAGGTCTCCATCCGGTTTCTGGCTTCCTCGCGGACGAACTCGAGCGAGTCGCGGAGGCTTTGCCGCTCGTCCCGCAGTCGGTCGACGAGGTGGCTGGGGTCGAGGCTAGGCGTTTGAGGCGATGGCTGAGGAGATTGGTTGGAAGAGGCGAGGTTGGCAGGCGTGGCCGGCACAGGTGTTGCGGGACCGGGCGCCGTGCCGGTCGAGGACGACTGCGACTCGGCGAGCTCGCTCTGGAGTTGGTCAAGCGAGTCCTGCAGGTTCGAGAGGTTGTGACGAGCCTCGTCGAGTTCGGCGCGAAGGCATTCGACGGATGCTTCGGCGGCTTCGGCCCGTTGCGTGAGCTCGTTCGCCTTATCCTCAGACTGGCGCGCTTGTTCGGCCAGGGCGGAACGAGCATCGCGCAACTCCCAGCCGAGTGAATCGGCTTGCGATTCGCTGGAGGCGAGAATACGACGCAGCGACTCCGCCTCGTTCACCTGTCGCTCGAGTTGCTCGACAACCGCGTCTTGCTCGCGGAGGCGAGCGTGAAGCTCGCCGATCTCGTCGGCGTCGGCGAGGTGCTTCTCGTCCGCAGCGGCGCGGACCTCGTCGAGCTCCTCCTCGAGGGCCGCGTTCCGGCCGTCGAGCTGTTCGGCGGCTTGCTCGAGTTCGGCGAGCTGGGCGTGAAGTGACTCGCGCTCGAGGACGAGGTCGTCGTGAACCTTCGAGATGTCGGCAAGCTTATCCTCCGTCGCCCTGAGCTGCTGCTTCGCGTCCATTAGCGCCTCCTCGACGGCCTCAGCTTCCGCCTTCGCCTCGGCGAGGGAGCCGCGCTCCGACTCGACATCATTGCCGAGCAGAGCAACTTCTGCTTTGAGCGAGTCGATCCGCTCAGCAGCGGCAGCGTGAGCATCCTCGACGGCGGCACGAGCGGCATGAGCCTTCTCGAGCTGCTCCGTTTTCGAGTCGTGGCGAGCGACTGCGTCAGCCAAGTCGGCTTCGAGTTGCGTAACTCGTGCCCAAACGTCGATCGTCGCGGCGTCCCGAGTCTCGAGATGCCGGGCAAGCTCGTCGCGCAGGGCGTCGGAGCCTTGCTCGGCGGCGGCTCGGGCGACCTCGAGCTCTGCGACCTGCTGATGAGCAGTCGCCAAGTGGTGCTGGGTGTCGGCGAGTGCTGCGCGAAGTTGCTCGACTCGCTCGACAGTCGCTTGCAGAGTCGCAACGCGGTCGTTCTGTTCGACGAGAGTAGCGAGGTGCTCGTCGCGCTCAGCGGTAATGGCGGCGAGAGTCGACTCGAGCTCGGCCATGCGGCTGGTCAAGTCGGCAGCGTTCGCATCCTTCTTGGCGGCGCGCTGGGCATGCTCTTCGAGCTGCGAGGCGAGACTGTCGCGATCGGCGGCAAGCGTGTCGAGTTCGGGCAGACGAGCGGAAAGGTCGATGATTTGCTGCTCCTTCTCAGCCAGTTGAGCGCGCAGGTCGGCGAGTTGCGATGTGAGGTCGTCGAGGGAGGAGGTTGAAGCGAGAAGGGCGTTGTGGGCGGATCTGCGCTAAGAAGCGGTCAGTGAACCTCAGCCGGAGAGATGACCGTGCCAACTAACTCAGTCTCGGCCAGCCGTCGCTTGACGTTGTCGAGCTCGTCCACAACGTTCTGCTTCTCCTCCTGCTCGGCGTCCTGGAGGTCACGGTGGCGAGCCAGCTCTGTTGAAGCATCCTGGTGCGCCTTGGAAGCGGAGGCGAGAGCTGCGACAAGGTCGTCTCGGCTGCGGGCGAATGGGTCAGCAAAATCATCGTCTTGAAGCTGAGAGACGACCTACTCGGCTTCGACAGCGGCGAGACGCTCCTTCATCTCGCGACGGACGGCCTCCATCGCCTCAGTGGAGACGGTCTCCTCTCGCGCGGATTCCGTCTCCTGCGCACCAGCCTTCGCCGCTCGTGCAGCCTCCAGCTCTTTCGACATCGCCTCCAGGTCCTGCTCGAGCTCCTCAATCGCGTTGTCGGCGTCTTCGAGGTCCTGAGCAAGCTTCTCCTTCTCCTTCTCGGCGAGCTGAAGCTGCTCCTCTGTCCACGCAAGCTCGTTCTCCGCCTCATCGCGCTCCTCCTCGACATGAGCAAGTGCATCAAGGTCGGCTTGGGCGTCGTGCAAGAGCCGCTCGAGCTCCTCCCGGTTTCCCTCCATTGCCGTCCGCTCCTCATTCATCCGCGCCACCTCGGCCTGCAGCCGCTCGACCTTCTCCGTCAAGAAAGCGCGCTCCTCCTCCGACTCCCGCAAGGCGTCCTCCATCTCCCGCTCGACCTGGTCGCGAACTTCACGCAACTCGTCCTTGGTGCCCTCGAGCTCGTCGCGCGCATCCTCAAGATCGCTCTTGAGCCGCGAGACCTCCTCGGTCGATGACCGCTCGAGCGCCATGAGCTGGTTCTCCACGCGGAGGAGCTCGTCCGACTTGGTCTGCAGCTTGGCCTGCGTTGTCGAGAGTGTCGACTCGAGAGACGAGATCGTCGATTCCGCTTGAGTGAGCGAAGTCTCGAGAGAAGCGATGGTAGACTTGGCGGACGAGAGGTCTGCTTCGAGTTGGGCAGTCTTGCCGGCGTCGACAGTCGCGGAAGCGGTAGTAGCGGAGACGGAGGTGCGGCGCGTGCCTGCTGGCTGGCGAGTCGGAATGGCGGAATGATTGGCAAGACTGGAAGGCGGGCGGGTCGAGCCGAGAGAAGAGGGAGGACGAGCGGGAGCCTTCGAGGCGGAGGCGGGAGCGGGGATGTTGGACGAGTAGCCGAAGCGTCCTCGAGTTGCGGGTCCGGCAGGCAACTTGCTGTCGGCACCAGTAATCGAAGCGCGGGAAGGCTGCGAGGGGAGGTGATATTAGAAGGGAAGAACGGCACGAGAAAGTATTAGGAGAAACAAACCGGACGAGCAATCTTCGATGCTCCAACCTTCGCAGACTCTGCAGTCGCCTTGTTCTCCTTCTCCTTTTCCTTCTCGAGCTTCATCTGCGTCCGCTGCAACTCCATGGTGAGGCCGTGCACCCGCTTCTCGAGGGCCGCCTTCTCCTGCGCGACCTGCGAAGGCGCAGCCGAGCGAGCTTGAACGACCTCGAGGTCTACGGCGTTCGGGAGTTTTCGTAAGCACAGAGGGACGCATGAGCGAAAGGAACCGGCGACGCACCGTACGAGAGACGCTTGATCTCGCCCGCCTGCTCCTTGACCTTCTCTTCCACCTCGCGCAACGCGACCTCAGCGTTCTCCTTCTGGTTCTTGATGGTGTTGTAGGCCTGTAGCAACCGCGTAAGCCGTCAAAGCACTTGGAGCTAGTGAAGTCCCTCACATCGGTTCGTTTCCGCAAAGCCTCCTCCGCCTGGACAGCCTTTGCCGCTTCCTGCTGGGCCTGCGGGCGTCGCAATCCGTTAGTACAATCGCGAGAACAGACCCGCGAGCGTACGCGCCTTCGTCAACCCCTCGCGGACCTCCAACTCGAGCTCATGAACCCGGTCCTTCAACTTGAGCGCTTCGTTGCGCTCCGAGTCGAGCTCCGTCTCGAGCTTGACCTTGGCCCGCTTGAGAGCCGCAATTTCCCGATCCTGCGGCGTCTCCTCGGCGGGAAAGCCCATCTTGGGCGCTGAGAGATGGAGCGAGTTGGGCGATGCGATGAGGGGTTCTGCGAGCGAGTTGGGCGAGTGTGGCGATAGTGCGAGTCGGCTAGACGTCAAGCAGGGGTCCAAGCAGCCCAGCGAGCGTTTCCTGCAGCCGCGGCAGGCTTTTGGGCGAGATGCGAGAGGAGACAAACAGTCGACGCGTGCGGTCGTGTCGAGGAGCGGTCAAAGTCCACGGACACGAACGCTCAAACGCTCAATCTGCACGCTGGTACAGCTTACACGCAAAGTGCATTGTGAAGGAGAAGCGGGACGCGAGGAGTATCCTGTCCGAGTCGACCTTCCCAACTTCGAATCCTGTTGCAAGCGGACTGCTACAGCCCGCACACGTACGCCACGTCCAGCATCGGCATCGGCTTGACCCTGCACGCGACCGCAACCTCCTCGACCAGCTCGGGCGTGATGACCAGTTCGAGCTCGGCGTCGGTCGCCGACTCTCCCTCCTCGATCTTGACCACGCCCTCGCCCCGCCGCCACTGCGCAAGTCCAGACTCGACGAGTGCAAAGGCGACGTCGTCAGGGCGCAAGTTGACCGCGTCGGCTAGCTCGTCGAGCGTCGTCGGGAAGGCGAATGACCCGTCGACTGGATCGATTCTGCCTTGTCGAGGCGCCTTGGACCTGGTCGAGCGGAGCGTGAACGCCTTGGCGGGTGAGGCGGCGAGCGTCGCAGTCCCAGCTGGCAACTCGCCATCCCAGCCTTTCGACCGCCGCTGCCGCTTCCGCCGTTCTCGCTCGGCATCGTCGTCGCCCGCGCCGGGCGTCGTGCTCTTCGTCGGCGAGACCGAGACGCCATTGCGACTCGGCACGAACGACTCAATGGAGGGCGGTTCGCAGCGGAGGGCGAACACGGCGCGGAAGTAGCGGACGAGGACGGCAGTCCAGTGCGCGAGGTAGCCCTTCTGGCCGAGTTCGGAGAGTGGTCGTTCGGGTGTGCCGGCCGTGGAGGAGAAGCGGCGGGATAGCTCGTAGCCTGCGGACGAGAGCGTCAGGAAAGACTCGCTGAGGGCAAGACAGTGAACTCACTGAACTCGATCAGCAGCGTCGCCCAGCCCTTCTGGCGGAACGGCGGGAAGACGACGATGCACGCGAGGTTGTAGTCGTCGTACGATATCTTCTCCTACGAGCCGGGCAGCTATGTCAGCGCGTCGCGATAGGGGCAGAGACGGGTACGCGTACTTTGGAGAAGTAGCCGAGCACCCATTCTTGCTTGCTTGTCGCCTCCGTCAAGAGGTAGAAGGTGAAGCCCTCGACCTGTGAATCGACGCATGAGCTGAGGTGTTAATAGCGAGTTGGGACGAGGACGCACATCGAAGAACATGTACTTGTGCTCGATGAACAGCTTGGCGAAGAGGCACAGGTTCTGGCAGTACAGCTGTGCGGAACCAACACGCGTAAGCATTGTTTGCAGCGAACGAAAGGCGATTGAATGGTGAGGACGCGCGCGCACCTTTGCCTCTGCTCCGTCGACCTCCCAGATGCTGGTCGCGCCTCGCTGATAGACCCGCCGCCCAGGCGGTCGCGTAACGGTGCACTCCTTCTGCGAGAGTTCAGATCTTGTCAGCGGGTCGAGCCGAGCGAAGCGAATGGAGACGACGAACCTGGTGAGCGAGATAGGCGACGGGCAAAGCCAAGTACTTGAAGCACTTCTCGCACACGAAGAGCTTCACCTCCTCCTTCAGCTCGTTGTCCTTCTCCCTCGCCAGCTCCTTCTCCCTCTCCTCCCTCGCCCGTCGAGCCATCTCCCGCTGCTGTCGTTGCGTGACGCGAGGGACGGCTTCACCCGCAGCTGTCGCGGCGAGACGAGCAGCCCGCTCGGCAGCTCGCTTCGCCTTGACTGTCTCGCCAGGCGGTTTGGGGAGGAAGCGGCCAGCTCGTCCGCGTTCGGGAGGAGCGTGTCCGCCGGGATCGATTTCTAGAGGGTGAGACAAGTCGGGTGGACTGAGGGAGGGTTGAGGCTGGTCGGAGAGGATGGCTGCGGATGTAGATGCGACGGGTTTGTCTGATGAGGCGAGCGAAGCGGAGGTCGACATTGAGGGGAGCTGGAAGGGCAAAGGGTGGTCTACGTCGATCGACTCTGGGGGATGCGTAGCTTCGGTGTGGGTAGACGCTGAACGCTTGGAACGATCTGGCGGGAGAGCTGAGGGTGGAGCGGCGGCGGATGTCAAAGAAGCTGCGACCTGCGAGTCGACGGGCGATTCCGCATCGGTCTCTTCCACGACGAAATTGTCTGAGTGCCGAGCACCGCTCGACTCGACTGCTGGTGAGCTTGCAAGCTCAGGACTGGGCGCGATGGCTGAGGCGAAACCTGAGGCGAAATCAGGCGAGACGTCCTCTTCCTCCTTCACCGCCGGAACCGCCGCAGAAGCCGCTTCAGGCTCAAGCGTCCCCTCCTTCTTCACCGTCGGAAGCCTTTTCGTGAACCGCCCACCCGCTTCGCGACCTGGTCCGCGCTTCTCTCCTGCTCCCGCCTGAGAAGCCTTGTCTCCGCTTGTTGTACTCGCTCCGGGAAGCTCGTCCAGCGGATATGGCGACCTGAACTGAGCTCTGATCTCGTAGCCGGCATAGATGACGAGGTCGATGCGGCGGCCAGAGTCAACTCGAGGTGCGGGAGGGGGAGCAGGCGACTAAGGGTCCCGATAGGACAGATTCGTCAGCTCGTTGAACCTGCGAGACGGCACACCGTACGCACAGCTTCATTCGGTTCTCTCGCGCGCTTCTTTCCCCTCGCAACAGCCGAGAGCGCCTCGCTATCCTTCCCTCCTCCGCGACTTGTTGATGGAGTCGGGTCGGCGGGCACAGCCGGTGCGGTCGGTTCAGTAGGAGCCTCAGCCGTCGAAGACCCTTGCTCCATGCTAGCGAAGTAGTCACAAAGCCAAAGGAGCCGAGAGCGCGTGTCGAGGTGACCCAACCTCTGGACGACCCCGTCCGAGAAGTGTTGGAAGGGCGTCGTCGCTCCCCTTTCGCGTTGTTCGCGCACTCAGTGACCCAATGGGACACGTTCGACGGCTGGGAACGTCGAGAGGACGAAAGAAGCGGGAATGAAGCAGGAAGCATCCTTACAACCGTTGCCTCCTCGAGCGTGAATGGCAGGGAGCGGGTATTACAGGCAAATTGTCGCGTGGACGGGGTATATAAGCGAAGTGGAGGAGAGCAATGGACGGAGCAAGCGGGTACAATCAGCGACATGGCGGCGCCTTCAGCCTTTTCGGACAGTCAGTCGGCAATCACTTCTTCTTGCCCTTGGCCTTCGAGTCCGTCTTGGCCTTCTTGCCGCCCTTCGCGTCCTTCTTATCGTCGGCCTGTGTGAGTGATGTGAGTCAGCTGGTAGCCTCGAAGTGTCGACACCGAGGACTGCTGCCACCGCTGGACAGCCTGTTCCGTGAGCGGGGAAATGTGACGCACCTTCCTCTTTTTGCCGTCGTCCTTCGGCGCCTGGACCGTGAAGAAGCCGTCGAGACGACCCTGCTGCTTGGCGGACAAGCGCAGCTTGAGCTTGTCGGCGCCCTTGCGAACACGCTCCTCCCTGACAAGGTGACGACGAGATCAGCAGTTTCGAGCAAATAAAACGTACGGGCGACGCACGAGAAGCCCTTCTCGCGGACGAGGAAGTCGACGAGACCCTCGACATCGGGCGCCTCCCACTTGAGCTGCGCAAGTAGGGCGGGCCCAAGTCAGCAACAGAAGTCTGGCAAATGCTCCGCTCGACGCACCTCAATGTCCTTCGCTGGCTTGACATCCGGCTTCTGGAACAACTTGCGTGCCTCCTCGTACGGCCAGTCCTCAGGCGGAGGATTCTTGCCCTTCCTCAAGTGCGCGAGAATGTCGTCCATCGTCTCGTAGTCCCTGACGAGCTTGAGAGCGGTCTTGGCACCGACACCCTTGATGGGCTCGAGGTAGTCGCAGCCGCAGAGCATGCACATGTCGATGAACTGCGGAGCGGGCTAGGGTCAGCCGGCGTCTCTGCGCGGCACTTCAGGCAGGCAACTCACCTTGTCCATCGTCAAGTCGAGACCCTTGAGCACCTCATCGAGCGAGATGATGTCGATCGGCATCTTGCGCGCTTCGGAGAAGGTGAGGTGACGGAGGACGATCGGCGAATTGAAGGTGAGCGTGTCCATGTCCTCCGAGCCGGCACCGTAGACCTGCGGCCAGCTCAGTGTTAGTGGGCGAAGTGTGTCGAGCGAGAGAGCGCAGGGAACGAACGAGACCGCCGCGGCAGAGCTCAGCGCACTGCGCCTCGGCTTCAGACGGAGCCTGCGGAATGAATGTCAGCTCTTTCGCGTCCCGCGAGCGCACAGTATGCGCGACACGCACCTCGACCCAAGGAATGCCCATCAACGTCAACAACCTGCGGCACTCCTCGTTATGCTCCTTCGTAACCTTGACCTGGCGACGGCTGAGCCTGTCGACATCCTCGGCGGTACCTGAGAGAGTCGCGAGCGTTGGTCGCAAAGTAATAACTCGAAGAGGACAGAAGACTGGGCTTACCGGTCTCCTTTGCCTCCTCCTCGTCCTCCTTCGCCTCCTGACGGTTCGAAAAACGCTTCTTGAGCTGCGCAAGATCGGTCGTCTCTCAGTGACGGTTCTCGAAAGACTGGGAACTGCATACTCACGACGTTGGACTTGAGCTGCGGCGGCTTGCCATCGAAGACGTAGCAAGGCTTGAGGTCGTTCTCGACCATGCGGATGGTCCTGCGCGTTCCCGCGTCAGCGAAGGCACGTTGGGACGAATGAAATTGCTCGCACCTGTAGAAGAGACCCATGAGATGCGACGTCGTCTCGCCTGCCTCGTTCATCAGCTGCTGGCCGTCTTGCTGGCGCACGGCGATGAGGAACTGGTAGATCGACATGGAGCTGGGCGGAGGGAGCGGTACAGGTCAACCACAGTCGAGTGAGTGCGCAGCCCTTGCAGTCGAAGCGGACGCACGCATCAATCGCGACCTTGCGGCCAAAGAGCGTCTTCATCTCGGCCTGCTTGATCGCCTTCGGCGCAAAGTCGTTGATGAGCGCGGTGAGACCTGCACGAGCGGATGACTGGTCAGATAGCTGGATATGCGCGACAAATTAGAAGGAAACGCACCCTTGATACCCATCTTGGCGTCGCGGGAGGGCAGAAAGAGGGGAAAAGGGGTGGGAGGGTTTGTTGGTAGTCTGCGTGGTCACGAACGAACATGTCAGCCTGTACTGCAGGTCGCAGCCAGCGTTACCCCTCGTTCTTCTCGTCGCCGTTGTTCTAACCCGGTCGACTGCTGATCCACCTCGCTCCAGTCGGCCCGTGCGCTTCGTCCAGGCTCTTTGCCCGCTCCTTGATGCCGTCTGGCTGACTCCCGTGCGCTGCCCGTGGTGCGTTCGCCGTGCTTTTCGAGATCGCTGGAAGTGCGATGAGGCCGGGTGGAGAAGAAAAGAGACCGCGCAAGCGGCTGCGCGCGAGACTGAAGCTCACACTGAGTGCACTAGCGCGTGTGTGTGAGCCTGGCAAGCTTGGCGAGCAGCGTGAGGACGAGGGAAAGATGTCAAAGGTTGAGGACGTGACGCAACGCGATGGGCGAGGGGGAAAGCGAGACGGCGCTTCTTTCGTGCGCAGGGCAGGCGAGTTGTAGGTCCTGAGCAGTGTGCAGGAAAGGGGCTTATGTGGCGGATGTGAGCAAGCGGAGACGGAGATGCCGCCAATGGAGTGCAGATGCGTCTCCTCCGCTTCTCGCGGCTTTGCTGATCTACGGACAGTAAGCTTGGTCGCGCAACGTCGAGAACTGGCATGCAAGCTATTGAAGGAGGCGCGTAAGGAAGCGGACGAGGCGGAACTCTCGACCTCGGGATTGCAAGCGCGAAGCGCCCTCATGTTGTTGCGCCGTCCAGCTTGTGCAAGCTAGGCGCCGATACTATGAGACCCACGTGATAGCCAACTACACCATCGAGGCACTGGTTGATGTCGAAGCGACGGCGAGCTGGCAGTGGTGAGCTTCGTCGTCGACAGGAGGAGGAGATGCGCGGCGGCGAAGGTGGCTGCTCACTCCTGTAGCATCGCAATGGCCGGTGAGTGACGCTAGGTGCTGCTGAACAGGCTATGCCGCAAAAGATAGCCTGGAAGGGCGAAGCGGAAGAGGAGCGAGACGAGGGAGGGGACGAACGAGGATCTCATTCCCCGCCTCTTTGTCTGCGCTGCTTCATTCCGAGGCTCTGTCCTCCTGCTTTGCACGGCGCTCCAGCGACGACACAAACTATTGGGGACGAAGGAAACCGGAGAGAACGGATTCAGCTTGGGAAGGCCCTCTTCGGTTTCTCGCTCGTCTCACGTCGCGCAGACGTCCCGCTTCGCGTTCAGGCGTCTCCTACCGCCAAAAGAGATGTTATGCAAGGTCTGGGAGGCCATCGGGAGTCGAGGGAGAGCATGGGGAGCCGAGCAACCTCACTCCCCGTTCCGACCCCTTCTACCGGACCCCCAGACGTTAGCGGAGCGTCTTCCTGGACCCCAGACGTGTGCGTAGGAGGCAAAAAGCAGCGACCCGGGTTTGAACCGGGGACCTGACGATGTGCTTCAGAGTGAGCTTTGGAGGAAACCAAACTTCTCAGTTCTGGACTGCAGTCGACCGCTCTACCACTGAGCTACCGCTGCTTGGTGTACGACCATTTTTATGGAAATTCTAATTCCGCACGGTGCCGGCCGTCCAAGAACGGCTCGAATCGGCCCAGTAGAGAGAGCGCTCAGGAGGGCATTCTGAGGCCAGACCAGCCAAAGTCGCATCTTGCGGGCTCGTTCGGGTCGCTGAGCACTTGCAAACGTCGAGAAGAGGTGCTGGGAGGAGCGGGGAGAGGTGCGGAGACAAGGGCGGAACAAATTCCCCGATGCGGAGGCGGCTTTCGCCGCCGACGAGGTTTGCGGCGTCCTGTCGTCTTCCTGCGTCGCCTGCCGAGTCTGCGCTGTATCTGGTGGTTGAGGAGACGTCAAAGCAGTCGCAGGAGCGGAGTGTACAGTCGTGTCTACCGAGAAAGCCATTGTGCCGATCCACTCCCTGAGATGGCCTTCCCAACTCCCAGGAAAGCGTTCTTTATTGCCTTGTAGCAGCTTGACAGATCTTCGTGGAGCTTTGAGTTGATTGTGTAACACCTGGCGTGTGTTCAATGCCTAGGAGACAGAAAGGCGTGCGTAGTAGGGCGTCCAACGCAGCAGGTGAGCATTGCGCTGTCGCTTCTGTTGTCCTTTGCGTATGCACATCCCATGCTTGCAGTCTAGTGATGACAGGCAGTCAGTGCAACTCACAGCATAGCTTACTGGCGGCGGGCGGCTTGCACAGTCTGTCCCCGAGTACAGTGAGTAGCTCCTTCCTTCCTCCAGCCAATGTCCATCTCAACCACACTCAGCCTTGCTGCTGTGACAGCCTGCTTCCCGCACAAGCTGAGTACTGCAGGGCCCAACCAGGTACATGCCAGCAGGAGCTGCCACGGACGAAGGGGTAAAACCTGCCGAGGAAGAGGACGCTTGCCTCGTCGTACGAGTCTTCCTTTCATTTGGACATGCAGACCTATCCACCCCTCACTGAAGCCAGGACATCCTGACTTGGGGAACGTTGTACCGAGTTGGGCTGTACATACAAGAAATAGAGGATCTCCGTCCTTCGTCTCTCTTGCTTGAGGAAAATGGCAGTGCGCTGTACCAGCTTGCAGAGGCAAGTCCAAGCGAGGACTCAAATCAGTGCTTTGGCATCCACAAGAGTCTGTTCGGCTGGCTCGAAGCTCCTTTGCTCAGCTTCTCGCCTCCGGTAAATCGTTGCTTCCTGACGTTCACCCCTACTTCTTGTGGTCAAATTGCTCCTTGACAGTGTCAACATTCACTAGTGATATTCGAGTGTTTGGCGTCTCCTGCTGCTATCTTCATCTCATTCGTCCGAACTCCGAAGGACAAAGTACGATACCTCCCTGGCTCTCAGGCTCTCCCCTGACTTCCGCTGGACTCCTACACCTTACATAGTGTGTAAAGTAACGGTAGGAGATGCCTGAAAGTGAAGCGGGACGTTTGGGCGACGTGAGACGAGCGAGAAACCGAAGAGGGCCTTCCCAAGCTGAATCCGTCCTCTCCGGCTCCCCTCCCCGCCCTTCGGCTGCCTTGTATCTGTAGGATAGTGCAAATCAAGGGGACAGAACTTCGAGGCACAGCAGGTCAGGTGGAGATGAGAGAGGCGAAAAGGGTCGCCGTCCATCCCTCCCCTCGTCTCGTTCCTCTTTCACTTCGCCCTTCCGGGCCATCTTTCGCGACATAGCCTGTTCAGCAGCACCTAGCGTCACTCACCGGCCATTGCGATGCTACAGGAGTGAGCAGCCACCTTCGCCGCCGCGCATCTCCTCCTCCTGTCGACGACGAAGCTCACCACTGCCAGCTCGCCGTCGCTTCGACATCAACCAGTGCCTCGATGGTGTAGTTGGCTATCACGTGGGTCTCATAGTATCGGCGCCTAGCTTGCACAAGCTGGACGGCGCAACAACATGAGGGCGCTTCGCGCTTGCAATCCCGAGGTCGAGAGTTCGATCCTCTCTCGGGGCACTATCTTTTGCTGCAGCGTGCTCAGACACCCCGCAGCATCCTCTTTTGCCTCCCGCAGATCCCGACGTGCGCTGCGGAAGCGTCCAAACGCAGCAAAGAGAGAGGAGGACGCCTCGCTAGCCTGCGAGGCTCGCTCGCCTATCCTTCGCTTGTCCTGACAGTCCTTACACTCCTCCAGTAGTGCACCAGCAACAAGTCTGGAGAAGAGGAAGAAGGGATGGATGGATGCCTTAGCCGGCGAGGGCAGGACAACAGGCTATCCGTCCCCTCGACAGCAGACAGCGTCGCTGCCGTTCAGCTGTCGCATCCCACAGCACCAGCTGCACACACACTTAGTCAAGGAGATGGCAAAACGATGTTGCAACAAGCAGGGAACGGCAAATGCGGCGGATGCGGGTACGGCGAGAGCAAGAGGATTCAGGAAAGGTCGAAGCCGGCGCCCGAATTGATCGCATCTGTAGCGTGCGACGGTCAGCGACGGGTCAAGAGAGCAATAGAGAGACGCGCTACGCACAGATGAGCTTCTCGCGCAGGTTGTTCGGGTCCTGGTAGTCCGGTAGCTTGAGAAGGTTGACGCAGGTCGCGCTGGGAGGAAGAGCAGGCGTAAGCGAGCGAACGAGCGAGAGACGCAACAACAACGCACCTCGTGGGCAACCTCGTCTGGTCACCGCCAGCGTTGCGGATCGCGAACTTCGGGTTGAGCTGCCCAAAGCCGAGGAGGGGTGGGCGCTCGCACGACGTGACAAACTTGACGAGCTTGGCGCGCTGGTCCTTGTCGAACGACTCGACGACGTCCCAGAAGGCGCGGATGGTCGGCGTGTTCTCCTCCTCGGCGAAGCCGCTGTAGACGGTGTTGGCCTTGAGATCCTCGATGTCGATGGCCTCCTCCGTGCCGCCTGCAGATCCAGCAAGTCAGCGTGCACACAACGAGGGAATTAAAGAGCCGTGTAACGCACCGACAAGGACTGCCAGCTCGGACTGGTTGAACATGTGCAGCCAGCGCGGGTTGATGATCTCGAACAAGCCCTGGTAGAACGCGCGGCATTGCGGCGCGATCTGAACGTTGAGGCGGTAGTTGCTGACGAGAACGATGTACTGCATGCGGTTGTCGTTCGTGACGGGGATCTCGGAACCGCCGGGGATGAGGTCGATCGAGCGGGAGACGCCAAAGTCTGCGCATGTGCGGCAGTCAGCCTCTGCATTCTCGAGCCGAGCAACACGCAACGCACCTTCTTCGGTGATGGTAAAGTTGAGCGCGAGGTCCTCCTCAACATTGCCGGGGTAATTCTTCAGCTTGAGCAAGCCGTTGTACAGCTCCGGGTCGAGAGAAGCGAGATCGTCGAGGTAGCTCTGCCGTCCAAGCCACTGCGAGCGTACAACGCAGGTCAGCATCGCAACAAGCTCCCACATCGACTTCGAAACGCACCTTCGCAAGGAAGAAGTTGGCAAACTTGACGTTGACAAGGATGCCCGAGTAGATGGCCTTGCCGAGGATCCTGCCGACGAACGTGAACCACGAGAGCTGCGTCGATTCCTTGGCATACGCATGCGGATTCGGGTAGATCTCCTGCTCGGACGTCGCGAGCCACAATCCGCGGTTCGTGTCGAAGACTTCCTTCGAGAGGCTGCGCAGCGGGCTGCCATGAGCGGAAGAACTCGGTGGAGGGAATAGCGGCGAACGCACCTCGTCAGGAGCTCCTTGAACAGGCCACCACCATCGATGCCGCTCTCCTCCATCCCGTGCTCGTCGATAAAGACGATCTCGATGCGCTTCTTCAGCTCCGGTCCGAGCCCATTCATGTGCGTGTAAGCGTCCTCGGCAAGGTGCGTCCGCCTGACCACGGCCCTGTGCCTCGACCTCGCCGCATACGAAGTCGCGTCGCCCAAACCAAGCTTCGCAAAGTCTTTGTCGATGAATTGGCGGAAGATGGCGACGCGCGTCTCGAAAGGTACGACGAAGGGGATGTTGTTGAGGATACCGAGGCGAGGCGAGATGAGGGCGAGCTGGCGCTTCGAGAGGACGGAGGAGCGGGTGCGCGGTGCGGGCTGACCGCGAGCGGACCTGTGGATCTGACCCCGCATTCCCAAACGTCGTCGGAAGTCGTTATTGGCGTAATGGTCCTCTTCGTCCTCAGGCGAGATCGGGCCATGCAGAGCGGGCTGGTCGTCCGGTCCTTCGCCCTCGTTGTCGAGGCGGTTGTCCTCATAGCTGCGCGTGGGCGTTTGAAGGTCAGTCAAGTCTCATGAGCCGAAGGACCGACGTCTTCACGCACACTGCCGTCTCGACAAAGCTGCGCATGTCTATCGCACCGGTCATATGCCAGTGTCCCTCGGGCGTGAACTGCCTTCTCGAACTGCGAGCACCAATGATCGTCAGCGACTCGCTATGTAGAGGCAGACGTAGCCAGAGCGAACGCACTCCCTCGCGTGAACCTGCTGCAAGAACCTCGTCATCAAAGCCCTGACGTCCTCCCTCTTCCATCCGCCCGTCCCGACGACCATGTCCGCTCCCGGCCCGCTCGATGCGGCCGTCCCGTCGTCCTGCCAATACATCGCGAATGCAGCATTCCGAATCATCCCGCTCAGTCCGATGACTTCGTCGAGCGTGAGCGGGTTCCTCGACTTTGCCCCGCCTGTTGCGGCTCCTCCGAACGCGCCTCCTGCACTGGAGTAGAACTCGTCGTCGCCCATCGTAACGAGACTTCTGCTGAACATTTCGAGCGCGAGCACCAGGACCGGCCATTCGTCCTTGTACCTCTCGTCTGCGAGGGCGGAGAGAACGACGCCGCTCTTCTCGCGCTTGGCGGAGGAGAGGGTGCGGCCGAGGGGCGAGGAGCGGATGTAGCCGCGGTAGAGTTCGCGAAGGAGGCCCGACGCGGAGGGGGAGTAGAGGAGGGCGTTGAGGGTTTGGTCGCGGAGGGATGGACTATGCGAGGAAGGCGAAGAGGAAGAGGAAGGGGCCGTCGAGAGAGTGAGCGAGGGTGACGAGAGGTGCGCGAGAAGGGTGACGAGGAGGCCGCTCAAAGCTGGGCGGGTCGAGGCGGAGTAGCGGTTCGAGAGAGCGAGGACCGTTGCCACATGCGCGGGCGAGGCGATGTGGAGGAGAGACGCGCGAACGCGCGAGTCGAGATTGAGGCGGGCGGGAATGGCAGGGACGGATGGCGGAGCAGGCGACATGATCGCATCGCCCTCGTCGTCCCTGTCCCTCGACGTCCCGACCGCCACCCTCGCACGTTCTACCTCCTCCTCATCCACATCCGAATCGTCGCCACCGTCCTCCTCGATCGATCTCGCGCGCTCCTTCCCTTTGTCCTTCTTCCTGCCCGACTCCTCAAACACCCCAACCGGCAACCTCGTCAACAACCCCCTCACACACTCCAGGTACGCCAATGCCTGTTTCCCGTTTTCCACGCCTCCCGCACCCTTCGTCGTGGTATTGAGCCGCGCCTTGCCCAGCTCGACGACATGCGCCAGCAAGACTGCCGTTTCTCCTTCTGACAGAGCTGCGAGCTGAGGGAGCGCGACGTCGGATGTGAGAGAGGCGAGGAGGTCCCAGTAGGGGACGGATGTGGTGAGGGTCGTAAGGAGGGCGGGCGAGAGTCGGTGGGGTATCAAGAGAGGAACGGTGAGGATCGAGAGTGCGCAAGAGAGGAGAGCGGCGGCACGCTGGGGAGATGTAGCGTGTGTCGTTGATGCAGGTGGAGGGTACGCGCGAAGAGGGAGAAGCGAGAGCGAGATGAGTGCCGAAAGGGAGGGATGGGAGCGCTGTTCGGGCGGCTGCGAGAATCGCAAAGTCAGTGCCGAAACTCGAGACAAGCTAGGAAACACACGCACGATAGAGGCGATCGCCTGCCCAAGCCGAGGATAAAACGCCTTCTGCTCGAGCAAGTACGCGAGCAAGCCGTCCCTCGGTACTTGCGCCAGCGCCTTCCACTTGGCGTACGAGGCGGGATCAGCGAGAATCTTGGCGATCTCGAGAAAGAGTGGAGATTGAGGGAGTCTGCAGGAGGTCGGTCAGCGGATGCAGGCGGGAGGTGTGAGAGAGGGTACGCACAAAGGAGATGCGGTCGCTTCGGTGAACAGCAGAGTCCCGATCATCCGACTCAGCGTTACCCAGCTCTCCGCATCGACGCGATACAACGAGAAGAGGAGCGGCGTCTTGTCTGCTCGCAGGAAGGGAGGGTCAGCTTGCGAAAGGCCAACTTCGAATTTCGCGAACGCACCTGTCCCGCCCTGCGCCGTCTTCAACACCGTCCTGCTCCATGCCGCGAGCCTCTTGACGTCCTCCTTATCACCCGGAGAGTACGCAATAGCCAGGAGACGAGACGCAGCAAGGACCTTGTCCGCAGAAGGAGGAGGAGCGTTCGCGGGTGTCGAAACGGGAATGAGGACGTCGAACTGCGAGCGAAAGCCGGAGCGCGCCTGTCGAGCAGCTTTCCTGCCTCGATAGAACGCCTGCACGCCGTACGAACGAGAGTCAGTCCATCGAATCGGCGCCACCTTCGGGATCGAGTGAACGAAGAGGGAGGACGTCAGCCTCCTCTCACATCGCCTCTGGGACTCACCTGAATCGACAGCGCCGCCGCCGCCTTCTTCCTGTCCCTCTCGCGCTGCTCGCGCTCCTGCCTCGCGCGCTGGACGAGGTCGAGGTGCGATGCCGGTTGGTTCGAGTCGCCTTGTCGTCCGCCGAGGTTGATCTGTGGTCGTGCGCGGGCCGATCCCGTGAACAGGCTGTCCATACCGTAGCCTCTGAGACTCTCAGCCAGTCTCAGGAAGAGAGAGGCGTTGTGGCAGGAGACGAAGTCGCTCTCTCGCTCCTTCCATCGACCAGGCTCACGTCAGCTCACCCGCTCGAGGACTCGCTTTACGCTGGATTGAACGACTGCTCTACGCGCAGAAGTGGGGGCGGACAACCCCGACGCCGCACTTGCTCGCCCCGCCCGCTCGAAGCTCTTGACCATGAGCGACCCTCCGCCTCCTCCTCCCGACCCAGCAAAGCCATGGGCGCAGTATCTCCTGCAGCCTCACAGTGCGTTCCCGCTCACTCTCTACACTCATTGATGTCGACTGATTCCTGCGGTGTCGTCAAGCAGACCCACACCCCTCCCCCCTCTCCGGCACCCAAGACCTGATCTCCCTCTTCCACCTCTCGCCCCTCTACGATACCTTTCTCCGCCCCTACCTGCCCGCGAACCTCGCTCCCATCCCAGGCTCGGCCGGCGCAGAGGAGGTTGAGGCGGGAGGGGGAGCGGTCAAGGGCCAAGTGTTGTTGGGCAAGGCAGCGCAACTTGCGGCGCAGGGCGGACAGTTGAAGGCTTCTCCAGCGAGTCCTATGCCTGCCTCCTCCTCTGCTCCCGCGGCGGGGGAAGCGAAAACTGTAGGGGCGGGACTGAAGATCACGCTTGGAGGGATCAAGTTGGCTGGGACGACGGTCGCTGCGGGCGCAGAGAGTGCGGACGGAGCGGGCGCGGGCGGGAAGAAACCCAAACGACCAAAGATGGACAAGTCGTTCGATTACATGGTTGGAGACGTGCTTGGTTCGTCCACGTCCCTCTTTCCTCCCTTTCCCTACTCACAAGCTCATTCTGACGACTCGATCCAACGAGCAGGCCGCATCTCCCAACCACACCCCTCCTCCCACCCCTCCTCCTCCCTCCTCTACCTAATCTCGAACCCCGACCCCGCTCCCTGTCCGCCGATCCACCCTCTCGACCCCTCCCAACTCCGAGACGCATTCACGCTCAAGCAGGGTGGGTTGAGTGGGTTTGATATGAGTTTGTGGGAGGGACGAGGGGGAGAAAAGGGAGGGGGGAGGAAGGTGAGTTTCGTGGCCGTGACGGGGCGCGCGGCAGTAGGTCGTGTGAGACGGTGCGCTGACGCTGTGGGATACCGGGCGCGAATCGCAGAAGAAGAAGCGGAAACAGGACGACCTTGCAGCGGCAGGCGACACGCAAAAGAAGCAAAAGCGATGAACCCGCTTTCGTTTTTCTCCTTTCCTTCCGGATGCCCCGCCCCTCTCGTCTCTTGCGCTGTCGTTCTTCTCTCGCATCGCGTCATCGTTTTCGGAGTATTCTCGGCCCACGTCAAATGTTGTAGCCACCACCACCTGCATTGCCCACACGCTCACCATCCATCACCCTTCTCCCATCCCTCCCGCCCTGTCCACGCAGCGCGAGTAGCCAACTGAACCACGTTGCTCAATGAGCAGCAGCGGAGAGGTGCCAAGTCCAATCCCGCAAATCCTCCCGCAGGCAACGCTCCAATAGGCTTCTTCCTCCACCCTTGAACCCTCCTCGGCCACTCCTCCGTTCGTCCTTCGCCCTGCGCTGCAGAGCTGGGAGGAGCGGGAGCGGGAACGGGAGGATTCGGGGAGAAGTGAGAGGCGAGGTCGGCGGAGCGGGACACGAGCGAGTCGATAAGTCTCGTAGCCTCCTCCGCTGTCTCGACCCGTGAGCCCTGCACGAACCCCTACCGAGCATCAGCAACCGAGGAAGCAGGAAGAAAAGGAGACGGGAGGACGCACGAATGAGCCGGACGCGGATTGGGACACTTGGCGCGCCAGTGCGAGGAGCGGGGTAGTCCGGTCTATCAGGTCCTTCAGGGCTGCGTCTTCCGCTGCCGAGGGGGATTGCGAGCGAGAGGCGAAGAGGGAGTCGATCAACCCAAGCGCGCTGCTCAAGTCGGACGCGTCAGCCGTGAGTGCTTTGATAAAGAGTTCGGAAGACGCACGCCGGAGTTCGAGCGAGCAAGCAGCTCTTGATCACTCCCTTCAGACTCACTCCCCCCTCTCCCCCCTCGCCCTCTTCCTCCTCCCCCTCCGGCTCGAGCGAGACCGGCGCATCCTTCACCAACTCGCCTGCCCACGCGCTCACGCACGCCACATAGCTCTTATCCGCCGTCTCTCCACCCTCCAAGGTGCAGAGTATGTCGAGTCCGCGCTTGATCAATACGTCCGAGAACGTTGTCGAGGAAGAGGAAGCGGAGGGGAGGGAGTCGAGGTGCGTGATGAGGGGTGTCCAGAGCGCGAGGAGGTCGGGTGAGAGGGAGGGACTGCGGGGGGTGGGGCGTTTCCTGCACCAGCAAGCCGGGTCAGTCTCTCGTGGAGAAGGGAGGGGAAAGAGAGGAAGGAGAAGGGACGCACTTCTTAGCGAGAGGTACGAGACCCCCTTCACTCCACAACACCTCTGCCACTCCCTCCCACGCTCTCTCCCTCCCCGCCCCCACACCTCCCAGGGAGTTCTCCCCAACCCACCTCTCCACTTCTCCCAAACAAGCTCTCATCTCCCCCCTCGTTCGGCCTACGAGTGACGCATCTCGCAGGGTGGACTTGGAGAGGGATTTGTAGGTTGTTAGGAGGAGGGTGCGGAGTGGGGAGAGGTCGAGGGGTGGGAGGACGGGGGTTGTGGATGTAGTGGAGGAGGAGGAGAGCGCGGCAGACCAGTAGTGCGTGTAGAGCCAGTCCAGCGCCTGCGAGACATCGAACGTGTCAGCTTCGATCCACTCGAGCCAGCTCTCGTCGCAGGAACGAGCCCTCGAGACAGAAAGCGACGAAGAAGCGCGCGCAGACTGACCTGCCTCGCGGCGTCCCTCAACACACCCAAGCTGGGCAAGTTCTCGTGGGTCGCCTGGTGCCTCAGCTCGACGAACCACAGCGGGAGCTGGATCTGCTGCGCGAGGGAGGCGATCGAGCGAGCGAAGTAGGTTGTCTGGAGTGGGTCGACGAGGGAGTTGACGAATCTGCGTGCGGGCGAGTCAGCGTGGAAGATGGGAGAGGAAGGTGAGGTGCGCGCACCGGACGATGGCCATTGCGTAGGCGAGACGGAGGTCGTGGGTTGAGTGAGGGGCATGGTGAGGGGAGTTGGAGTCGCGGAGGACGAGGGTGAGGAGCGCTGCTGTTGATTCTACGGCGTGAGGGCAGTTTCCTCGTGCCAGCCAGACGTTGATCTGCCCTTACGATGCGACGGGTGAGCGAGAGTGGGTGGGTTGGATGATGAGGAGGGGGAGTGAGCGCACCGTCTCGAGGGCGTCGAGTTGCGAGGTGGGTGTGGCCGAGTGTGCGAATACGAGGTCGTGCACGTGTGTGAACTCGCTCAGTGTGCTCCACGGTGTCCTGCGCGGGTGCACCATCCCGTCGCACCGGTCCAAGCTTGCCCTCGTCGCCGCCTCCCTCTCCCTCTCTCACTCTCTCGCTCTCTCTCACTCTCTCTACAACTCACCCACCTCACCTTACACTCTCTAAACAACATGTCCTACGGCGGATACGGTACACTCACCCTCCCACTCTCTCCCGCGCGATTCGAACTCACACCCTCGCTCCCACAGGTGGCTCATCCTACGGCGGCGGAGGCGGCGGATACGGCGGCGGCGGGGGTGGCTACGGTGGTGGTGGCGGTGGCTACGGCGGTGGTGGCGGATACGGTGCGCTCTCCTTTCGCTTTTGAGACGTGTGGCGAAACAACCCCCGAGCTCATCGCTTTGTTTGACGCAGGTGGCGGAGGTGGCTACGGCGGCGGAGGAGGATACGGCGGAGGCGGCGACCGCAGTGAGTCTCCACTCTGACCACGCTCGAGATCGCACACGAGCTGACCGAGTCGTTCGAAACGTGCGCAGTGAGCGGCCTCGGCAGCGGCCTCCGCGCGCAGAACTGGGACGCGGCGACCCTCTCCAAGTTCGAGAAGAACTTCTACGAGTGCGCTCAGCTTCCAATACCCACCTACGTGCACCGCTAACGCTCACACTCTCCTCGCAGGGAGGACCCGCGCGTGACGGCTCGCTCCGACCGCGAGGTGGCCGAGTTCCGCCGCGAGAAGGAGATCCAGATCTTTGGGCAGAACATCCCCAAGCCCGTCACCAACTTTGACGAGATGAACTTTCCCTCGTACATCATGGCCGAGATCAAGCGCGCCGGCTTCACTGCCCCTTCGCCCATCCAGTGCCAGGCGTGGCCGATGGCCCTCTCGGGACGCGACCTCGTCGCCGTCTCGGCCACCGGTTCCGGCAAGACGATTTCGTTCGCCCTCCCCGCCATGATCCACATCAACGCCCAGCCCCTCCTCTCGCCCGGCGACGGCCCCATCGTCCTCATCCTCGCTCCGACCCGCGAACTCGCCGTCCAGATCCAAGAAGAGTGCACCAAGTTCGGCTCGTCGTCGCGCATCCGCAACACGTGCGTCTACGGCGGCGTCCCCAAGGGCGGACAGATCCGCGACCTCCAGCGCGGAAGCGAGATCGTCATCGCCACCCCCGGTCGCTTGATCGACATGCTCGAGGCGGGCAAGACCAACCTCCGTCGCGTGACGTACCTCGTCCTCGACGAGGCAGACCGCATGCTCGACATGGGTTTCGAGCCCCAAATCCGCAAGATCCTCGACCAGATCCGTCCCGACCGCCAGACCCTCATGTTTTCGGCGACCTGGCCCAAGGAGGTCCAGAAACTCGCCCACACGTACCTCAAGGACTTTATCCAGGTCACGATCGGTTCGCTCGAACTCTCGGCCAACCTCAACATTACCCAGATCGTCGAGGTCTGCTCCGACTTTGAGAAGCGCGGCAAACTCGTCAAGCACCTCGAGAAGATCTCGTCCGAGAACGCAAAGGTCCTCATCTTTATCGCGACCAAGCGTGTCGCCGACGACCTCACCAAGTACCTCCGTCAAGATGGCTGGCCGGCGCTCGCGATTCACGGCGACAAGGCCCAGCAGGAGCGTGACTGGGTCCTTGGAGAGTTCAAGAGCGGGCGATCGCCCATCATGATTGCTACCGACGTTGCGTCCCGCGGTCTCGGTGCGTACCAGTCTCGTTTTCCTTTTCTCTCTCTGCTTTTCGACGACGACGACTCCTCGTCGCTCGAGGGTTCGTGACGTGACGCTGTGCTGTGCTGTGCTGTGCTCGCTCCTCGCCTCTCCGCCTCCTGCCCACCGATACGCCTCGCCTCGCCTCGCCTCGCCGCGAAGAGCTGCACGATCCGCACGAGCACACGCTGCCAAAAAAAAAAAAGAGACTACTGACCGATTCTGCGTCCTCCTCTTCGGGGCGTTCTCTCCCTCGGGGGGAACGTCTGCGGTGCCCTACGAAACGAAAAAACAAATCCCGAGTCTCTAGTCTTCCTCTCTCACGCCTATGCGCGAGTCGAGCGGGAATTCGATGATTCTTTCGTTTGTTTGTGTTTTCGTTTGGCACCTTAGAAGAAGATGGGGGTTCTATGCGCATTGTCGGTCTAGTTGGGTTTCTTTGTTGGGCGTGGTCGCCGTGTGTAGTAGTGCTCTCTTTCGCTCTCCCTCCTCCCCTCTCCCCCCTCCCCTCGCATCGTTTCCCGGCTTGCGACCCGACGCGACCTTTCGGCAATGCACAAGAGCTACGAGCCTACACACCTCGATCGGGCGGTCGCGGTCGCGATGGGAGAGAAGGGTTCGTGGGCGCGAAGGAGAGATACCGGTCTCTCCCTCGCTCCAGTTCCTTCCTTCGTTTCCGCCTCGCCTCGCTCGTGCGTGCAGCCGTCGTCGCTCTCGCCTGTCGCCTTCCGACCTCGCCTCGCCTCGCCTCGCCTCCTCCCGCCTCGACCCCTCTCTTCCCTCCCCGAGCACCTTATGGCATACGCGCACACCGTCCGTCTCGCAGCGTCGAAAGCCCAGCTCGCTCGGCTTGCGCGTCTTCGAAAGCAGCGGTCTCTCGTTCTCCTCGCGCGATGACTGACATTCTCCTTTTCCCTCGTTCCTTTCGATACTCGCAGACGTCAAGGACATTGGCTACGTCGTACGTTCCTCTCTCGCCCCTTCACGCGACCCTCGACGTGGTTGGCTGACCCCTCATCCGCGCACCCACAGATCAACTACGACATGCCTAACGGTATCGAAGACTACATCCACCGCATCGGACGCACCGGTCGTGCCGGCGCCAAGGGTACCGCCTACTCGTACGTGACTCCGGACCAGGGCCGTATCGCCAAGGACCTCGTCAAGATCCTCCAGGACGCCAAGCAGGTCGTCCCGCCTCAGTTGCAGGAGATTGCGATGTTCTCTAGCGGCGGCGGAGGAGGACGTGGGAGGGGCGGAGGAGGACGCGGAGGAGGACGTGGATACGGCGGTGGAGGAGGCGGATACGGTGCGTCGGCGCTTTTCCCGCTCTCGCTCCGACTCGGGCACTCGAGCTGACTCTCCTTCTGTTTCCCGCGCGCCTAGGTGGAGGTGGAGGAGGCTACGGCGGTGGAGGAGGCTACGGCGGCGGCGGAGGACGCTGGTAAAAACCCCAGCCTCGCGTCTCGCTCGCTCGCTCGCTTGTTGGTCGAAGGTGTCGCTTGTTGTTCGGTTCTCTCTCTCTCTCTTTCTCTCTCCAACTGCGCGATATATCCCTCCCCCGTTGTCCAGATTGTGGCAATACTAGACATGCGCTTTGCACATCCTCATCGTGGTAGCTCGAGGAGGAGGAAGAGATTCCGCTTTCCGGCCTTCGCTCGCGCTTCGTTCGCTTCGTGGAGTCCTGGGCAGCGTCTTCTCGACGCCGTCGAGCGTCTTGAGCCTCAGTAGCAGCTGGCTCGTGGATGTCGAGCCTCGTTCTCCTTCTCGTCCGCAACTTCTCCTCGACCTTCTCGCCTCACCTCAGAGGCGCCGCTTGTTTGCTTCTTGCTCTTCAGAGCTTCCGATAGATACGACGCCTCGTGCCACACTGCGCTCGCCAAGCGCCCTCGTCTCCCTCATCTCCTCGCTCGCGACTTCATCTCCCTCGCGATATGCAGCTCGTTACAGGCAGCGCGGCGACCTGGCCGCCCCCGCACACGCTTGGCTGAGCCCATGCAGCGCGCCGACAATGCAGCCGGGGCCCGCTGACATCGTTGCAGAGGGCGACGCATCTGGCAGGCGAGGAGGCTGGTCGACAGCTTGTCTCGCCCCGCTCGCTTGCCTGAGCGGATCGAACCAGCTGCGCTGAGACGGATCGACATCTGCCACCTTCCACGAACAGCTCTCGAAGCGCGGATCTTGGCAGAGCGGCTTCGGCGCCTGCGAAGATCAGTTCATGGGCGCCTGCCTGCCCTTGTCCCGCCCGCGCTCCTTGCGCTCCTACGCTTCACTGTATCTGTGCTTGTTTCGCTGCCTGACCCCTAGACGCTCCTTTCGATCCGCCAGGACGAGCCATGACTGCTCGCCTCCTCCTCGTCCTTTCCATCGCCGCCCAGGCCCTCGCTTCCGCCCTCGAAGCCGATCTCCCTCCGTCGCAGTCCATCGCCAACGCTTCGCGACCGACACCCATTACCAAGAGCGCCTCGCTTCCTCGAGTGCACCTCAACCGCCGCCGGCACCACCAGCTCTCGCACGACTCGCATGCCATCTCCAAGCGGCAGGTCCGCAACCCGCAGGAGGCGGCCAAGCGCTGGGAGAACAGGGATGAGGTAGCGATTGCGCGGAGGGCAGCACCGTCCGCGACGCCGGTGGTTTGCCAGAACTCGGTGCCGGCTTGGGGACAGTGCGGCGGGATGTCGTGGACGACGGATACTTGCTGCGTTGCCGGCTACATCTGCGTCTACTCGAACCCGTACTGTGCGGCGCTTCGCCCGTCTTCGCGAACTCGACGGCAGCTGACCTCGCATTCGCAGACTCGCAATGTCAGCCTGGCACGGCTTCCTCCTCGTCCTCATCAACCGCATCGACTTCGAGTTCATCGGTCTTTGTCCCGCCTTCGACATCGTCCATACTCGCTGCGTCGCCGACGCCGTCATCGACTGCTTGCGTCGGAATGTCGGTTGCCTACGGTCAATGCGGCGGAATCAACTACGTTGGCGCGACCTGCTGCCCGGGTGGCTGGACATGCCAGTACTCGAACGACTACTGTGCGTACACGAACGTTTGTTCCAATCGCTGTTCGCCGCTGACACTCCCCTGTTCAGACTCGCAATGTCTGCCCGGACCGTCAACCAGCTCCTCCTCGAACCCGATTTCGGCCCCGTCTTCGACCCCGTCCTCGACCAAAGTCTCGAGTCCCTCTGCTCTCTCGTCGTCTTCTACCTCTTCCATCGCCCCCATTCCTACGGCCGGCCCGTACGGACAGTGCGGCGGAACCGGCAGCTCAGTCTCGCTCTGCCCGTCCGGCTTCACCTGCGCCTTCGTCAACTCGTATTACTATCAGTGCCTCCCGATGGCCTCGACCGCGACCTACACGACGGTCACGACGGCCTCTTTCACCACAATAACTCGTTCCGCCTCGTCGTCCTCCGCTCCTTCCTCGACGTCCGCAACTTCAACATCTTCGTCCGCGACGCCGTCCTCGAGCTCATGCACGGGCAACGCCGGCGCGTACGGCCAGTGCTCGGGCTTCCTGTGGTTGAACTACTCTTGCTGCCCGAGCGGTTACGAATGCGTTTACTCGTCCATCTTCTACTCGGTGCGTTCACAGCCCTTCCTCTCCTCGCGAGCATCTACCTGACAACCCTCTGTGCAGCAATGTCTCCCATCTTCGTCCACCACGAGCGCTTCGACCAGCTCGTCTCCAAGCAGCACGTCCAAGGCCAGCTCGACTTCCTCTTCGTCCGCAGCGCTCCCGTCCGCCTCGCCCAGCGCCTGCAACAACCTCTGCAACGCTGCATCGGTAAGTTGCTCGCGCTTCCTCAGCTGTCTAACGCTGCGAAACTGACTTCGCCGCCTTTACCTCGCAGACCGGCAGCGATGGCTGCACGCCGTACACCGTCTCCTACTCCGGCGTCACCCTTCCCGCCGGCTCTACCTTCCAAGACAACGGCCACGTCAACTACCAGGCGATCCCGAAGTCGCAGTACCTCCCCGGCCAGACCTACAAGAACCGCCCTGCGTCCTGGACTCCCCAGTCTTTCGGCGTCCACTTCGAGTCGCTCAACAATCAGCCATCGGGCGTCTACATCGGTCGCAACTTCATGGACTTTGGTGCGGCTGCTGCTGCGTTTCCGAGCGGATATTGCGTCGTGAGTCTCGCCTCGCGCCTTCCCTCGTTTCCCTTCGACTGACGCCTCTCGCTTCGCAGGTCTGGGTTCAGCTCGACAACTACAACCAGCACTTCGGCGAGGGCGGACAATGTCCCATCTGCACGCCTTGAACCAGCGCTCGACCTTCGCACCTTTCCTTCGTACTTCGCTAGAGTTTCCACCTTGTGTATCCTGCGTATACCCTTCCGCCTCCAGACGTCGCTCTGGAAGCAATGTATCGTTTGCAAGCCCGATGAGGCCAGGACTGGAAAGAGACGAGCAACGATTGGGATTATGTTGGGCGCATAGCCGTGCGAGGTGAAGAAGAGGCTCAGTCTCAGTAGGCCGCGGCGTTCGCTCACTACTCTAGAGGGCTCGCCTGGCAGCATCACAAGACACTGAGGAGGGAGAGGCGCTGGACGGCGCTCTCAGGAAGTGAAGGCAAGCGCTAGGGATGGCGAAAGATGCGAGTTGTTGAAGCTGGTTACGATGCGGCACGATCTGTGATTCGCACGCACCGTCAGCGCGAGCTTATAGTCAGGGAAAGGGAAGACTCACAAGCTAAATACCAGAATAAGCGCGCAAGAACTCGTCCCGCGAGTCCAGGATCTGTTCAGTAAGAGTGGATCTGCGGGAGCTCGCTGGTCAGCCTATGTCTGCACGAATCAGTTCCAGATACTCACCTTGCTCGCGAGCCTCATCCACTCGCTCACCGTCTTGCCGACCGCGTCCTCCTCCGCAACGCGTCCGCCAGCAACAGGCCAATCAGGGTTCCAAACCTCGATGGTGTCGAACGTCGCGCACGGGCGGAGGTGCTTCTCGTCTCGTGCGAGAGCGACGGGCGCGTCGAAGGGGTTGAGGGAGGAGAAGGAGGCGGTTGTCGAGAGAGGGGTTGAGGGGATTTGCGAGGCGGAAGCGGTTGAAAGGGCGGAAGTGGTGCGTAAGGGGGCGGGCGGTGGTGCGGCGACGACTTCAATTGTCGTCGTCTCCTCGGCGCTTGTGACCTCCAGAGTGCCGGCGTCCGTCTTGACCTCCGTCTCGCTGATCTCGACGACCTGCGTCTCCTGCACTTCGACGGCCGCCATCTCCTGCTCCTCCTGCTGCTCGGTAGCCTGTTCCTCCTCGTCGCTGTCAAGCGAGAATCCTCCCTTGTTCTTGCCCTTTGCTGCCGCCGCCTGCTTCGCCTTTTCCTTCGCGGCGCGTACAGCCCTTTCCCTCGCCCTGGCTGCAGCCGTGCTCACCGCCGTTCCCTTCCTCGGGGACCTCCTGAGTCCGTCTGCGGCTGCGCTGTCGCCCTCGTCCTCCTCGAGCGCACTCGTCGCGAGCGCAGCGGCAGAAGCGGCCGCCCTCTTCGCCCTCTTCGCCGCCCGCTCCTCTCGTTCCTGCGAAGCCTCGTCGACCTCGTCTTGAGCGGCAGTCGGCGGGAGAGGCGCCGAAGTCGAAAAGACGAGTCCCTGGTAGCCTTCGGGGAGGGAGAGGACAGTCGAGACGACCCTCCTTCCCCTGAAACTCGCCTGCCGGTGCGCTGGTTCAGCTTCAGATGTGGATGGGTACGGACGAGGTCGGAAGTAGGTCGAGATGGGCGCTGGGCCGTCGTGTGCGAGCGAGAAGGGGAGAAGCGAGATGGACGGGAGAGAGGGGAGCGGGGACGACGAAAGCGCGAGGACGGTTTGCGGCGCGGGTGCCATGTTGCTGAGCGAGTGTCCCTAAGCCGACTAAGCGTCTCCTGCTACGTGTGCGCAGCTGTGAGCGATGAGGAACGAGGAGGAGAGGCGCACGCGAGGGCGACGCGTTCTGTGCATACAGCGACGGTGGCCATGGACAAGCGTTGCAAGCGAGTGGTATCGACGACAGAAGGGTATATGTACGAGAGTGGTACCAAAGAGAGTGACCCGAGAGAACCCAAAGCGACAAGCGAATCCTCCTCATCGTCCTCCGTTCAGAGGCGAGCGACCTGCTGCATCTGCTGCTCCTCCTGCAGCCTGCGGTGGCCCTCCTCGATCTTGGCCCTGACCCAGCGCTCCGCATTGGCCTTCTCGAGCCCGACTGCGATGCGAGGGTCAAGCTCCCGCGAACCCGACATGAGCTGCCTCTTCTTGGCCTTCCTCACACCATCCGCAGCAAGAGCGACGTAGAAGAGCGGCATCTGCTTGACGTCTTTGAAGACGTCGAACAGCGTGCGGTCGTCGTCCCGGCCTGAATCGAGGTCGAGCAAGTCCTGCGGGTTCGTGTCGAGCGGGATGTTGTTCTTCTCGAACAAGCTCAGATACGGCTCGAATTGCGGCGAAATCGAGAGGAGGAACGCCTCGAGAGGCTTGCGTCCGACGCTCGGGTGGCCGGTGAAGGCATGAGAAGGCGGGGCGGGCGAGGCGGAAGAGTAGCCGTTCATGGCGGGCGCGTGCGACTGCTGCATGCCGTACGGCATCGGCGTCTGGCTGAAGGACACATACTGCGACTGCGGCGTGCCGTAGATCTGGCTCGCTGGAGGCGGCTGCGAGTGCTGCTGGTATGGCGGGGCAGGCGAGCCGTACTGGCCGACGCTAGCGGGCGAGCCGTGATGCATGCCGTTGACGAGGCCTGCGCCTTGCTGCTGCTGAGGGAAGACCGCGCTTGAGATGGGCATGGGTTGCGCCTGAGTCTGCGACTGCGGCGGTTGCGACTGGCGGAACGGGAGCTGCTGAGGCGTGGCACTGGGCGTCGAAGCGACGGACGCTCCGTCGGCAAAGCCACCTTGAACGGCAGCAGCATCGTGTGTGCTTCCAGCCGACGTGACGCTGCCGCTGAAGCCGAGGGCGCGCTGGAGGGGCGGGTTCTCGAGCGACGGATCGCCGTGCATCAGCGTCTTGCGGCGCTCGTTCTCGGCGGCGACGTTCATTGGGATGTAGGGCGCAGGGTGGTTGTGGGTCGGTTGGAAGCCCGTGGGCGAGACGAAGAAGCCGCTCTGGCCGGTCAAGGGCGCTTCGGTGAAGGTTGTGTACTGGGCGAGGACATTGAAGGGGCAGCCTCTGCAACGCGTAGGAGTGATGAATGTCAGTTTGGCTCGGTAGACTGCGTCTGCACCCAGCGGGAAGAGCCTGCTCACCCGCCGTGGCTGCAGATCAAGCGGCATTGCTGCGGCGTGTCGATGGCGACCATTGCGTCGTGACCCTGGGTCCACTGGTACGCGCGGTACACTGCGGCAAAGTCAAGTCAGCCAGTAGGGCGGTCTCGAGGGGACTTGGCGAACACACTCTGCTTGAAATCTTGCTGCGAGCGCATGAAACCTTCGCGTGTCAGCTTCGTCACATACTTACGAAATCGTTGGAAACGACGCACGGAAGTACGGTACTTTCCCTCCAAGCTCGGCTGGGGTCCGTACTTCTTGTCCAGCTTGAGTTTCGGAGGCTGCGCGAGGACGCTGGAGAGTCAGTTCCTTTCCTCGAGGTTCGGCGTGCGGTACTGCTTCTCGCTCTCAAACGTACCTTGATCGGCCTCGGCTGAGCCGGCGGGGCAGACATGGCGTAGAACGGCAGGTCCAGAGGAACGAGGGTAGGGAAGCGTGAGGTCCAAAGGCTGCAGACCGCACTTTGAAGTCAGCGCGCACCCGCCCATCAACTGGATGAATCTGACACACCCTTGCAACAGTTCGCAGTCGCGCTCAAGACGAGAGAGGCCGCAAGTTGCGGGTTGCGGGGAGCGAGTGGATGGGAAGACAGAGAGGCGCTGGCGGATCGGGACGAGCTCTGGGGGGACAGGTGCACTGAAGAAAGCTCCAACAAGCTGTCAGAACTCGTTTAGCAACCGTCAAGCGAGGTGGACGTGAGGTGGAGCGATGAAGAGTGGGTTCGCCTTCCGCCAGTTCACCAAACGATGTCTTCTGCTCCTCTGCTGCAGTTCAAGGCCGGCAGGGCATTCAGGCAGGGCGAGACGAACACGGTCGTCGCACAGCCAGACCGCGGGTGCGTTTCTTCCTCCTTGCTCGCTCCGTCCTCGTCGCTGACCCGCAGCTCGTCATCCCCTCGCTTCCGTTGAATCTGGCGCCTGTCGTGCCCGCCCAATCTGTCTCGACACTCTATACTCCATCACCTACCTCCTCACCCTGTCCCCTCGTTCCGCCGCCGCCGCGATATCGCCAACCTCAGCCTGGTCTACCTCCAGAACGAGGACGGCCTGCTCCATTTCTACTACAAGGACCTCACTTCCGGGTGCGTCGAGTTCATACAGCTGTGTGTGCGCCCAGCTAATCGGTCATCGCCCCCAGCGCCGTCGCCGAGGACCTCATCATCTTCCCTGGCGACGCAACCTTTGTCAAGGCGACCGACCGCGTCCACGTCCTCAAGTTCAGTTCTTCCTCCGCCCGCCACTTCTTCTGGCACCAGGATGCCGAGCTCTCGACGGACGAGTTCGAGCAAAGGGGACGGATGGTCAACGAGTTGATCGGGGCGGAAGACGTCGAGGGCGGAGCGGCGATGGAGGTCGAGGCGTGAGTACCCCTTTCCTCGCATCCTGCCCGACGTCGATGTTGCTCGTGCCGCGCCGCCTCTGAGGCGAATGCGCCGTTGTTGTAATCTCACCGCCTTCTTTCCCTCTCACGGTCGGTCTGAAGGACCCGCTTCGCACGAGAGGCTGGCCTGCAGCTTCCTTCGGCCTGTTTGAGCTTCCAGCTGACAGATACACAGCACACGCAGCGACACGACCGGCGGCGACGCAGCCATGTCCGACGCACCCGCAGCCTCTTCCACTGCCGCGCCAGCTCCCTTCGAGACGCCAGCTCCCGCCCGCTCAGCTCCTCCGGCAGATGCACCAGGAGCTCCGCGTAAAGGCGCGCAGTCGGCGGACCAAATGGCGCAGCTGCAGAATATCCTCGCGAGTTTGGGTGGAGCTGGTACAGGCGCGATGATGGGAGCCGGCGCCGGCATTCCCGGTGAGTAGTCGTCGCCATCGTGGACTGTCAAAGCGAGGATCTACTTACTGGCTGACAAGTCTCCCTCACGGTGTTCTCTTCCTCGCAGAGTTCACGCTGCCCGATGTCCTGCCTCCCTCTGCCGCTTCATCTCTCATCGCCTCCCTCCCCGACTCGTCCCTCTCCCACCTCGCCTCCTTCCTCCCTCCGCACTCTTCCCTCCCAACGTCCACACCTGCCGAGACCCGCTCCTCCCTCCTCCGCTCTGTTTCCTCTCCCGAATTCCGTCGGGCACTCGCATCGCTGGACCGCGCGCTCAGGACTGGCGCGACCGGACCGCTCGTGCATGGACTGGGCCTTGAGACGAGGGCTGCGAATGGAACGGAGGAGTTTTTGGAGGAGGTGCAGAAGCAGGCGGATGAGCAGAAGAGGCGGGAGGGTGGCGATGGGTCTGCGTAGCTTTGCTCGACTTGCGGAAGTCTTTCAACGGTTATTCGTGGCTTTCGTGCGAGGAGGCGCGGCTGAGAATTCGCGAGTTACAGCCTGCTCAAGTCTGCCTCCTGCGGCCCTCCTCCCTGAAGCCTTCGAGCACACCTCGCACGCAATAGCCGATCGCGTCGAGGTAGTACCCGCCTGCTCGGAAAGACATCAGCCGGTCAGGTTTAGGAGAAAGACGGCGAACCGCTCACCCTCCATAACGAAAAGCGTCTTGACGCCGACTCGCGCGATCAGTTTGCCCATCTCCGGGTATGCGGCAAGCGTCACCTTGAAGTTGGTGAGCGGATCGTCGATGTAGGTGTCTACGCCGAGCCTGCGGGACCATCGTGGTCGGTTTGCGAAGCCGGACCAAGACGGTCAGTGAAGCAGAACGCACGAAACGACGAGTAGGTCCGGCTCGAAGCGTCTGACGTCGTCCGTCGCCTTCTCTAGTGCCGTGAGATAGTCCACGTCGTTCGTGCCGAGCGCAAGAGGATAGTTGATGTTCATCCCTCGCGCTTTCGGGCCTCCTCGTTCTGCTTCTGACCCGGTGTAGTCTGCCAAGCGGACGCGTCAGGTTCTGTGGGTTCGTGGAAGCCTTCGGCGACGCACAAGGATAGTCAGGCGAGCCGTGCAGGCTGACATAGAGGACCGTCGGGTCGTCGTAGAAGATCTTGCTCGTTCCTGTCGCCACCATTGTCAGCATAAGACCCACCTTCAAGAGTAGGAACATCGTACCATTGCCATGGTGGTAGTCTATGTCGAGGATTGCAACTCTAGGTTTGTCGCCCTTCGATGACCGCTGGAAATGTCGTGCGGCGATCGCAGCTGAGTTGAGATAGCAGTAGCCGCCGCAGAGAGAGTCTGTTGCATGGTGCCCTGGCGGGCGGCTGTAGATGCGCCCGTCAGCGTGAGAAAGCTGGAAGGGGAAGAACCGGACTTGCCAGAGGGCGAAGGTTGCTTGAGCAGTCCCGTCAGCTGTCAAGGTGTCAAGCGCTTCGAGCGCCACTCGTGTTGAAGCCACAGCCGCGATCCATGTGTCTGCGCCCGACCGTCGTCAAATGGGAAATCACAGGGACGGAGGAGTGGACGGACTCGCAGTGACCGGCGCCGACAAGTCGAAGGAGTGGCGGCCTGTACCCGAGAGCATCAGTACCCGTTGCTCGTTCGAAAGACAGCCAGACGGACCTATGCGGGCGACAGCGCCGTCCTTTTGGCTTCCCACGCCTCCCTCCTCGAGAAGAAGGTCGCTCCGCAAGAACGTCTCCGGCAGCGCTGCATCCTTCGAACCCCCCTCTGCGATCCACTCGTCATAGATCTCCGCCAGAAAAGCCAGATACCGCTCGTCATGGACCGGTCGAATCGCCTCGAGGACTTCCTCCGTCACGACCTCCTCGACGGGCCACTCCAGCGTGCGCCCCTCGAAAGCGGTAGATTTGAGCAAGGTCGTGAGGATGCGAAAGTAGCGCTCAGGCGACTCGAAGTAGGGTTGAACGCAGCCGGAGAGGATCTCGTGTGGGGGATTGTGAAGGAGCGAGAGGGGTGTGTGGAAGACGAGCATGCCGCGCGAGGTGCTCAAAGAGCGGAATAAGCGGCCCGCCTTGTCCCGCGAGCGCGTGTAGCGAGCAGGAGAGGGAGAATGCGGCAGGATCGTGGAGGTGAGGAGAAGCGCAAGAGAAGCGCGAGATGCGGCGGGATGAGCGAACTTGTCATACGCTTCCTCGGACAGCGGCGTCGTCATTCAAGACAGCAACGAAGGCAGAAGGCGAAGGAGCGCAGGAGGAGAAGACACGAGCGCGATGCAAGAATGAAGGTGACAACGTAAGACGACAGCGAATGACGGAACAAGGACTGGATGGCGAGGAGAAGATGCAACAAGAGCCATGCGGGAATAGGGGAACATGAGGGAGGATGCGAGGAGGGAAAAGAGAAGGCAGTCACTGCGCCTTCGAGCCTCGCCGACTGAAGAGATTCGTCAAGAGAGTCCCGACGCTGCCTTTGCGAGACGACGACGTCGGTGCGCTCATGCCGCCGTGAACGCTGGACCGCCGCGAGCTGCCGCCCGAATCGGTCGAGATGGTGAGGATGACATTCGGTTGCTTCAAGCGAGGCGAATCCGGGGGTTGAAGCGATGGAGGCGGGCTGAGCGAGTGTGGCGAAGCAGGTACGAACGCGGCTGCACCTGCTGCGTCGTTAAAGGACGCTCTTCGAGTGGACGTAGAGTCGAGAGAGCTGCCGGAGCGAGGCGAGATGTACATCTCGGCGTCGACAGCGGACTCGGTCACGCCCTTGCTCTGCTTTGTGTAGATCGAGTCGGAAAAGGGGTCGCGGAAGGCAGAGAGGTCGGCGATGGCGACGTGCGGGACAGGCGAGGGCGGTTCGGAAGGCGGTGGACTCGGTGCGCCCTGGAATGGCCGACTGTGAGGGCTGCTCGACGGCGCCGCGCCGTCGAAGAAAGCGAACGACGAAGAGCTCGTCGGCTCTGCAGCCGCCTCGCCCAGCGTCAAGCCGAGCATGCCATCTGCCGATGCGAGCAGCGGACTGGCGCCAGCGGTGGCGGACCCGCCATATTCCGTCAGACTCCGCTGGTCACTCTGGAAGCTTGCCACGGACGCCAGCGACGAGATCGACAAGTTCGACGTGCTTCGAGCGCCGTCGTTGATGGACGATCGCTGCGAGCCGGAGCTGCGAGGTCGATTGCGCAGGGACGACCGCGGTGATCGTCCGACATGACGAACGACGTGTGTCGAGTGCGAGGCGGAGGGTAGTTTGGGTGAGAGGTGTGTTGGCGCAGTAGCGGAGGCGAGGAACTCGGCGGTCGTTGGCGTCTCGGGTCCGAGCGAATCGATCGTACTCGACCGCGAGACGCGCGACGTGCTCGACCCAGACAAGGGCGAGGGGATCGTCGCATTTCGTATGGGCAGAGGGGCGGGAGCTTCTCGCCGTAGCCGTGTTCGCGCGGGCGCATCGAGCGCTTCCGACTGTTCTGACATGCGGCGGCCGGAGGAGGGGCGAGGTGGAGGGGGTAGGGAGACGGTCTGAGCAAGGAGAGGGAGGTGGGCGGCGGAAAGGCGTCGCTCGGTCGTGGCTGAAGGCGAAGGAAGGGGAGGTTTCGCAGGACCGCTGGGAATGGATCGGTCGAACGAGAGGCTGAGGGCAAAGTCGGAGCTGCGACGGCCGCCGAGAGTCGTCGCGGTGCGGGATGGCGAGAGGTGAGAGGGTAAGGGGGAGAAGAAGGGCGGAGCGGGAGTCTGGCAGCAGACGTGGACGGGGTAAGGGCGGAGCTGGATCGTCTTCTCGCCGATGCGGCCAGACTTGTACGTGATCTGCGCAGTAATGATATGAGCGACAAGCATCGGCGGTGTCAGAGGAAGCCAGCGGACCTTGCCGGTGAGCGCAAAGTCAATCTTGAAGAGCGCAGACGCCCCACTCTCGCCTACCGCCCAGCCATACGGTCCGCGATGCGGTATCCGCCACTCGAGCGTGCCCCTCTGCGCCATCGTCGATGCAGACGAGAGGAGGAGCGGAAAGTTGGCTTTTGTGAGGCGGGGAAGGTCGGTCGGAGGGGAAGGTGTCCGGTGAAGACGGTGGTGGTAGAAGGTGTCGAGGCTGGTTGTCGATGGCGGAGACTGGATGAGGGGTTGTCGAGGGACGGAAGACGAGCGGGTGGAGCTCGCCTTGCGCGGCACGGCTCGACTGACAGCTATCGAGTCGTCCGTCTCCTGGAAGTCGACGTCGTCCGTAATCAACACCTTTCCCGTCCCTACCGCTGTCACCCTGCGCTGTAACCGCAACTCGACATGCTTGAGCTGTACTGCCCCATCTCGAGGTGGTTTCAGCTCGAGTTCAGCAACGAGAGGGCTCTTCCCGCCGAGTGGTTGGTTCAAGACCCGAATCGAGTAGTCAAAGGGAGGGACATGGTCAAAGTCGGTTGAGGAACTCCAGTGGAGCGAATTCGTAGAGGAGGGGTCGAGAGAGACGGTCGAGTGTCGCAGGAGGAGCATTTCGCGAGACTTGGCGGAGACGGTTTTGCCGGCGGGAAGGAAGGCGCCTGCGAGCGCGTGCTCGTCAGCGGGCTTCTTATACGTGGAAAAAAGCTACTCACGAGCCTCGACATGCCAAGCGACCGTCGGCCCTCGCGCAATCTTCATCATCGACAGCCCCGGCGTCTCCTTCGGCATCGTGAGGCAGAATCTGTGGTCCTCGAGCGGCAACTGCTCCGCCTCGACGCCCTTCCGTGCCTCCCACACCGTTCCCTCAGTGACGACCTGCCTCGCCGTCTTGCCCGCGCACGTCTCGACGCGAACGAGGCGAACGACGACAGACGAGACGTCGGGCGGTTTTCCCGATGCTCGCTCGTCGTAGCTCGCGACGACCTTGCCTTTGACGATGATGTCTGTCAGGCCGAGCGTGCCGGAGAACGGGAACCAGTTGTTCCCGTTTCCTGAGAGAGGGAGGATCGAGAGGATGAGCATGGCGGATGGAGGGAGAGGGGGAGAGACGGGTCGTGGGTCGTTAAGGTGCGTCGTCTAGGCGTCGTATCAGCAGCGTGACATTATATAATTGGCGGAAGAAGACGGAAGGAGGCGGTGAAGGGGCGAGGACAAGGCGAGGAGGAAGACGCCGGCAGACGAGGTGTTGCAAGGCGGAAGTACGTGTCCTGGTGCCGGAAAGGAGGTTGCTGCATGGGACGATCGACGCACGAACGGCGCGCAGGAGGCTCGAGAGTCAGTTAGCGTCGTTACAGCAGGCGAGACGGCGAGGGGCGGTCTCGACGCACCACTTGTCAAAGTCCGAGATCCGCTGCGCCTATGTCAACTGCTCGTGCCGGTGGTGCAGCGCTGGCGAAGGAGGGTGCAGGTCGACGGCGTGAGTGGTTCGAGGACAAGGACAAGGCGACCGGGCGGCGAGAAGAGTTGCAGGAGGCGGCGCTAACTAACGCTAAGGCGGGTATGCGGAGTTCGCTCGTCGGGTTGGCGCCGCGAACTGAGGAGTCGGTGGGCGGTGCAGGGTTGCAGAGGAGGAGGAGGCAGACTTGAACAGCGAGCACCGAGGACAGCAAGGTCGGCAGCGAGCCCCGACGGGCGAGCGAGGAGCCACACGTCGAAGGAGGCGGCGAGGGTTCGACGCTGGCCGGTCAGGGCCAAGCGTGAAGCTAATTCGCCAAAGCCAATCGACTCGGACACCGCTCAGTCTCGCCCCGCCCGCCCTTTTCCTCTTCCTCCTCCTGCTCCGTTGTTCGTTCGGTGAGAGTAAAGCAGCACAAAGGAACGAAGCAGCATCGGACACCATCAGAGCTGATCCACAAAGTGGGAGGAGACCATCACCTCCTCGCTCGTTCCCAAGGGTGGAGTGAAGGTTTCAGCCTGGCCGCCGACCGCGCGAACCTTGTACATCAGTCGCACTGCGAGCCTGCCAACCAGCAGCAGCGCAGAGCAGCAGACGACCCCCCTGCGACCCGCCTCGCAACCCTGCCGCCCCTGGTCGCATTTGCTTGAAATCGCCTCTGCTCCGCCGGCAGCGCGAGGGAGAGCTAACGTAGCTCGCGCCTGCCTCGTGCGGACGACGCTGGTGCAAGCTCGCCCGGAGATTCGCTTCGGTCGTCTGCCTTTATCGCGAAGCGCGAGATCGCTCGGTACCGGGTCGGAGAGCGGGCAGAGCGGACGACTTGGTTGCGGCGAGTCGGCCGGGTGCGAGGAGGCGGACTGGACGGGCGCGTTGCGGCGGCTCCTCAGCGCCTGGCGGAGCTGGCGGCGAGAGAGAGGAGGAGAAGCGAGGGAAGAGGGGGAAGGCGAGGCGACGACCACAACTTCGCCCGCTTGCGAAAGCAGTCTTGGCCGGTAGAGCGTCATGCACGTCGTCTCTGGCACTCTGCAAACTACCTCCGCCGAACAGAGCCAGGAGGAGGAGGAGAGAGCACCCCTGTCGAGCTGTTTATTCGCTTCCTCACGCTACATGGCCTGGGAAGCCTTGCTGGACCCAGTGGAGGGTTGTGGAAGAGCTTTAACGAGGCTAGTGACCCTCCAAAGCCCGCCTCGAGGTCGAGCTGTCCAACCCCCGCTCGCTCGCCTCTTCGTTCACCGCTTGACACCCTCACCCGCTCACCCAACGCTCAAGGCTCTGCTGTGACTCTGCTGAGCGTGCGCAACGATGGCTGCACAGACACCCACGCCGTCGAGCGAGATCATCCACCTCACGACAACCTACGTCGACGCACTCGAGTCGCTCCCGCCCGCTTTGACGAGGAGCCTCAGCGACCTCAAGGAGCTCGATGCCGTCCTCAGTGGTGCGTTCAATCATCCTTGCACTGTCAGAGAAGCTTCCGCCGCTTCCCAGACCGCTCGCTGACCCTTAGTCCACACGCGCATGCAGGCTCCCTCTCAGGCATCGGCGACAAGCTCCGCCTCCTGAACGAGATGATGCACACGCCCGAACCAGGCTCGAAAGAGACCGCTGAACCGCCCAAGTACACCCCGCTTGACCGCTTGAAGCTCCTGCGCGAGGTTGCGGAGGACGCGAGGTTGTTCCGGCTCGGTGGAGAGGACAAGATTCGGGTTGCGACAAACACTTGCGAGACGGTGCGTGACCTTCGAGAGTCGTGAGAGACGGGTAGCTGACGAGCGCACCGCCCGCAGATCGCGACGCACACCTCGCACCTCGCGACCCTCTCGACCTTGCTACTCAGCTTCCTTCCGACCCACCTCCTCCCACACCTGCCCGCCCCCTCCGCACCACACGGCTACCCATCCTCGAACACCCCCGCGTCCGCCATCGCCCGTCGTCAGCTCTTCGACTACCCTCCCGCGCGCCATCCGGGCCAAGGCAGCACCTCTCGACTCTCCGGCGCGCTCAACATGGTCCGCGAGCACTACGACATGACTCGCGGCGCTGGGAGGGGGTACGGAGCGGGAGGTGCGGCCGCGGCAGGGAAGAAGCGTGCTGCGCCGATCGATTACAGTATTTATGGAGACGACTATCCTGCGGTCGGTTCGTCGAGTCTGGGACGGAAGGACAAGGAGAGGGATCCGGCGCTGAGGCATCCGAATCAGTACACGAAGAAGCGGATGCAGGGGTATGCCGGTGGAGGACCTGGGGGCGCACAGGCGGTCGGAGGAGGATACGGAGGCGCCGTCTCGGCTGCGACGACCAACGCCGCCGCAGGACTGTACTCGTCCATTCCCTCTCACCCACTCGGTATGACTGCCGTTGAGGCAGTCAAGGAGAAACGCCGCGGCGCAGACCCTGTCGCGCCGGCTATGTCGACGAGCGGGAACGGCAGTCGAGCGGGGAGCGTCGTCAGTGGCGTGCAGGGGAATGCGATGGCGTACCAGGGCGTGCAGGGAGAGACGGATTATCATATGCTTGCGTACGGGGTGCCGCAGCGTGCGCCGGCCAAGCGCAAAGTTGAGGATGTCGCGGGCGCGAGCAAGCGGCGGAAGAAGGGGTGCGTTCGGGCGTCTGCTCTCGCTTTTCCCGCTTTTTACTGATGATCTTCGACACGCAGCATCGACAACTCGCCCGACCCGGCAGCTCGCACCCTCGCCGGCAACGTCGCCGCCGCCTCCCGCGTTCCCCGTCGCCAAGGCTCGACCCGCCTCGACGAGCCCCTCTCGCCCGTGCACGTCGTGCCGATGGAAGACGAGTACGAAGCGGCGCTCGCGGAAGCCGAGGACGACGGCGACAAGACGCTGTACTGTTTCTGCCAGCGCGTCAGTTTCGGAGAGATGATTGCTTGCGATGCGCCCGACTGCGAGCACGAGTGGGTGCGTTCGCAGTGTCTCCTTGTGTCCCCGCCCGCGCGACTGGCGATGGACACTCCTGCTGACCCGAGGGTCTCGCGCGCAGTTCCACCTCCCCTGCGTCGGCCTCAAGAGTATCCCGGACGGCCGCTGGTTCTGCGACGAGTGCAGGGTGCGTCGCTCTACCCGTCTCTCACGTTCTCGAAGGCACGCAACTGACTTTCGTTGCGCCCTCTTCGCAGCGGAACGCCAAGTCGGGCAAGAAGCGGCGGTAGACTTCGCCTTACTCTCCTGCTTCGCTGCAACGATGCGGACTGTCCGCGAGGGCTACTGCGGGAGTGGCGAGCTCGAGAGATGGCGTCACCGTTGTTGGCGGCGGATGTCAAGCATGTTCCCGAGCCCGGCGGACCCTCCGGAGCGAGCGGCGGAGGTCGCGGAACATGTTTGTCAACTTCTGTCGCCGCTCACACTTCGCTCTTTGACTCTTGCTATTCACTTTGTTCCCTCACAGTGCTGTCTGCGTCGCCTGAGCCGCCCGCAGAACCCTCACGCCGCCTCGTTCTCCCCGATCAAACTTGATCAGCCGACGACCTTTCGTCGCCGTCAACTCGCTTCGCTACGGCTTTCGGAGCTTTCACAGTGATGTCAACGGGCAGGAACGATGCTGCGATGGCACACACAGGCCCGGCTGGTGCTTCCGTTGCTGGAGGAGCGGGACGAGGGCTTTCGCAACGACCCGATCCAGGTGCGTCTCGATTTCTTCTCCTGAGCTCTTTGCTTCGTGTAATTTCCTGTGTAGCATCACACGGCCCGACACTGACTGACTCGCGCAGTCCGCCTCGCCCTGAGGAAGCTCATCCCGGCCGGCGTCCTCTTCCTCCCCGTCTTCTTCATCACCGCGCTGTGGATGTATGGCGCACTCTACCACACCGCAGAACACGCTCACAACCTCAGCGTCCTCGTGGTCGACTTTGACGGCGGATCAGTGGGCGCCGCACTTCTCGCCGCCGTTCGGTCCGTCAACGGCCAGAAGACGCTTCCGACATTCGTCGTCGCCAACGCGAGCTCCATCACTCGCGACGAAGCGTTACATAGGGTCTTTGATGGAGAGTACTGGGGAGCGGTGTTCGCGACGGCAGGCGCGACGAGTCGGTTCGAGGCGGCTTTGGCGGGCGGAGGTGCAGCGGCGGGCTACAACGCCTCGCAGGCGTTCGAGTACAGCGGACTCGAGGTTCGATATCCTACAGTGCGTTCCACATTTCGCTCGACTTGCAAAGACTCGCGTCTGACCGCTTCATTCCGCAGGCTTGGTCCGCCGTCGTCCTTTCCGCCCTCAATCGCGTCCTGCAGACGAACGCACACATCTTCAACGCACAGACTGTCGCGCCTCTCCTCGCCTCCAGTACCGCCCTCTCGCCTTCTGCGGCTCAAGTAGCCGTCAACCCGCTCGGCTCGACTTACATCAACCTGACGCCCTTCTCGTTCGGTTCGCGAATCGTCCTGAACACTATTGGCTTTGTCTATCCATTCCTCGTGCGCACGGCTTTCTTGTCTACGCTTCCACCCGTTCGAGGCCAGGCTGACCCTGTTCGCTCCGCAGTTCCAATTCTTCTTCCTTCTCGCGCTCAACGGCATCTTCACCGCAACGGGCGCATATCGCAACCTCTCGCTCGCACGCCACCTCACTCTCCGCCTCTGCATCTCTATCCCATGGACCCTCGCAACTTCGCTCTGCGTCGCGAGTTGGGCAGTCATGTTTGACGAGTCGTACGATATGAAGGCGAAGAACTTCTTTGCTCTGTGGGCTGTCTTGTGGTGCGTTGCGTCCACCGTTTGCGTCAGGGTGGGCAAGCGCTGACCTTTGGTCGAGCAGGGTCTTCTCGACAATCACGTTCGATACGTTCGACATCCTTTCGACCTGGATCCCACCTGCTTTTCTCGCCTACATCACCATCAACGTCATCAGTGAGTCGCACCACGCGCCCAATTGAGCAGTGGGCTGACAGCCAACCCTGTGCAGTCATGAGCGTGTCCGCCGTGATCTGGCCTATCGAGCTCGCGAACCGCTTCTACCGGATCCACTATGCCTTCCCCAGCCACGCCAGTACGTCGTCCCCCCCTCTGTCTCTCTCTCTCCTCACACAGGCTGACCTCTTCGCGGGCGGCAGCCTGGTCAACGATGATCACCATCTTCGGAAACGGCGCCGTAAACCGCCTCTACCGCGACCTCCCTATCCTTGCAGCTTGGCTTGTGGTCCTGAAGATCGGCGTTGTCCTCTCGCTGCGGAAGAGGGCACGGGAGGGTGTAGCGGTGGCGGGAGGAACGGAGACGGCGCCTCCTGCGGAGTCTGCGGGAGAGAGGGAAGCAGCCCTGAGTGCGCGCTCAGTGTCAGACGAGGAGAAGTAGCTATATCTTTGCTAATACCGCAGGAATGTATCAAGGCTTTGCGAGACTTGGGCGAGACGTTGAGAAGGTCCGGAGAACAGCTTGTTTCGCTTTCCTCTCGTCGGTCGGCGGGCTTGAGCGTGTACGAGAGGTAGCTCAGATGGCAGAGAAGTACAGAAAGCGAGAACGTTCGCCAAAGCGGATACCCAGGACCGTCTGCCTTCGAAATCCCTCCTCGCGCCCTTTCTCCAGCCTCACAATGCGCGCAACTTGCACCGCTTGAAGAAGGGCCACGGCTAAGGCGGGCTTCTTGACCTCGAGCGACTGAGGGCGAGCTTGAGGAGACCGGGACTGCGCTTCTTGCCCCATTCCTCCTTTTCTTCCGGCGAGAGATCCCGCACGACGCAGCTGCCGTCTCCGTACTCGCGGACGACCTGCGAGGCGCGAGTGGTCTAAATCTACAGAGAAAGGCTCTGAAGCGCTTAGGAAACACACCTGGTCTCCCTCCCGCCAATCCTCCCAGTTATCCTTCGTCTGATCCAACTCGCGATAGTGCTTCTCCCTCCGACACCACTCATCCCTCTCCAGTTCTTCCCGCTTCTTCGCCTCCTTCTGCTCAGGCGTTAATCCCTTGTCGCCCGTCAAGGTTCGCTTAATTCTGTCTCGCACGCGGGCGAGTGTGGTGTTGGGTCGACTGGCGGGGCTGGCTGTGCGCTCGCGAGACGTGGATGTTCGTGTACGATCCGGCGAAACGGATGGCATGGGCGACGAGGGAAGTGCGGCGGGATGTGGGGAGGAGGAAGGAGCGCAAGAGTGGGTCTGCCAATGCGAGTGACGAGCGGCGGGACTGGCGTATGAGGGTAATTCGCCAAGGGGGTCGTCGGCTGCTCGTTGGGACTCCGCAGAACGACAAGGACGAGCAAGCGAGGACAAGGAGGACGAGAGAAACGAGGCCGGGGATTGCGAATGCGACTTCGGTCTCAGCAGCTCTGCGTAGCGCGGACAACGACGAGAAGAACGAGTTGCAACAGGATAGAATCATATGACATAGAACACCGCGGGAGAAGAGAGGGAGAAGGAAGGAAGAGAACAGGGACCTTCCCAAACACCGATTTCTACTCGCCCGCCCGCTTCGACGGCTCACGCCTGACGCTGAGCGAGCTGCC